CAGGAGTTTCCTGAGGCTGTGCATCACTGTCATACTGGGGAAGCGTACTTATAGCTTTACATTTATTTGTGTGACTGTGAAAATCTTTCCCTGAACTGTAGTATAAGCACCCTGAGAACAACTCTCAAATCTGGTTTTGCACTTGACTTTTCTGAGGACTTTACTGTAAATAGGGTTGCTTCTTCTCCCTGGGCCCATCCTTAAATTTTTTTAATTACATTGGGAAGGGAGTTTCAGGACGCTGAGAATCCTCCCAGCCAAAGGTCTCTTGCTGTCCTGTTGTTGAAATCAGTGCTGGGTAACATCCTAGCAGTAGGTCAGTCGTGGTCCTCTGGTCCACTCATTCTTGAGGCAGACACATTGCATACCGGCATCCACAGCCCAACAGCCTCCTGAAGATAGATGGGCTGCAGCTTCAGAGGAGGGGGATGTGCTGACCCCTCTACACTCACCCCTGAAGAGCAAATGAGGAGTCCAGTTATGGCTGTCATTTGTGCAGGCTCCATAGTGACTTCTAGTCACATAAACCCCAAGGACAGGAGCCCCTCTGTTCCCTAATACAGATAACTCACCACACATCCAACTTGTGAACAAAGTAGGATGTTTCACAAGAACTTTGCACACCGTATGTGTTCTCTTCCATTGTTGGGACACCTACCTACTTTTTATTTTCTAAATTGAAAACACGTGCGTATCAGTGTAACTTGCTTTGCTTAATAATCACAGTGTGTTAATCCCACATTTTTGTGAAAAGAATAGACTCGCACAGTGATGTTGGACTCTCGGGGATCCGGCATTAGAGCAGTGCTTGTTTGCTAGCAGGCACTTGCAGATTCGTTGGGCGGTGGGACAGCTGAACAACAGAAGATCAGCTCTCCTCCTGTTCACCTGGGTGCCTGGACTTTTCCTGCCAGCAAGCACCCGGTGTGTTCACCGGGTTCCAGCTGCCTTGTCACATGCTTCTTGAGCATGTGACCAAGTCGTGCTGCGACACTTTGCCATTCTTCCCAAAGGACAGTTGGGAATGTCTGCCTGGATTGTCAGTAATTTAACGAGACAAGTGGTAACTAATCAAGCAAAAATTTTCTATTTCTGTCTTTTATCTTTATTTGAAGTTCTATATCTTTATTTAAAAGGATCTTTGAGATTTAAGTGTTTTATAGCTTTAAAACTGCACTTATGCAAAAGCAGGCGCATGTTTAATCTTTAAAATGTTTTATCTCTGCAGTTATGATATGACTCTGACAAATGCTTGCACTGCCTTAAGTCAAAGATGGATTACTGTGAGTATTAATTGCGATTTTTTCCTCTTTTTCAAATTGTCTGTCCTCCTATGGAAAGTACGGCAAACCATGAACCACTGTGTTCAGAAAGACTCTTTGAATATGCAGCTTACTATCTTGGCTGATGCTATCTCTGCCTTCCATGTATAAAATTAAGTTTCATGGGAAAGAAAATCAATGATGATGGCATTAGTTCTGATTGTCCCTGCTTCTTTTCTACTCTTAAAGTGTGCAAACATATTTGGAGTTTACATTTTTTCATTAAAATCTGTAAGATACTATTTTGCATATTGCAATTACGTGTACCAGACAAATCTGAAATGATGTTCAGTGACTGCGAATGCCACTGGGAAGAATCAAGGGGCTTTGTTTTGTTCTTAACTTTTTTCATGGCTGTGAACACATGATCTATAGGTAGCAGTGGACATTTGGAAGGCTTTTGAATTGTAAATGAAAGAACCAGAATGGTGTATTAGGACCACTGACCCAGCAGCATAGTTCCCAGTTCAGTAAAGCTGGATTGACTGGCTCTGTATACCCACTTTGACTGTGGCCACTGGGCCTGGAGTGGCACTGAATTCCCGTTGTGGAGTGTTTAATTGTGTGTTCTTTCTAAATAATTTAGAAAGGCTTTGTGATTTTTTATCCAAGAAGTAATCTGGTAACGCATCTTACCTCAGCTAATGCCTTGCCCTTCTACCTAGACCTGAAACTTTTTTTTACTGTGTGTGTATGCATGTGTGTATATTTCTTAAGTGTGTCATGGAAAAAAGGAAGAGATATTTAAGAAACAGGAGTCCTTGACATGTGCGTTAGCATACTCTGTTTTAATCTGAAAGGTATGTTCCAGCTTGCTCAGTGCTGGGTTAAACTACTGATTTCTGCTCACGTATTCCTTCAGGCCTCACAGCCTAGATGGACAGCTGTCAGTCATCTGGTATAGTATTGGAAATAGTGAGAGCCTGGTGATCCTAGTGTTTTCTTCTATTTATGTACTTTCTCATTTGCTTTTCATAAACATTAAAGAAATATAAAAGAATGTACAATAGAAAAGACACTGATAAAGTATAAACCAATAAAGTGAAAAACCGTGTCTCTGTACCCTACCACAAGCCTAAGAAATAAAGCCTCACCAGTTCTGTGGAGCAGTAGAGAAGTTCTAAAGGGACAGAAAGTTGAGATAATCAAGAGAATTCTGAAGGGAAAGCGCAAAGTAAATATTTCCTTAAAACCATATATGCAGGGGCTGGAGGTTTATCTCAGCAGCATAAGCGCCTGCCTTGCAAGCAGGCAGTTGTAAGTTCAATCCCTGGTACCGATAAAAAGGAAAAAGACAAAAGAAAAAAAAACCATATGTGCATTAAAGTTTTTCTGAGAATGTATAGAAACTGTTTGTACTGCTTCCTGAGAAATAGGACTTGGGAGGACAAAGCAAAGGAACCTTTCGCTGTCTTATTTGATTTTTTTTTTTAACCTTTGTGTGCCATTCTTTTAAAATTAAAAGAAACTTCAGCCAGGCGTGGTGGCACAGGCCTGTACCGAGCTACTCGGGAAGCTGAAGCAGCAGGATGTAAATTTGATACTGGTTTGGGCAATACACCCAGAGCCTGTCTTAAAAGAGAAAGGAAAAAACTTAAACTTCTAGCACAAAGACTTTAAAATAAGTTTTTAAAGATTTTGAGTCCTCAAGTTTGAATTAATATTCCTTAATCCTGTTCTCAGAAATTTGTAACAGCGAATCCTGATTTTTAGAATAGAGACCTACTTTTATCTTTCTGTTAGATGATTTCCAGGATGAAAGGTAGAAGTAGATGTGTGGAGACGGAAAGAAACAGCACTCGGTGGACTTACCAAAACAGAAATGCAAGCTGGTCTCTTATCACATTTTTTAATTAGCTTGCAAATTAATTGCAGGTTTCTTGTGATACTTCTTTGCTTTGGAGATCTCAGGACCTGAAATGATACAAGGATGCTGAGGGGAGGTGGCCGGCTGCTCTGCAGTCACTTTTCTAAGTTACAGTAACTTAATCTCAGCGTTACATAAGTCCCTCAGCCTTAAATTTACTTCATCTGATGTTCACCCATGTATTTTATTTTTACTTTTATGTCAAATAAGTCATAATACCATTAAATTATAACATGAATGGACATAACCAGGTGACATTTATTCTAGGCCAAAGAAAAGGACTTAAATACATTCAGTGCCACAGACCTGAAAGATCTCTCTTCTCATCAAGTGAACGAGTTTTTAGCACAGGTGCTCCAGCAAGTAAGTACGAGCTGAAAACAGCAGAAACTAAAACAGCTCCCCGTGCACAGAATGCACAGTATACGCATCTTGGGAAAAAAATACTACTGTGAAAACTCATAGAAAAAAATAATTTTTAAATTCCTTTTTTGTAATCTAAAAGAAAGCATTTACTGAATGCCTATTCTGTTTAACATTGCATTGAATATAAAAATACATCAGGAAGAATACACCTTGTTCTCAAAAAGCTCGTAGTCTAGCAGACAGAGGAATATAGATAAAATTTAGCAAGGAAATGCGTTTTGGGGACCACTTGGATAACTTAGGACATCTTTCCCGGGAGCCATCAGGGGAGGCCTCCGGTGCTGTGAGGCTTGCATCACCCGTGCAGGGAGGCGGGACTCCCAGCTGAAGGGCTGTGGGCCTGGTGAGGAGCTAATGTAGCCAGCCCTACAAAGGCTGCTACAACCAGCTGCAACGCTTAGCCAAGGAGTTTGGGTTTCATTCTGGTCAGTGGGGAAGGATTGAAAATTGTAACAGGCAACTCACTGGACAAAATGGTGGGTCACGAATGCCAGCGTCCTCTGCTTGCTAGTGATTGAAACTCACTGAGAGACGTGGCGGGTATGAGGAAGGAGAGGCCCAGCCAGACTCGAGATTCTGTGGCGTGAAAGCAAGGGCTTTGTGAGCCGCTAGATTTGGGGATGGACAGGGAGGGGTCCAAGCAGACTCTAAGGTGAGCTCGAGGTTAGAAAGGACATAGGGACCTGGGAGGAGTGCAGTTCCAGAGGGAACCATGGCTGGGCCTTGCGTGTTACATGAAGGAGCCCCTGCGCTGAGGACCTCGAGGTGGGCACAGATTTGGGACAAATCTATACAGAAAAGAAGCATTTTGAGCAGTAAGAAGCCCAGTCACACTAAGATAAAATCAGCTTTCAGTGCCTCAGATCATAATGGTTTCATAACTTTCCGTAACCTGGCAGTGTGGACTAGGACCAGGAAGAAAAATACTTAGTGACCCGGGAAGGACAGGGAAAAGCCTGGGGAGTCAGGGGCCTCAGAGGTGCCCTTTGCCACTTGGAGTAGCAGAGTGGACTTGGGAGAGCCCCACAGTGAGTGAGAGCGGAGTGGCCAGGGAACGTGGAGTGCCCGTCCCACAAGGCAGAGGTTGAGGGCAGTTCTGTCTTCCTAGTGGCACCTCTGCCTGTCCCCCAGGGGCACCCCAAACTGCCTGTCCAACCCGAACTCATCCCCTTTCTGTCCCTCACCCAGACCTGTGTCCCTTGAGTGTGGGCTCGCATAGGCACAGGAGGTTCATGAGCAGCCTAAAACGATAGGCAGAGGTCTGCTTTGTAGGTAAACACATCCCCAGTGAATCCACAGGACTCAGCTGGTCCTCAGAGGGCTCCATAAAGCAGTGGTGGGGACCATGGCACATTTGTGTTGTTTTTCTTTTAAGACAAAAGATGTGAATGTATGAATTGTTTTTATTTTTTTCTAAACCAAAATTTCAGTATTCAGTTTTAATTACAGCGTTGGCACTTTATGATAAATAGGTGGGTGAGTTTGGGGTTGCAGTGTGGGGACTCATCTCTAAAAGCTTCACCATCCCTGATACCAAAAGTTAGATGCTACCATTTTGGAAGGAAACCGATAATTTGAAAGTGAGCTCAGAGGAAATACACAAAGATAAGCTGGGAGCCGTTGGGGAGGCAAAACTCGAGGGACTGTAATTTAATCTGGAGGAGGGAATGAATTTACGTATGAGAGGAGACTCCGGAACGGGTCTAGGAGGTAACATTTTTTACTAAAAAGTCTAAGAATCATTTTCACTTAACTCTTTTAGGTACCTCACAGAGTAAATTCCCTGTGTTTCTAGTAGAACGTCTTTATCCAGAATGAGTTTGCACAGAACTATCTTTATTTTTATCTGACTGACTTCTATGTTATAAAGTCCTTAGTGTGTTCATCTGGCTAAGACTCTCCAGCTCCTTTCTTTCTGCCAAGGAATCCTGTTGAAAGGATACTTGACACTTCTTTGTTTTGCTCTCAGGCTCCTCTTCCACTGGGGCACGTAAAGCGCATGCAAGAGGTGTACAACTTCAATGCCATTAACAATTCCGAGATACGATTCAGGTACTTCATTTTAACTTGTCTCTGTGGAACAAAGCAGAACAGTGGCTTAAAAGGCGGAGGAAAGGAAAGCGGCCCGAGACGCCCTTGAGCCTTGCGAAGGCTCTGTCATCTGTGTAAATAACTATGGTGCTGCGTAAAGAATATGTAGCTGCAATGTCTGTGAGATGTTAACATTAATCTTTTTGTTAGACTTTGTTCTAAGCTGCTCTTGCCTTTAAAAGAAACGTTAGAGTGAAGGATTCTTTCGTCACCAGCCAAATCGCTCTGAAATGGCATAGTAAGAAATCTTTGGTACTATGTCAGCTTTCTTAATTCAGATTTGAATTTGTAAGGTACATGAGCACCTCCATAATCCAAATGTTTTAAAACATACGGTCTTCTCCCAGACTGTGTCCCAGAACCATGTGTATACCTAGATTTGAAATCCCTGGAGTAAAGACAGAGAGTGGTGTGCGGTGTGGTGATAACGGGATTATTCATCTTCGCATCATATTCGGACACGTTATTTCCTGTTCCTTCCTCCTCTTCTCCCCGGCACCCCTGAAAACCCACCCTGCAGGTGGTTACGGCTCTGCATTCAGTCGAAGTGGGAGGAAGCAATTCCTTTGGCTCTAAAAATGGCAACTGAACAAGGAAGGATGAAGTTTACACGCCCTTTATTCAAGTAAGACCAAATCACTGTGCTTCCTGTTTACACAGGAAAGGGGTAGAGAGTTCTTAAGTCAGAGACACTCATAGAAGCCAAAGGATTTTTAAAAGAATTAGAAGATATGGGTGAGCAGGGACGGACAAGAAAAGGGATCTAAAACTAAGTGTAAAGACAAATGAGCAAATTAAACACAACCTTTTTGATTCAAGTGTTGCTAAGAAATAGAATAGGTTGCTTGAAATAATAAAGGAATGCTTGGTAAAAGGGGGAAAGTTATATTTTGCTAGCTAGATATATTTTAAGAATATCTCCATGGGGGGCTGGGGATTTAGCTCACTGGCACAGGACCCGCCTGACATGCTCAAGGTCCTGAGTTCGATTCTTAGCACCCCTCAGAAAAAGACTGTCTCCATGGAATTCATTGACTATGCATTTGTGTTTTGTTTTGGTTTTTTCTTTTCTTTTTATCGGTACCGGGGATCGAACTCACGACCGCCTGCTTGTAAGGCAGGTGCTTTTGCCGCTGAGCTAAATCCTCAGCCCTACGCATTTGTTTTATAGTCTGAAAAAATATGATCATGACATAAATGCCTATGATTAACATATTTGCTTTTCATTTACTTCATAAGGATTACAAATGGCAATATAAGTCATCCATTTTATAAAATGCAACCACAAAATTAATTTTTAAGTATTTTAAATTATATTTTATATGGTTTTCATAATTAAAACCATGTAGCTTTGAATTGAATACAGTATATTTTAAACAGTTTTTAAACCAGAATACACCTCCTTCTGGAAAAATAAGTATTCCTGCCTTATGATTTACAAATAGCTATGTTTAAAATGATCAATTCGGTATTTTTTGTGGTCATTCCAATTTATGTGCCATTTTTATTATTTTATGATGATATTTTCACTATCACTTGGTTGAGGTTTTCAGTTCTTTTTTTATAAATTTATATTTTTATACTCTTAAAATCTTAATTAGAAATACAAACATTAGTAAGCAGCTTTTTAAAAAGACAGAAGGCTTTGAGGTGCTCTTAGACAAGACCGATATGTAACCATTAAGTAAGAGGACACTGTTCAAACCCTAAAATCCCCCTGGCCTGCTTGGTACATGGCCACTGTCCCGGCCCCCTGGACCTGTCCCCGTGACTGCTGAAGTCTCTGACTGCCAGGGTGAGTGAGGCTCACCCTGATGCAGGGGTTGGTCCGAGGCCCTCTGATGGCCTGGGACTGGTGCTCATTGGGAGACACCTACCTCCGCCCTGCAGTCCTCTCGCGTTGAACCTTGGTGCTAACTTGTGCTCCTGCTCCTCCTCCCCTTCCGTGCCCTTCCCTCTCGCTCCTGCGTCTCTGTCTCTCCTGCACCTGTCATCTTTCCTTTTTTATTGGCAGGGACCTGGCCGCCTTTGACAAATCCCACGACCAAGCGATCCAAACCTACCACGCGCACAAGGCCAGCATGCACCCCGTGACCGCCATGCTCGTGGGGAAGGACCTGAAGGTGGAGTAAGGACCTGCCGTGTGCCGATTTCAGAGATTTCTTTTTTAAATTGACTTCATTAAAAAATAGAAAACTTCAACTCTCGTTGTAATTAAAAATGTCTTTTTTAGTTTCAGCTTTTTCTTGTCAGTGATTTTTTTGAGTTTTGCTACTTTATTATTTTTTTTAAACTAGTGGTCTAGTCTTTGAAAAGTAAATTTTAGTGAGCTGTTAACCTTTCAATTTACAAGTGTTAAATTTTCCAATTAGTTTTTTCCTACCATGGTCATAAAGCGAGTCATATGCTTTACCTGATTTTTTTTTCTGAAGTTTTTCATTTGAATCTGTCGCAAGCCCAGAGCTCAGCATCCTGATGGTTTTGAGTTTTAAACAGCCTCACACATGAGCACCCCCACCTCCGACAGACACAGGTGAACTCAGGGTGTGGCCCTCCACTGCCCTCCATGGATCCCTGCTGATCCAGGACTGTCCCCGTCTCCTCTGCTCAGGGTCAGCACTCCCACCAGCCCCTTGCACCGCCACCTGACAATCTGTGGGCCCTGCTGCCACCCTGAGACGTCCATCCAGCAGCACCCAGAGCACACAGCACATAGAGTCACAGCACATACTGTCCCCGAAAGAGGGGACACTACAGACAAGAACGCACACACCTGTGAGTGTGGCCCTCGGCATGCAGTTCGGGAACTGTAGCTATGCTAGGCAGGGCTCTTTGATCGCCGGTAACAGCAACCCAAATGACTGGCTATGCTAAGGAGAGAGGTGCAGGAGAGGCCCATACCCCGTGGACACACAGAAGGGGCTGCGGAGACGCCAGGCCTTCTGTCTCTGCTTCTCTCGTCTACATTGTGCAGTGGACACTTGCAGCTCCAATGGTACAAAGGGTTGCTGCCACAAGGGGACACTGTCTTGGAGTCCGATTCACTGACCTTGAAACTGACCTGGGTGGGATGAGACTGACTTGGATCTGGTCTGCCCCTAACCATATAAATGCAAGCCATGGGGAATGTTAGGAGAGGAAGCCAACCGAAAGGGCTGATGTGATGAAAAAGCCTTAAAAAAGATGGGGAGGAATTCCCGGGAGGGATCCCCAGAGTGTGGTGGCCCATGCCTGAGGCCTGAGGAGTCTCTTCTCCTGCTGTCCCTTGTAGATGTGTCCTTTTGGACGCTTGCCCGTGCTGCAGAGGGAAGGGTTAGGCTCTGTTCTCATTTGCCCCCCCTTGCCAGGAACGCCAGAAGAAGGAGCAGCTCAGATCCCAGGGCAGAATCATGCTATCAGAGATCAGACCCCAGCGAATCCATGCACCCAAACAGTGCTTTGTAAGGCTGTTTCACCCTGTGAGCGTCTAAGACTTGCTAAGCTGCTGCTTCCCAGCACCTATTAGTGATGCTCAAAGTGAGTGGAACAAGGGTTGTTTGAAGAATGCTGAGAACAGTGTCATGGAGAAGCCAGAGGGCGCTAAAGTCAAACCTATTCTAGCTGAGGCCACCTTAGGGCTTCCCCTGATGGGTGCAGCTCATAAGCCTATGTTGAATGTCTTTGTCTCAGATCACATATGCACATGATTACTGGATGAGCACAGATAATTTTTAGGTAGCGCTAAAAAATAAAGGGAGCTGAGAGTTGTGTCATCTAGGAATTCTGTAAAAGATAGGCCCAGCTGGGAGCGTGCTGTAGTTAGTATTTCTATTCCTCATGGTGGGTTGCAGGGCATCTTAGTCTAAGTCTGTATCCAGCAGCAGACAGCACCATGAAGGCAAAGGATGTGTCTGATTCATTTCATCCCCCGCACCTCCTGTAAAGCTTGTTACACAGCGAGTGTTCAAGAAGTATTTGTTGAATGCATTAATGACCAAGGATGGAGGAGCCAGGAGCTTGTGTTTTCTGGTGGACACAGGAGACTGGGCCCGGCTCTGAGATCAGAGGGATGGGTGTTGGGGTGAAGGCTTTGAGGATTCACTGATGCAGTGAGGTGCATCAAAGGGTCAATACCGAGAGTGGATGATCCCAGGACGTCTTCCTGCCTTGGTGAACAGAGATGGTTTGCCTTGAGGACTCAGGGCATGGGCTCCGCTCAAATGCAGGCCCAGACTTAGGGGTTGCAAAGGTAGGGGCTGAATGTGTTTGAGGAAGACTGGTCCAGGGGAGCAACCAGGAAAGTCGGTGGGGAAGCTGGTGGGGGGTAGAGGCAAGAAGTCCTGGAAGGAGAGGCCGGAAGACAGAGGGTGGAAGTGGACGTCAGAGTTTAAGATGACATCAAATTCAGGCAACAATGACTCCAAGCTGCAGGCGAAGTGTGGCTGGCTGAAGGGCAAGTTGCAATTAGACTGCAGGACGCTGCCTTAGGATGAGAGGCTTGGGATGTGGACACAGAGAAGCTGTGTCAGTTTCCGATGAGGTCTGTGGTAATGGAAATGGACAAGGATTTTCTACTGCAGTAAATCCCTATCAACTGGTTTCTACTGAAGAGCTGCTTAGTGAAAGCAGGGCACATCTTCCTTTGACCCCTTTTCCATGCAGTGCAGGGTTCTTCCATGCTACAGGTAAAGAATTGGGTGCACAGAGCAGTGAATCCCTGATGAAGAAGCTTAATTGGTGAAGAAGCTTAATTGATGAAGAAGCGCATAGTGAGAACAGCCCTGGGAAACGTAGCCAAAGGAGCTCCATCTTTTGGGCACTCCCCTGCCCCAGCATGCAGGGGTCCCAGTGCCCAGCAGGTGCTGGGGTCATGAGCCAGGCTGCAGCATAACAAGGTTCCCCACCACCGCCACTGGTCAGAGCCTGCCGAGACCAGCGGCACTTCCTGAGGCAGATGGGATGGGAGCAGAGTACATACAGCTTTCCCCAAGGCCCTTTTTGCTTTCAATCCTGCTTTTGCTGTTTTAATTAGTGACCTATAAAACCAAACACCTAGGAGGAGGTGGGCAGCTTCCCTAATGCCACAACCCACAAGGTGTCCACTGCTCTGTCAGTAACCCCTAATCAACTGAGTTACTCACCAACTGGACTTGTCCAACTTGTTCTTTGGACTGTTGGCCTCCTTTTAGTTCGGAAGCAGAAGCTCCTTCTCTGTCTCTGAAAATTTACATCATTAGGAGTACCCAAGTACCAAAAAGAAAGGACATTCCCAAAGCAACAGAGGTGATGTCGCGTACTAAAGCCCAAACTCTCCTACAACATTTCCGATATCACATGGCCTTCCGGGGCCGTTCTTTGCGTGAGCTCACCTTATCCTCCCAAGAACCCTTTAGAGTAGATACTATCATTATTCTCATATTATAGTCAAGGGAAGCGAGGCTCAGGAGAGGCTCAGGAAAGTCAAGTAACTTTACCAGCAGCCAAACAGCTGGGAAATCACAAAGCCAGGATTTGATCCCAAATTACTGCGTGGAACAGTTAACTCCTTCGTCCCTGGCCTGGAAACCAGAGGCTGATTACTCACTTGCCCGAGGCCAGAAACTATGGGCCCCCTGAGCCGCAGTCCTTACTTACCCAGAGTGCGACCTTTAGTTGTGAAAATGATCCCTGCCCTTTGCAGTCTTTCTTTGTGGAGCATTTCAGAAGGATTTGACTGTGGCAGGGAGTCCTTGCTCAATGTGTGTTTGTGGAATAAACAAATGCATGAAGATTGCCACACTTCTGGGTGTCACACTTGGCCATCAGGGTGCACTTTACAGCTAAGTAATTCCAAATTAAATCAGGAATACGCTGTTTATAAGCCGCCCTCAGTGAAGGAGGATGCAGACAGAAAGAGAAATTGGGGTCCTAACCAGAGGCATGGAAGACCCCAGGCCTTTCTGCTCGCAGAACCGGATCACACACAGACGGATATTCACCAGCCTTCACCCTCTTCTCGTGTCTCTTGCATAGCTACAAAAAGCCAAAGGGACACTAGGAACCATCGATAAATATTTGTCTAAACCATGAATGAGTAAAGGCTAGGGAAGGGGTGTGTTCTGAGAGCCCATCCTCACCGACCACACCTCTGCAGTTCCTGCTAGATAAAAACTCTCCCAGGAGGAGCCAGCAGGTCTGAAGCAGCAGCTTCCTGGTCTCCGGCTGCAGAGTGGAGCCATGCCCAGGTATACAGTGCATGTGCGCGGGGAATGGCTGGCTGTGCCCTGCCAGGACGCGAAGCTCACTGTGGGCTGGCTGGGCCGTGAGGCCATACGGCGCTACATGAAGAACAAGCCGGATAATGGTGGCTTCGCCTCGGTGGATGATGTGCGCTTCCTCATGCGTCAGTGCAAGGGTCTGGGCTTACTGGACAATGAGGACTTGCTGGAGGTGGCCCTGGAGGACAATGAGTTCGTGGAAGTGGGTGAGTGGCTGCTGGGCTGGGAGAAGACAATGCGTGGACATTTGAGCTTTGTCCTTACAGGATGTGTCTGTATCTATGTCCTGGTCTGTCCTGGGTGAAAGTGCCAAGGACACTTCAAAGCACTGCAAGTCATTTTAAAGCAGCCATTTCTACCGAATCTATGGGCAGTTCTTGGCCTTCCTTGATGTGGCTCTGCCCTGTGATTTCTAAGGGCTCTCTCTCTCTGGGCTTCTCGTTTCAGTCATCGAAGGCGATGCAATGTCACCCGACTTCATTCCCTCTCAACCAGAAGGAGTTTACCTGTATCCTTTCTTGTGGGCCCGTGGGTCGCCTCTGGAGGAAAGGGACTGGGGCTTTTCCACACTATGGAACATTTTCCTTTACCTGGCTTCAGATACAGCAAATACCGGGAGCCTGAAAAGGTAAGCTGCAAAGAAAATCAAGTCCCCCGGGTAAGGATGGCCGTGTCATGATGTACAACAGGCTGCAGAGCTGATCAACAGGACAGGCTTTATAACCTCGCGTCAGCACAGTCTGTATCAGTTCTGAGCTTGGAAAGGGACTGCCCATCTTCCTGTAAGAAAGCTGGCTTTTAAATTAGCACATTACTGTTTCACAGCAGTGGTTAGAACCTCCTGAATCATCAAAATCAGATTCTGTCCAACTGTAGAGAGGTTAAGTTGCTCGAGCTTACTGAGATTCCCTTTCTGCCCAGTATATCGATTTAGATGGGAACAGCCTGACCACGGAAGACCTGGTCAACTTGGGAAAGGGACTCTACAAAATAAAGGTATGGGGGCAAGAGGGGAGAAGTTTGGGATATTTCCACATTTCTGGATGCAAAGTCATTAACATACACGGTTCTGATCAACATTTTCCTCCTAGCTGACTCCAGTTGCTGAGAAAAAGGTACAGCAATCCAGAGAAGTCATAGACAAGATCATAGAGGAAAAAACGGGTATCTTCTTCACGTTATGTTTATGTTCTAAAAGTCTTTACAGACCAGAAAATCCCTCCTGCGTCTGACTGCATGGCCTGTTTTTCATTCTAGTTGTTTACGGCATTACTACAGGCTTTGGGAAATTTGCCAACACCATAATTCCTATCAGAAAGCTACAGTAAGTTGAAACACACGTGTGTTCATATTCCGCCTTCCTTACGTCTGAGATTTTTTTTCAACAAGGAAAATCACTGGCATTTGCCCCAGTTTACAGATGAGCAGGGTGAGACTTGGGGTAACTTGCTGCAAATTGATAGTGAAACCACGGGCGGGTTGGTTTCTCTCACTGCACCTCCAAGGAGCTGTTCTCCGGCGGAGGAAAAATTTCCACCTCAAGGTGTCTAAGAGAGTTTGTACCTTTCTCTTCCAGGGAACTTCAGGTCAACTTAGTTCGCTCCCATTCTGCAGGTAAATCATTCAAAGCGCCTCCTGGTGGGTTGGATGAATAAACTCACAGCACAGTGTTGGTGTGACCCCTTGGGCGAGCCGGTGGCCAGCTAGTGTGTCCTCAGCACATTCCAAGGGCAGGTGCTGCTGCAGGGGTGGGGGACCACCCTGCCATCGGACCACTTGACTGGTTTTTTGTTTTTGTTTTTGTTGTTTTGCTGAACCTCAGCAACAGGGCTGGGCTGAACAGAGGGTCAGGCTTGGGAGGGGAGCGTGGGTCCATCTTGCAGACAGGGTGGCAAACTCAGGGGAGAGGATGAAGGCCGGAGCTTGGAGGGTGAGTCAGGATGGGCCAGGCTAATGGGGAAATCTGTCAAGACTCAGCAGCTGAGTTTGTGCTATGGAGCCTGACGATACTCTAAAGGGGTTCAGGAGGGTGGGGGACTTTAAAGCATTGCCAGAAGGGGAACTGAGGCTCTATCTTTGTTGGAAAGCTGATGCTTTGAGAATCAAGACAGGTATGGTAGACTCATGCTGCCAGTAACAGAATGTGGAGACTCTCGGGCGAAAGAGAGAAGGGTTTGAGGGATGGAGCCCACCGGAAGGCGGAATAGGGTTTGGTTATCCTGGAGCAAATACCAGTGTTGCTTTGTAGGTGTTGGGAAACCATTCAGTCCTGAAAGGTGTCGGATGCTCTTGGCACTAAGGATCAATGTCTTAGCCAAAGGATACAGTGGCATTTCCCTGGAGACCCTCAGACAAGTTATTGAAATATTTAATGGTAAGGCGGTGAATCCCTGGACCAAACTTCTGTGGAGGCTGGGTGCATTCTGCAGACTAGATTTGACTGACTCCACACCAAAGGGCAGTGGAGATAAGAAGGAATGGAAAATGGGCCCAACAAGGCAGAGGACAGCAGGGTGGACAGAGGGCACCAAAGGGGCAAAGACAGTCCTGTGAATTACAACTATCCTACTGCGCCCTTCATTTAGCATTTGACAGCTGTAAGACTAGAATGAGACCAGGGTCTTAGCTCAGCGACTGACCCTGTCTTAAAAAATAATAATAATAGAAATAAAACAAGCCCTTTAAGTGTGCTAAACAGAACCATTGATTCAATGGTGTCCACATGATTACAAAAGTTGCATAAAATCCTATAGGACTGTAAGGATTCTAGATGATGCTCACCTCAAAGACCACTAGGGTAATCCCAGCCAGTAGCTGGGAGCCACGTCTGGATTCTCCTCAGGTGACCTTCCAGTTAGACTGGCACACTGAAATCCAGCCTCTTGCTAGGGTGGGGCAGAATGGAGAGAGGTCAATGACTCATTAGTCGGGAAGCCACTGCAGATGCAGCCCCACAAGCACAGCAGGTCAACCCTTTACGCAAAACTCCTCGTTTGATGAGAGACTGGATATTCGATTCAATTCGATTCATGGGGAGCACAGATAAGGATAAACCTAGGTCGGCTCACGAGGGAAAAGGGTGGGAGGGTGCTACCTCACACTGGGGTTCCTGTGCTGGGGGCACACATCACTCATAAACACCCTGTGCCAACCAGTAAAGGGCATGGCGGATGCCCAGCCTATTGTGGAGTCCTATTTTGGTGATTTGGGGAGAATTTTTGATAAAACAGTACATATTCACTGATACTGGGGCAGTAGACTGCATGACTGGCAAAAAAAAGAGACTAAATTGCCTGTGACTTTACCATGCCAAGGAACCCATGCTAATACTTTGGGGTACCTGACCTTCTAGAATATGTCATGTGAATGTTTTAAGGTAAACATTTCCACGTTTCCAAACATTCTCCAGTTGCTTTTGATGGCTCCATACCATTCAATCAATGGGAGTGTCCCTTATTTCCATATTTACATCATTTCTAATGTTTTATTCTTACAAACAAGGCTGTAATCAGCAACACTGCACTTTTTCAGCCTTGACTCCTAGCACGTCTTTGTGATACATGCCTAGAACTTCTAAACATGTCAATAAGAGCAGATTAGTGCACGCACATTTTGAAGGCTGCTTTATGGGGGTGGGGGACCTTCTTCCTTCCCTCCTTCCGTCCTCTCTTTCCTTCCTCTTGTCCTCCCTCTCTTTCAGTAGCAGCTTGGCTGGGTCCTTTAAGTATTTGTTGTGCTTGAGGAACTGGCTTTGCACAGCCATTTATGCCATCAATCCTCGTAGGCACAGCAGTCTTCACCGGTGACACGAGGATTGCCAGAACCAAGTAAGTCCCCTTGAAGTCACTGGTGCCTGCTTTTCCCACAGCCTCCTGCCTGTCCTACGTCCCAGAGAAAGGAACTGTGGGTGCCAGTGGAGACCTTGCCCCACTCGCTCATCTGGCTCTCGGGCTAATTGGAGAAGGGAAAATGTGGTCTCCAAAGAGTGGCTGGGCGGACGCCAAATACGTAAGAGCCTTATAACAGCACCTGTAGGGGGCTGGGGGTTTAGCTCAGCAGCATAAGCACCTGCCTTGCAGCTGTGTGGTTGTGAGTTCAATCCCTGGTACTGATAAAAAACAAAAAGACAAAAAAAAAAAAAAAAAAAAGCTTATAACAGTGCTTGTGCATAATGAATACCTGCTACTTCTGGGTGCTTTCTTTTCTTTTTTAAATTTTATTTTAAAGAGGGAAAAATTAAACACAACAAAACAGACCAAAATAGGACATAAGACTGAACAAAATGAGGAAGGCGTTTTAGGTCTTCAAACCAGGCAATAGGGTAGTTACTAAAGGCTGTCTTAGAGTCTCTTGTTCTCTTCAAAGTAGCTGTCCATGCTTTCATGTATAGTGAAGTTCAACAAAACAAAACAGGCTAAAATAACACCATTAATTAGAATAACACAAAACAGTGATAGAAGTATTTGCCTTCAAAGAGATGGTAGAAGGAAATCCCTCCTATGGTCAGCCTCTCAAGGGATGTCCAGATCACTGGCTCCCACTTGCTAAGGGGGGAGGGACTCCTTGGTTTCCCTGTGCTCCAGGTCCCAGCCTGGTGCGGGTCCCAGTAAACGCCAGAGGCTCCTGTCCTTTCTGTCACTTTAGTGTTAAAATAATAGTCCAGTGAGGAAGCCACTGTGATTTTTATGTGAACAATGCGACAACTCAACCTGGCGAGTCAAACTCGGCAGGGCTGTTACCCTCCTTGACCATCAGCTTCCTACACTTGGAGGCCACCCACGTGAACAGATACAGTTGCTAGCGTCACTAGAGGAATTCTGTACCCACAACACTTCCATTGCGTCCACTGGTCACAGCTGTCATGGTGGCAAATATGCGCAGGGGTCTTACCAGGGCAGAGCTGTGGAGCACAGTTCTTCCTGTGTGCTCCCAAACGCAGGTTCTATTTTTTCCCTTCCTGGTAGCTAATCAGAAAATCCCCTTTTTCCTAAAGTTTTATTGCTTTCTTTATCCATCTCCAAATTCCATCAGAGCAGCCTAAATCATCATTTTAAGTGTTATTTCTGATCCGTTTCTGGGAGGTCACATAACAGTAAGTGTAAAGGACAGAGGGCCAAGGAGGAGGGACAGATTCACGGACTAGATTATTCTTTGGGGGACACTGGCTCCAGCTCCCCTGTCCTCTGTGCTGCGTCTTCTTGATTATTCCTCTCTGGGCAGTTCCCAGCCACCTTCACAAAGCCATCAATCTGACCTTTCTAAACAGCCAGCCCGGCCATGTGCTGCCTAAAATCTCCAATGTTTCCCTTATCCTTATAATAAAGTCTAGACTTAACGTGGCGTCAGAGGTCTTGTTTGTGCTGTGATCCCCTGATCCCTCCCGCCCACATTCTCTATCACTGAGTCCAGAGGTTACCTGCAGCTGGAACACACTGGGTCCTGGGCAGAGCGCCCCGCACCAGCACATTCTTCTCCTCCCTACCAGCCTCATTCCCTTTTCTCCTCCCAAAGAGTCCCCTAGGAAGCTGCGCTTTCTGCTCCACTGGGCCTTTTCTCTACCTCCCCCCACCAAGTTCCTTTGTGGTCTCATTTCCTGTTCTCCCAGCAGCTTGTGTACCCTCAAGCAGACATCCAACATCCTCACACACCAGCATCCTATTTCTCTAATTGCTCCTGAGCTTGTCTGGCTCTCCTTCCCCTACTGATAGGCCCAGCCCAATACCATGAAGAGGGAGAGTCTGGTGTGCTGGGGGTGTCGAAGTCTTCCTGTGACATGGATTCCTTAAATGGTACTGGCTCTGTCTTTTCTGGCTTTAACTTCTTCCTTCATCCCGAGAGGGCCCGTAGCCCAGCGACTCTGTTTGCTTCTTTTATCTCAGGGGAAAACTATTTCCCTTTCCTCCAGGGCCCTGTCTCCATGGGGTAGAGGGCATTCCACAATCCTCTCTTCATTGTTGTGCACAGATTTGGCATCCATGGCCTGCTCAGAGGTTCTGCCAGTGTTTAGAGAAAGTAGAAATGAAGTCACAGGACTTTTTAGTTCAAGCTCTGGGGTAAGGCACATACACAGAGTGTGAGGAGCCCGGCCTTAGCCGAGGGCAGCTATGTCTGCAACCAGCAATACAGATAGAGGTTGAACGCAAGCAGCCTAGGAACCAAAATTGATTGTGAAGACAATAGACCTCACCCTTTAAGTACAAAAATTGTTTGGAAGATAAGTGCTTTTCGACTAAAAATCAGAACTAGAGACTAGAGCAGAAAACATGCACAGAACCAGTTCAGTTCCATCTGATCTTTTACAAAATGAACTTTGGGACATAAAGATCTTTTAGGGGATTCTATACGAAATCAGTAACAGACTGATATTTCATTTGATGTCCATTTTCATACTTTAAATCTTTCTATAGGTCCTGCAAGCCCATGGACTAAAACCAGTTGTTTTGAAACCAAAAGAGGTAAGGAGATTCAAGGAAAACTTGTTCATCTGAGCAAGTCCTTATGTATGCACTGTGTTCAGTTTGTGTCTGTCGCATGGTTCCTTAAAGCAAACTCAATTTGCATTTTGGTTGAAAGTTGCTCACTGCAGACAGGACCTGTCCGTGAACCATTAAAAGACTTCATGTCACAAATGTTGGGGATTCTCTTAGGGATTTAAACTTCAAATCTGGTTCTCTAAGGCGCTTGAGTGATGCTGCTCTAAGCCAAAAGGCTTGGATCAGAGTTGGTTTTGGATATCTTACCTACGATCGTGGGACATTAAAGAAGAGATGTGACATAATAAAGAACTAAGCATCGTACAGGCAGTTCCTGCTCCAGAGCTACGTGGCTGCTGTGAGTACGGGGTCAAACTATAGATACTCTGCTGGCCAGATTTGTGCTAATGATCTCACATCTGGTGGCACAAATTCCTCAAGCATCTATTAAGCATCACTGCCCTGCACTTTAGAAAACCACAGATAAACAATTTTGCTAACCAGCTAATGTTTATCCTCCAAAAGCAGACTGCATGAAATCCACCTGTATGAAGGTGTTTTACAATAGAGTTGGGAACTTTTCTCTCCTTCTCCAAAGGGCTTGGCGCTCATCAATGGGACACAGATGATCACATCCCTGGGCTGTGAAGCTGTCGAGAGAGCCAGTGCCATCGCCCGGCAGGCTGACATTGTGGCAGCCCTGACCCTTGAGGTGCTGAAAGGCACCACCAAAGCCTTCGACACTGGTCAGCAGGGTTCTTCCATTCAGTCATTCACTCAGCCAGAGCCAGTGGGGCAAGCTGATTGAGCGTGGTGGGGTTGAGTGGCTGAGAAGATGGAGAAAATCCCAGCATCCTCCGAGTTCTGCCACATTAGATCCTCAGTATGACACATTTTACAGACGCTGACCTGGAGAGTTAAGTGGCCTGCTCCAGATGACCCAGTGTTTTAGCAATCTTCTTGCAAGACTTTAAAACTAGAGCTGGCTTAGGACTGGCCTTGATTGGACAAGGAAGAGGAAAACTATACAACTATGGCAGTAGCTTACATAGGATGCAGTGAACGTCTTCCTATAGTGACACGTAGGACCATCTAAAGTGGCCACTATTCCAGTTCCCTACTATGATGAGCCCAGGTCTTTTAAGCATGCACCCAGTGTCCTGAGTTCAACTCCAAGTGAGCCGAAAGCACAGCTTAGACTCAGATATTTAAAGTAGAAAGACTAAAGCCCGTAAGGACGATTTGCGATTACGCTTCTCGTTCTGTGCGATGGGTGGGACGTGTGGGACTCCCGAGGGCCGTGGCGGCACCTGGAGCAGTTCCCTGTGATGTCAGATCTGCTCGATCTTCTCCTCTTTCTCAATTCCAGACATTCACGCCGTTCGGCCCCATCGTGGGCAAATCGAAGTTGCTTTTCGATTTCGGTCACTTTTGGACTCGGATCACCACCCGTCAGAAATAGCAGGTGTGGCATGTTTGTGTGAGAGGGTTTATTTGGTTGTGTATTCTATGGGAAGAAGAAGTGATAATTTGTCTCTCTCTCTTCTCTCTCCCACCTGTCCCACAGAGAGTCACAGGTTCTGTGATCGTGTTCAGGACGCGTACACCTTGCGCTGCTGTCCCCAGGTAAAATCAAAAAGCCAGCAAAGGTTCTTTGGTTTCCTCAAGCTCTGGGGAGATAAACAGAAAAGGAGGGATGTGTTAGAAAATCATGCTGTGGCCAATTATAATCCGAATTTCCTTTACTGCCTTCATTAAAAATTATGTATGCCATGCTTTCATTTCTTCAACTATATACTTTCTTCTCTGCATGCTAAACTGTTTTCTTTTGACTTTTTTCACTGTCCAATGGACAACTCGCAGCATTTATTTAGTGCAACATCTAAAGGTTGAGTTTTACTGGTTCTCCCTGCCCTGGGGAACACCCTTGTCGTGAGTGTATCTTATCTCCCTTCTATAATCAGAGATAAATTATTATAGTTGATCATGTGAGGCTTCAATTTGAAAATGCAAGTGATTGGGTGGATCCTAGGCTTGCCGTATTACAGGTGTAGGATTCATTTACATGAGGCACATTGATAAGACACTTTTTTTTTTTTTTGTCTTTTTGAGACAGAGTCTCGTTGTGCAGTTCAGGCTGGCCTTGAGCTCATTTTGTAGCCCAGGCTGGCCTCGAACTCAAAATGATTCTCCTGCTTCAGCCTCCCGAGTGCTGGGATTACAGGCATGAGCCACCACACCCGGCTGATAAGACACATTTTAAGAAACAGTATGGCCCTGTGCCTAGCTCCTGTCTAGAGTGTGACAGAGTCTTCTCCATTTCCTTCCATGGAGCATGTTCTTTGCTAGCACAACACATCAAAAACCTCTCTAGAAGGCAGGGGAATGTAGCTCAGTGGTAGAGCCCTTGCCTAGCACATCCTGGGGTTCCAGGAAAAGAAAAGACCCTGAGAAAGAATCATTAGAATAACTGTACTGAAGGATATGTCCTGGTTTAGGACCTCCCTGTGACAGCCGGCTGTGTGACAGGTCTCATTATTAGTGTCTTCCAGTGTCAAGTCCTTCAAGTTCCCCAGCTATGAGATAGGTGCTTTGTTCCACACTGCAGCTGGGAAGTGAGGCTGAGAGCTAAGTTCCTTGCCCAGGCTCACACAGCTGCAGCCTTGAGCCTCTTGACTTCTGAGAGAAGCCAAACAGCAGGCCAGGCTATCCAGCACGTGACTGACCTTGGGCTTGGAGCAAGATGGCTGCCTGATGCATGTGCCTGTTGACTCTGCGCCTTCTAACATGGTCACTTATGCTTCACGAATTTAACCTCTTCAATAGTACCCTTCCAAAGAGCTCTGAGTCATGTCTAAGAATTTGTCTGTATTATCTTAGCTTCCTCACACAAGCTGTGAGGTAAGTTCTGTTGTCGGTTTCTGTTTCTGCTATAAACTTAATAACTCTCCCATTTTCCACCCTAACCTTCCGTGTCTGGAGACATTCTTTCTCCTACCCCATTCTGTTTTTATAGATTACTCTCATGTGAATGCACATCGTAATTGATTTATTCTAATTTATTTCAGTGAGAACCCAAAAGATTCATCAGCGTTATCTTCATATTTTAAATGAGCCACATTTAATTTTCATGGTTGTAACAGCAAAGCGCTTTCCAAGGAAAGACTGAAGAAGTTATAAGAGTGTGGGTACCCTTCATGGAATCCATTGGTCCTATATGTTATTTTGGTTGTCTTTTAGGTCCATGGTGTGGTGAATGACACAATAGCATTTGTGAAAGGCATCATTACCACAGAACTGAACAGTGCAACAGATAATCCTGTATCCTCCTCCTGAATGTCTCCTAATCCTCAGATATAGACCTCCAGCTGGTAGTTTTAGGGTTATTGTGAGGAGCATCTCAGTTCCCTTATTCCCTTCCACAGGTAAATGAGTGCATCCCCGAGGTTCAGAGTTTAAGTGACTTTCTGCAGGTCACAGCTGGTACGTGGCACACACAGGCTAATGAACCTACCTTCAGGTTCTGAGTCTAACATGCTGACCTTTCAAAATTGACCCATGAGAGATGGAGGGACAGAGTTCCACCTCGGATTGAGCTATTTCTTGATGGTATTGAACCCAAAGCCAACTTCTAAGGTTTGTTCATAAAGGTATGGAGACACACGCCAGAAAAGTAATTTCAGAGACCCACTAGGCTGGTCTCCCTGAGTGCAGGCCTCGCTGGGTCTAGTAAGGCCTGATGATCTATACAGAAGGTAGCATTCAAACCCTTTCCAAAGTCTGATTAGAGTTATCCTGAGATTTTATCTCTAAGTTGATGTTATCCCAGCCCCTGTTGCCATAGTTGTGCAAAGAATAAAAGCACTTCCATTTCTCCAGGATGGGGTTCCTTTCTGATGGCTGAGGCCCCCAGAGGGCAGGTGATCAGGCAGGGAATAGTCTTCACAGAGACAACGCTGCCTTTGAAGGCAGCCAAGTCGCTTAGCAATCTATTTTTCCCATCCCACATCTGCCTTGGTTCCTACTGCTAGAAAAAGTACTGTGTTAGTACACATCTGTGTCACCTTTCTTACAAGATGTCTTCAGTGTGTGTTATATTTGAAGGGATCCACAAGTGTTACGTTCAACCTTAACCTATTTTGAAAGATGGTCTTTGCCAGCAGGGGAGAGACAATTTCTGGAGGAAACTTCCACGGTGAATACCCAGCCAAAGTAAGCCTTTAAGCATGGCTCCTGGGGCTGGGGATATAGCTCAGTGGCACAGCACCTGCCAGGCGAGTATGAGGCCCTGAGTTCCGTTCCTGTTCCAACATGGGTCCGCTGAGCTGAGATATTCTTCCAGGCCCTGGACTATTTGGCTATTGGTGTCCATGAGCTTTCTGCGATTAGTGAAAGAAGAATCGAAAGGCTCTGTAACCCCTCCCTCAGCGAGCTGCCCGCCTTCCTGGTGGCTGAAGGCGGTCTGAACTCGGGGTTCATGATAGCCCACTGTACAGCTGCAGCCCTCGGTAAGACACTGCCCCTCCCAGAACCCAAACCACCCACCAAAGGGCCTTGGGATGAAAGCATCACATTTTGTCTCTGAATGAGATCTCATTCTGCACCACTTCTATTTCCGTGGTCACTTAGTCCAGGCATAGCAGGGGGACTCCTTTAACATCGCTTAGAAAAACGTATGTATAATGTTACGTGCTGAAACATAGGTTATGATAACGAGAATGCAAATGGAAAATTTCTTTGTGAAAAGCAATTTGGCACCACATAGTAAGTTCAGCTTTACAGTTTTAGTTTCCAAACTGAATTTGAAAACTATCAAAAGGAGAAAAGACAAAAAGTGTTTATAGCTTAACAGTGAGTCTTAACCCAGCCTGAATGATTAAACTCCGGAGACAGTCTGTCAGATATGCCAGCCCCCAACAGAGAGACATCAGTGCGACATTTGAAATGCTTCCAAGGAGCAATATGCCCTCTAGGAAATCTGAACCTCAATATAGCTGAGTTCTTAGTACCGTGTGTAAGGAACAGATGTGGCACAGGTCTGGCACAAAGCAAATGCTCAGAGTCGCACTGGTATCAGTGCAGTCACCACAGCAGTGCCACTGGAGAGACACCTCTAGTGTTTCCATTTTGCAGATGAACATCTGGAAATCTGTGAAGCCAAGTTATTCGCTCAGTGTTGCACAGACAATCAAATGTAGTGGAGAATTCAAACCCAGGCTTTAACTACCAAATCCATGTTCTCACTGCAATGAATGAAGATCTATTTTAACCAATATTTAATCCTAAAATATGGTCACCAAATTTAACACACAAAAATACAGCACACCTACTTAAGTTTGAATTACTTGGGACATACTTATACTCAAAGACTATTTGTGTTTCATGTGAAAGCCAAATTTAATTTATACTGTATTTTCTCTAATAATCCTTCCCCAAAAGGCAAGAATTAACCCAGGAGGTGGTTCATTTAGAGTGCAGAGACTGGATCTGAATCCCAGCTCTCCTGCTGACTAGTGGGGTCTCATTGAGTCTCTTAATCCGGCTGATCCTTAATTTCCCCCTACGTACAATGAGGATGGTAAGTCTCCCTGGTGGACTGTTTTTAGGACTAAATGAGTTAATGCATAAAAAGCATCAAGACTGTGCCTAGGACATCATGACACTAAACAAATAACAGTTCCCAGTTACATTCTTCCTAAGCCCTTCCTTACCCAAGCCTTTCACTAAAACTCAGCACAGCCAAGGAAGAGCCATTGAATTCCCCTTCATCCCCAGTGCCCTGAGGTCTTCTTCACTTTTGCTTGTCAAAATATCTCTTTCACAGATGGAGACTCCTCACTGTCCTGTGGTGGCAGAGGAAGTTGATTCCCAGAGAACATTACAGACATGGGGGAGCCTGGTGGGAGTTTAGCTTTCCAAGCGGCCTCATGAAGTTATGAAGCTTGATTTATTAATGAATCTTGGCCACTTGCAAATTACCTTTCCACACAAAGATCATCAGAGGGTGCTGGGCAGTAAAGCTCACAGTTCAGAATCCCAGGGGGGCGGGCTGGGGGTTTAGCTCAGCGGTGTAAGTGTCCACCTGGAAAGCATGAGGTCATGAGTTCGATCCCAGGTACCAAAAAATAAGTATATAAATAGAATCCCAGGCTTTAGAGTGGCAGAACTTGGAACATCCTGAACAAAAAGGAGGGTACCTAGCTGATCACCCTAGTTTAAAACTGAGACCCTGCAAGGAAGAACAAAACGAAAGCCATCTCAAGTTCAACTGAAGAGGAAAAAAAACTTTGAGTATGATATGTTATGATTTCTGAAGCCAGAGAGAAGGTCCTCAGGAGAGCAGTCCTCAGACCACAAAGCAGTGTCAATTTTGAGCTTGTTAGACCACAAGATCCCAGGCCTCAGCTCAAACTCAGTATCTACATTAAAACAAGATCTCTGAGACACTGATACCCACAATCAAGTTTGGAGGTGCTAGGACAGGAGCCCCCTCACTTCCCAGAGGTGGCCCTGATTACTTAAACTCCGAACACCCACTTCTTTCACGTTGCACAGACTGAAATATTCCATCTTGCCCAAGGTCTGCAGGCCCAGCCCCTGCCCCCACACTTCTCTCCCACTTCCTTCTCCTGGTGCCAAAGTAATTTTGAACCATCTGATATTTGGGACATGAACAAAAGCTCCTGAATAGGGTCTTCCGGACCAAGGAGAGGTTGAGGCTCTCTGTCTTTCTGTCTCTCTGTGTCTGTCTCTGTCTCTGTCTCTCTCTTTTTTCTTCCTTCTGTTTTTAAGTAGTGACGATTAAAACCAGGACCTTTGCACTGAGCTATTTATCATTCATTCATTCATTATTTTGAGACTCATCATCAAGTCATTAAGATGCCAAGCTGGGCTCGAACTTGCAATCCTCCCACCTCAGCGCCTCTGAGTATGGGGAGACCACATGCACCACCACACCTGGCATCTGTGGAGACATTAGGGAAGCCACGTGACACCTAGCCATTGCATCCTCCTAGGAGCGCTTCTGAACTAGCTCCGGTCTCTTGCAGTTTCGGAGAGCAAGGCCCTGTGTCACCCTTCCTCTGTGGACTCGCTCTCTACCAGCGCCGCCACGGAGGACCACGTCTCCATGGGCGGGTGGGCAGCCAGGAAGGCGCTCAGGGTCATCGAGAACGTGGAGCACGGTAAGGCTGGCGAGTCGGGGATGGCAGGGCCGGTGGTTGCCACAGGCAGCATCAGCTGGACCTGGAAACTCATTAGAAATGCAAGTTCTGAGGCCCCTCCCAAGCCTGTGGAGTCAGGTACTCCAGGGAGCCGTCTTCCTCACTGTAACTTGCTTTTCCACGGAAATCACCTTCCTTGAGACATTCTCTAACTTCATAAGTTTATGCAGTAATATTGCATAAAACTATTGGACAACAAAATTATCACTGTTTTAAAATAAATGTAAGGGCTGAGTGGTCTTCTTTTGCCTTTAGCTGTTTTGAGATAAATTCATATGTCTTCCCATCCACCCATTTAAAGGGCATAGTTCATTAGATGTTACCAATTGGGAAGAAACTGTTCAAAAGAAAAGACAAACTGATGGGGAGAGGAAGGTAGGGAAAAAGAAAAAATATATTTATATATAAGATAGTTAAGCTAGTTATGCAGCTAGTTTTTCTTAGTTCATTGAAAAAAAAGGTTTGTGCTAACATTGTTTGGACAATGTCTATATCTTGTACTCTGAATAACAATGATAGATAACAATATGCAATGTAGTAATTAGTTAACTCCTACTAACCTGTTCTGCAACTTTATTTTATGGTTATTGTTATTTTTTTCTTTAAAAAAGTAAATAAACAGTGTACAGTTGGTGATGTTAGTATAGTCACCGAGCTGTAGTGACCAACACACAGTCAATTTAGAACATTTACCTTGGCCTCCAAAGAACCTTAAACATCACGACCCCATTCTTCCTGTTCTCCCAAGTCTTAGGCAACTACTGATCTACTTTCTGTCCCTATGACTAGATGTCGTTCTGTGGTAGAAATCAACCACATTCGGTGTATGATTTTATTGTTTGAAGGGAACTGGGTTTCTTCCATCTTTTAGCTGTTGTGGATGATGCTGTGGTAAGTGTGTATAAGTTTACATGTGGATGCAGGTCTTCACTTCTCTAGGGAAGAAAGGATGGGTCATAGGATGACCCTACATTCATCTTTTTAAGGAGTTTTCCAGAATGGTCACATCATGTCACCTTCCCACCAGTACCATTTGAGGGAGCGGGTTGTTCAGCTTCATCACCAACTCCCATTATCAATACAGTGTGTGGCAAATGTTCTCTCTTCAGATGGTTCCCCGCTCTATCTGTCACTCTGGCCAAAAATTTAAAGACTTGTCTTCATCTGTCCTCGTATCCCCTGTCCAGTTCATCGTCCAAAGACACCCAATTGGCCCTGTCGTCTCCTGATTAATCTTGTTTTTACCATCGTTTCTCTATAGTCGCTACCTAAAACAAAACAAGATGAGTTTTTGTAAACAAAATGTAGACCACCCCATTGCCCTTGTTGAAAATTGCCTCCAGGTACTCAAAGTCCGACCCTCTTCCCGGGACCTGTGAAGCCCTAGATGACATAGCCTCTTCACTCCATACTTAGAACCACAGTGCTGTCTGGGTACCTACCAAAGAGCACATCCCCCACTCTGTACCTCGCTGGACCATCTGCCTGCAGCCTTGTGCTGAGAACTTCCCATGATTCCCTGCCTCACTCCGATGTTCAGCTGCCCATTTTTTTTTAACCTCAGATGCCTGCCATGAGAGTCCCCACTAAATTACCAACTGCTTTTCTTTTCCCTTTCATTACGTTTTCTAATAGCACCCAGGACCTCTGATATACTTAGCACCCAGTACCTCTGATATACTTAGCACCCAGTACCTCTGATTTACTTAGGCTTGTTTGCATCTTGCAGTAAAACTCGAGCTTCTCCAGAGCAATGACTTTGTCTCTCTTAGCCACTCCGTACAGCCCCAGAAGGGGGCTGGTACAGACTTGTTCAAATAGTTGCATGACTATAGGTCCAAATTGTAGATCTAGCTCATCAGGTTTTATTATCTCCCTCTTCCATTTATACTAAGGAAGTTCAGTTAGCATAAAAGGAAAAGGAAAAAATTAGCAATTTGTGTTACAAGGCCATTCATCACAGTTTGCTTTGATTACAAATATTTAGCAAGCACTGATAATCTTGGAATCCAGTGACACTGAATACATAGTATACGATCAGTATTTGCTTATTCAGAGCCTGGTGATTAATCATTGTACAGGAAACTAGTGTGGAAACACAGAGAGCATCCCACCACCTGTGAATTAAGGAATTTACCTACCTTCTTCCTTCTTGAAGATTAAAGTCTATGCAGAGAGACAAACAGTGGTTACCAGCTTGGCAACCTTTGAAACACTTGAGGAAATTCTAACTGAGGAACTGAGTTGTAGGGGGATACAACTTGATCTGACATAGTATAAAGAACTGAGCTTGATCTTGTATAAAGGGTGCAGAAAAAATCATCTCTGGAATATTTAAGATTAAGATCTGAATAATACATAGGGCTAGTTAGTGCCTGTGTGTGCATGCACAGTACTCATCGAGCAAGGCAAAGGAGTATAGATGCAAAGTAAATTGTTTTTGGAAGCACTGAGAAGGTAACAGTCACAGGATACCCAGGTACAGATGCCAAAGCTCGGGGAAGAGCTAGGGTTAATGATAGAGGTCAGGGGCTGGAGATTTAGCTCAGCGGCATAAGCACCTGCCTTGCAAGCAGGCAGTCGTGAGTTCGATCCCCGGTACCGATAAAAAAGAAAAAGACAAAAAAAAAAAAAGATAAAGGTCAGTGCTGTCTGCATTAAGGTACCTGAAGGCTACTAGAGGAAAGAAAGGGGAGGGAATACCAAGGCCGGTTGCTCCGGGGAGGAGAGGGACCCAAAATGCAACAGCTGACTGAGGAAGTGGGAAACCTTTTCAAAGGGAAAGGCTTTAAGAGCTCCAGGGACAGATATCTTGGAGGAAGGCAGAGGGGTACATGGTCAGTGGAAGCGTCTTTTCCTAGTGACAAGAGCACAGGTATCCATTAGCTTCAGAGCTAGATAAATGAATCACAAATAGAGTCCAAATTTGAAATCGTTGAGAAATATTTGCAGTGTATCTAAGTAGTACTATTATTTACTTGCTTCAGATAGATTTAATTCATATAAATCATAGTCTGTTAAGATAAAAAAAATAATCTATGAAACCAGAAGGTATATCCATGATTCTTCAGATATTTTCAGTACTTTAAAAATTTTGGAGGATTGAAGGTGATTATTAGGCCACAAGATATCCGCTTATTTCAAAATAAAGGAGAACTATATAAGAAGTATCCAGATAAATCAAGACACACTGACCTCCTTGAAGTTTTATCAAAGAAGAGCATGGTTTTTATGTTCTAGTTATGGCTCTGGGGAGAACTTCTGACTGTGGAGAATGTTGCAGAAGTGGTGACAAAGTCTTTCTACTGTGTTTCTTGTTTATCTTGTGAATATTTACTTGCTGGCTTTTTTCTGTTTCCGTGTTATCTGTGAGACAGCCCTGCTGAGACAGCACCATTATCATTAGCACTTACTGAGCATGCCCTGTGGGCTTTCAATCTTGCACCCCATTTGATCTGCACAGTAATCTTCGAAGGTGGGAACTATCGTCCCATTGTACAGATCAGGAAATTAAAGCAGAAGTTAAGTAATGTGTCCAAAGTCAGAGCCTCTTCGGTGCCAGTGCTATGATTAAACTCCAGATGCTGGCTCTAGTTGCTGTCCTAACCACTCCTAATGACGGAAAGTAAGCCAACGGGCTCTGTCTTGTGACCCCATTTGAAGGACTGTTGTACAAGTGCTGTCACAAAAGTTATTTCAAAATGAAACCTTGTGACTGAGTCAGATCTTTGTAATACTTGGAAGCAGAAGGCTAGGCAATGAAATTATTGATTTTGTAATATACCATTATCTATTCCAACCATCTAGGTTGCTCTAGATGAAAAAAAAATCTGTTACACAAGAACTCTCCACTTAACTGCTTTGATCAAAATGATTCCTTCTTTCCTGTATCTACCTTCATGTAAATTTCAAAGTGTTTTTAGCCAACTATTCACTTGGCTTAAATACCTGACACAAAGACCTTCATCAAAGACTTCAGGAACAAGTGAGTCATTGACTTCCCAGGACCAAATTCCGTAAGGTGTGTCTCAAGCCTTGAAACTTGAAGACTCCCAAATCTCTTAAAACTAACAGTCTAGAAATGTCTCTAACCATCCTTAAGGTTTGCCATAAAACAAACTTTACTCAGTTTATCTTAAACTAAAAACTGTTATTAAATGTCCCACACTTTGCAATAAACTTTAAATATTGAAATATACATTTCTTTATAGTTGAAATGTTCTAAATTATGATGAATTGTCATAGAAACATAATTTGAGATTAAGCCACTCTGGATTCCATTATTTGCCAGGAAAAGTAGTTTCAAATCTTAAAATTGATCAGATCATTTAAGTGGTTGACCCGGAGAGGGTACTAAAATCATTTAATTTCTTGTCTTTCAATTTATGAAGCAAGTTATAAATTCTGCTTAGTACAGAAAGGTCACAATGGGACAGGATGAATGATCTACTGTGGATTTAAAATAAAGTTCACATCTTGTCATCTCTATCCATACTTCATTCTTGTGCACTTGGAAACTGGGAAATAAAAATCTTAGTGAAAAGAAAACTTATTTAATGGAACGGGGCTCCAGATCATGGTTGGGCATTTGTTCTGGTTTCCTGTCCTAGCCAAACCTGGCTAACAAAACTTAGTGGAGGAGTGAACGGGGGAAAACGACAACTTTTGCAGGTGTAGCCAGAAGGCCAGGCTCCTGAGGAGCTGTCCAGGTAAACATCTCAATTCTCCCCTTCTCACCAATAAATACACAGCGGAGGTGTTAGAAACAAAGGCCTAAAATGATAGTTCATGCCAAGGCAACTTCATTTGACCAACAGAGAAAGCCAGTCATCTGTTAGTTGGCTAGTAATAGCTGTTAACTCAGACGCTTCCCTTCCTCAAGCATAAAGTCAGACAATCATCATTGTCTCGATATTTTTGTTTTAGTGCTGGCCATCGAGCTTCTTGCAGCATGCCAGGGCATCGAGTTTCTACGCCCCCTGAAAACAACCACTCCCCTGGAGAAGGTCTATGACCTGGTGCGCTCTGTTGTAAGGTAAAGTCAACAGGTCCCTAAGTTACACCATTTCAAACTGTGAACCTTGGCAGTCCTTAATGTTGGCTGATGAATTAATACGCTTTCTCTGTAGGCCCTGGATAAAAGACCGCTTCATGGCCCCAGACATCGAGGCAGCCCACAGATTGCTCCTTGAGCAGAAGGCAAGGCTACCAGATTATTTCTTAGGGTTTAGTTGTTACGGGAAAGCAAAGGGGGAAGGAGTGGAGAAACATTCTTATTCTACTGTTTCCTGGAAGTGAACAAGTAGAGACAACATGCAAAGCCATCTGATAATCCTTTAAGGGCCCCGTGTTGCAGCCAAACGCTGACTATCTAAGGTGCAGAAGCTGAAACGAATTTTAAGGCAGTTTTGGAACAAATACTTATAGGGAGAAATTGAGGCGAAAGGTTTGTAGACCTTGGCTCCCCAAAAATGTCCTCTTTTATTCCAAAGAACTTTCTCTTCTGGTGATGTTAGCACGACTCCCACCACCAGGTAAGGTGCAATGGGTGCATAGCTCTGGGGAGACAGTGAAGTCCAGGGTGTTACCTGGAAGGCTTTGAGCCTGTGTCCTGTCCTGGTGGGGCCCTGGCCCTATCTTGCTGGGTGAAATATGCTTTTACTGCTTATTTTCTCTGGTTACATTGACCATGGACTTAGCTGATTGCTATAAATATCTCTCTCTCTCTCTCTCTCTCTCTCTCTCTCTCTCTTTTTGTATAGTTTTAGCCTTTTGATCTGTAAATATCGTATTACCTAGAACAGTGATGATGAACCATTCAGAAATGGGTACCCAAACTGCAACCCAAAACCCACCTACCTATTTACCATAAAGCACCAACACTGCAATTAAATCTGAGTGCTGAGGTTTTAATCTAGAATAAACAACTCATCCAATAACATCTTTTGTCAAAAAAAAAAATGTGCCACGACTTTACTACCACTGTCCTCGAATCATCTGATTTCTCCAGGACCATTGCTCTGTCCCCTTTGATCTTCCCACTTATCATTTCTAAGCACATCTTATGCTCTTGGGAGAGAAAGCCTGCTACCTAGCACTAATTTTGCAATGGTAAGTAAGGTGTGTAAGAACCTAACTGTTGAAAGAATACATTTTCTAAGGTCATTGAGAAGGAAAGACTCCTTGGCTATCAGTGGTAATCAGAGAAAAAGTCTCTGCAAACCAAAAACTGGGCTTTTATTTGAAAAACTGTTACGCTTAAAAGAAGATACCTGGGTGGGCAGAGTAAAGACAGAAGCAGGATCTGAGGTTGTGCTTCTCAGACTTAAACCTGTTAGTGAATCTCCTGGCCATCCTGTGAAAGTGCAGATTCAGATTCAGTAGGTCCAGAGCAGGTACTGAGATTCTGCCTGGTCCCAGGTGATGCTGATGGGGCTGAGACCCAGTCTATACCCAAGAAGCACGAGTCCAAGGCACAGAGCACCTGTGGTGTGGAACTAGAGCCTGGAGAAATCCAGCAAAGTGCCTTTGGTCATTCAGGGCTTGCTTTAAAAAGTCGACTCATACCCATTAGCGACCCTCCTTAACTCATCCACTCATCTGTCCATTCAATCCACACTGAATTTTCTAGATTCTGTTTGTTGTTTGCTTGCTTGCTTGTTTTGCTTCAGAAGAGAAAGCGGCTTACAACTTCCAACTCTCTTGGACTTTGTAATTTTAATGCCTTGAATGAAACCAACAACTGATTGGCAAAAGTCATGTGTCAGTGACTCACAATAAAAGCAAGCAAACAACCACTCTGGTTCTACTCAGGTAGAGAAGATGTTTTCCCTTGGGGTGAAGTTGATGTTTAGTAGCATGAAGAAATAATGTTGTCCATATATCAACTTTGCCCTGTGCTTGCTTCTCAGGTGTGGGACGTAGCTGCGCCATACATTGAAAAATACAGAATGGAGCACATTCCAGAATCAAGACCTGAGTCTCCAACAGCCTTTTCCCTGCAACATTTGCACCAGAAAGTCACCAAAATCCCAGAGACAGAGGAACTTTGATGGGTTTTGTTATGAGTTAGATCATGGTGTTCAGCTGAACACCAAGTGGTTCTACGGTAAAGGAGAAAGCTGGGCACTTCCCTAGGTAGATGAGTTTCCCTGAGGCCTGACTTGGTTAGGACTGTAGCAATAATATAGTTGCTCAGTCCAGCACCACGTCCTTGTTCCTGTAGCGTAAGATGTACTGGGTGTTTGGGGGTTTAAGAGTTTTCTTTCTTAAAAATATCAACGTAACTACAATTGTATGGGTCTGTTTTTTTAGCTCTTAGCATCAGATGAACTCAAATTTGGGAACAGATTGGTAGTATCCTTCTCCAAAAGATTAGATTTCACCAACATTATTTTGTCATTTGCTTTGAGAAGCTCCTCATTAGCTGACTTCCTTTGGCTGATTATCTATGCCATAACATGACAAATGTTCTTAATATGCATTCATAAAGAACCATTCCATGTCACCATTTGTTCTTAAGCTACTCTTTCTTCTATTGGTTGAATCACAGTAAAGAATAGTTAAGAGGTCTTAAACCATTAAATACAGAGGCCTTATACCCCCCAAGAAGTCATATAGAAAAGAGTAAGGAATGAATATAAAAGTTTTACTGAGTGGTCTTTAAACTGTATCTTTCATACTTAACATCACAACACTCATTTCCTAGATATGTTTGATGATATGCTCAAGTTGGAGTTTGGAATATTTGTTACTGTGTGTTGGTACTCTAGTCACACATGTCTGGAAATCCTGCCAGAAAGCCTCAGTTCACAGATAAGCCATCTGTGGGTATTGACCAGCCCCTCCCTGTAATGGTAATCATTAAAATGGGCCCTATTGACACAAGTTAGATGGACCTGAGGAAGTATTACCCAATCTGTGTTTTTCTCCCAAGAAGATAAAGGACCCTCTGGAAACGCTTAGTGTAATTGGTGGGGGGAAGCATGGGTTGGATGATCTTTTGCCTTCCCGTGGCTGAGACGTGTGTCTTTGCACCTGAGTGTACAATGGTGTGCAAAGCACTCCAAACACTGACATCGCTGCAGCTGGTCAAGCACAGGGCAGACATGCAGACCACATTGCCTAGCTGAGGATGGCAGCGGTGTACCCAACACTGTGTTTCACAGCAGGGCTGTGATACCTGGTCCACAGAACCGTTGAGGAGCCAAGTAAAATCCTTTGGTTCGGGAAGCAAAGTAGGTGCTAAAGAATTTGCTCTCCTGCAGGTTGTTTTTGTGCTGTTCTTTGCTAAAATGGGAATACGGCCACAGGTGATTCATTCTTCTACCCAAGCTGCAGTTGAGCCATCCAGTGGCTGCTCTTCACTCCAGTGTGGGAGGGTTTGGGTCCCCACCCCTATCCGAGGTCCTTCAAGGCAAGTGATTCAGCTCTGTTAGAAATCGACATCACCTGACTTCAGCAGAATTCCAGAGCAAATATGGAATAAACCGTATTCAATGGCCTCATCCTCACTTTATTTTGAGATGGGGGGGGTGCTGATTATCCTGTATGTACATGAAAATTTGTTTTAGTGATAATGGCAATCAAAAGTAGCAAAACCTTTCATGGAAGCCTAGGAAGAAAAAGAGATGCGGAATGAGTGAACCTCAGCTTGAAAAGCTGAAGAGGACCCAGCCCTGCAAAGATCAGACTGGCCTGACCTTTCGTTTGTTTTTTGACACTGGGGATTGATTGAACCCAGCAACTTCATACTGAGCTACCTCCTCAACTCTTTTCACTTTTTAGTTTGAGGAGGACCTTGCCAAGTTGCTGAGTCGCCCAGGCGGGGCTTTAAACTTACAGTCCTTCTGCTCAGTCTCCCAGAGTGCAGAGATTGTGGGCATGTGTCACTACATCTAGCTCAGAGTAGTTTTCCTGGCACCACTAAGGTGAGCTAGGAGCTGGGAATTTCTTTTTTTGGGTGAGAAGTACGGCATTATTGGAGGTGTCCCTCCTATGTTTTATTGGCTTTATTCCTAGGACAAGATCCCATCCAGGGGCTATTTTTGTCCTTCGGGACATCATAGCTGTTGCAGGGTACACAGTCCCTGAGATAAGAGGAGAGTATGTTTCACACACTGTTAGCAAGGGCAGCAGGACACCCACACCTCTAACGGATAACAGATCATGGATTAGGGCCCGAGAATCTCGTCTCCTATTCCACGAGGTACCTGTCCTAGTTCACTGGGAACAGGATCCAGGGCATAGGTGTGCGCTGAGCACATATTCTATCACAGGCGACACTCCTAAGTTCAATTCTCAAGATTTGTGTATCAAAATTTAACACCTCTTAAATACAAAGGCTACTCTAAGTGTAGTTAATCATATTTCTGGAAGATTCAGGGAAAAGATGTTAACCCATTTTGGAAAATGCCATGGCCCAGGGTGCTTTCTTGCTCTTCCCAGGGAGTAACAGCAAAGGAGTTGGAGGAATCAGGGTCTGCTCCCCAACAGGCTCACCTGGGCTTCTCCTCCCAGGGAAGCCAGGCAGGGTGAGCCCCAAGGCACAAGCACTTTTTAGCTTCTGCTGTGTCTTGTTCACTGATGGCCTAGTGGCCAAAGCAAGCCACCTGCCAAGCCACTCAGCAAGCCCAGAGTCACTTTGGGAGAGTGATACTCGAGTGATACCTATGGATGTGTGATTCATCGTGATTTACAGCCATTCTCTACCAACCTACCATACAGATAAAACCTAACAGGTACGGCTGGTCATAGTGGTGCATGCCTATAATGCCAGCATTCAGCAGTCAGAGGCAGAAGGATCTCCACAAGTTTGAGGCCAGCCTGGGCTACACAGTGAGTTCAAGTTCAGTCTGAACTACATAGTGAGACCCTGTCTCAAAACAAACAAGCAAACAAAAAATCCAGTCAACATTTGATAGAGATCCTTCTCATGCTACTGTAAAGCATGTGTTTTATTTGTAAGTCTGATTACTGGGATAAAATTATTAAGAAAGATATACATGGTATGATTATTTTGCCTTTAGGTTACTTTGCTAAAGGTACTAATTATCATTAAATGTAAACATTGAAAATACACCCCCCAAAACAAGGAGAAAAGTTGGAAGACTTGGGACATACACCAGATTAGTCTAAAGAGGTTCCATTCCCTTTGCTGAGTGTTTAGTTTAAGAAAGGGTTGGGATGTTTTTTGGGTCAATGAGACAAAAGAGATGTATTGGAGGCTTGTGAGCCACCGGAAATCACCCTTCTTCCTTTCCTGCTTGACCCAAATGAGGAGACACAGAGCTGTGGCTATCAGCAGCCAGCTCGATGGGCACGGCTGGATGGCAGAGCAGTGGGAGGATGAAATGCAGGTCTGCCATATCACTGCGCTTCTGGATCAACCAACCCAGAAACCTGCCTTGTCTCTGGATTTCCAGCAGTGAGCTAAGAAACTTCCTTCTTTTTAAAGCTAATTTTGGTCAACGGTGGCACCTACCTAACACAGCCACTGTGTGTACACCAGCATTACATGCAACCCTGTCTAGTTGGGGCCTTGCTATGGCAACTGCTGTACCAAATGTTATCAGGGAGGCCAGGAGAGAAAGGACTGAGCTGAGCTTTGCAGGTGGGAGTCGGGGAGAAACAAGGAAAAAAGAGAAATGCAGCCTCAGGGTCAATGTACGGCACTCGTTGACAGCCTGAGTGTTTGGTCAGTTTCAAATAAATGGGAAACCAAATGGCCTTGATCCTTGTACTAGCAGTCTAGGCAAAGGCCAGCTGGGAAAACAAACAATAGCAATGTGTGCTAGCACCGTGGGAAAGCTGGGAAGTAATCAGGGGCCAGGACATGGAGAGCTTAAGTCATGTTCAGTAAGAAAAGAAAACTTCACCAGCACAGACCTCTGAAACCATAAATGTGCATAAAAAGAGAGATCACTGTGGCTCAGTGGTGGTTTCCACCATCTGGGTACCAGCTGCCCATTGGCTATAACAGTTTCAGTGGAGCCACTTGGAAAACATGTGGCTTCATGTACTGGAATATCTTCCCACTGGCAAACACGTCTCTCCAAGAGGCTGGCATTGGCTTTATTCTTCAACTGCTTTCTATTAGAAAGACCAAGATGCCTGTGCTTTAAGAAAAACTGACAAGACTAATATAAATGATGAAGTTAGTCTGTTTCGACAGTGTTATTCTTTTGAGATCAAGCTCTGAACACTATCTGGCAGAGATTTCATTTTTTAAATGTCCATCTTCCAGCTTTAATTGGATTGTAAATTCCCTGAAGGCAGTGCCCAGCTTACAAACAGAATTCCAGGGGTGGAAGGACTCCAACCTCTACATTTTGCAGATGAGTTCAAGATGAAGTCAAAATCGGATGTTTATATCCTTGGTATAGATGTCACATTAGTTCGCCTGTGATATTGTCCCTAGAAGGGTGAAAACTGATTCTTGGTAGGTACAAAAACATATACAGTGGTTTGAGGTTCACCAAAGCTTGACTCTGCTTGACACAAGCTTTCTTAGAAAAAATGCAGTTTTTCCCTTGGGATGGGCTGGTCATTTTTAGAGTATGATGACACCCTGCAAACAGGACTGCTGTCTCACAAAGTCAATGAATGAAATCCCAGACAAGGAGGAAGATAAGAGGAGTGCTTGTTGAAAGTATAAGAAGAAACATAGCTCACAGTTTAGAGGGGAGGGTCCTGAAAGTGGGGTGCCACAAGGCTGTTTGTCCAGAGTCTTTTATGGACCAACAGAAAATAGGGATTTGCTCTAGGGCTAGAGGTTTCCCATCACAGGTGGCCTCAGGCATTTAAAATAATCAGTTGAGACTCAGGCTTTCTAATGCAAAGTTCAAAAGAAAAATCAGTTACTCAGGGTCTTTAAATTCATCAAAAGCAGCCCCAGCCTGGATGTAGGAAGGGGTTACTAACTTGGTGCAATCCATTCTGCACCTAAATGCCTGTCTTTATCTTAACTTTTCTCATTTTTCCTGTGTTTGTTTTTACACCTCTGAGTTTAACTCTCTATATGGCTTGGGTTAATGCTTGTTAGTAAACATGCTGTTGTCTTTGTAAGGCAGACCAGCTCAATTCCCTCTTAGCCCCTGTCTCTCACTAGCTGGTTTTTACAAGCTAAAGAGCTGAATTGCTTCTATTAGACATAGCGGGAGGCATTATAGTAACCATTGTTGATCACCTTGTATTATGTTTTTACATTATCTATTATGTCCACCCTTTTGACTTGACCAATTCTGTTCTGTTATGTCACATTTGGTTTTACTCTCTTCCAAAAAAGTAATAAGAACAGTGGGAGCAATGAAACCCAAAATGTGTAATAGTCATGGTACAAAAGAGAGGAAAAGAAAGTGCTCCAAACTATATAACTGCATGTATATTTAAGTGTATAAGATAGAAAATGATATCACAGAGTTTTATTGGATCAATGAACAGAACTGTTTGCAGTATCATTGATGGAATGTCCACTTTACAAGCTTTAATTTTGTGACTTGAACAATTATTTCTAAGATGACAATATGTAATCCATTAACTAGTGATTTCCTACTGTTCATTTTTTTTTCTGTAAATCTGTATAACTTGTACCCTTTCCCTGCTTTTTTTTTCTTTTCTCCTTAAATAAAATTAAAAAAAAAAAAAGAAAAAAAAAAAAAAACCTGAGAAAGACCCATCTAAAAAAGAGAACGACAGGCCAATCACCCTAATGAACACAGATGCAAAAATCCTCATTAAAATATTGGCAAAGAGAATACAGCAAATCATCAAGAAGATTATACACCATGACTAAGTGGGATTCATCCCAGGCATGCAGGGATGGTTCAATATACATAAATCAATAAATGTAATCTACCATATCAATAAAGCCAAAAGCAAAAATCACATGATCATCTCTAGAGATGCAGTAAAAGCTTTTGATAAGGTCCAACATTCATTTATGATAAGAACCTTACAGAAAATTGGAATAGATGGTCTTTACCTTAATACAATAAAGGCCATCTATGACAAACCAACAACCAGTATCATACTAGATAGCCAAAAACTGAAGGCCTTTACCTTAAAATCAGGCACAAGACAAGGATTTCCCTTATCACCACTCCTACTTAATATGGTACTGGAAATACTAGCCAGAGCAATTAGACAAGAGAGAGAAATAAAAGGGGTAAAGATAGGAAAGGAAGAAGTTAAATTATCATTATTTGTGGATGACATGATACTCTACATAGAAGACCCCCCCCCAAAAAAAAAAAAAAGAGCTGAATTGCCTCTTAAAATGAGAAAAGAGATGCTAGTCTGGTCCATGGCGCACAGAGTAAGGACTTTCACATCTCACGGAGCCACCCTGAGACCCTTCCACCTGAATTCACTCAGTATTTGCTCCACCAATGGACTGGTCAGCTCTGTAGGCATCTTGTCAGAGGTATTCACACAACAAAAATGAAAGCTAACAGCTGTTTAATTTTTCTACAACACTCCTGTCGTGGGCACAGCCTGTTAAAAGACTTTCAGTGACTTCCCTAGGTCTTAATAATAACATTCCAGCCAGTAAATCTGATGTTCAAAGCCCTGAGAAATCTGCCTTTATAGTCCCAGGCTCCCGCTGAACCCACAGCCCTAGGAGGACCCATCACCTGTCTTCCGAATACTCTATGACCTTTTGTTTGGGCATCATGGAGTTTTTCCAGCTCATCAATAGTCTTAAATTCTCTGAACTGAAAACAGTAGCCTCCTTCTCCAAAACCACCATGCAATTGTTTTTGTTTGTTTGGTTGGTTTTACTTTTAACTTTATGCCCTCAGAAGCATCCTCTTTTGGCATTACATTAAGAGATCAAATCTCTTTCCAATCTATAGGATAAGTATTCACACTGCATCCTGGGTTAGTCTACTTAGTATTGTATTTAATAAATAATTTTCAGCATCACTGTCAATGTTTTGCAGGTACTCATTAAGCATTATCCATCCATCATCTGCTTTTAATCAATCCCTATACTAAATTCTGAGCACCTAATAAGATCCTTGCTTTATTCTAATTCACAATTGAATGAGAAAGATGATTAAATTACCATGCTAAGAAGACTACATAGACATGTGAGAGATAAGGGACAACCAGCTCTAATCTCCCTTCCCAGAGAAGAGGGGTAGTACTTTAATTTCTGCTCATTCAGTTTTATTTTCTATGGTTTTGGCTATCTGAAGTCAACAGTGATCTGAAATTATTAAATAGAAAGTTCTAGAGATAAAAAGTTTCCAGTTTTTAAATTGTGCCCCACTCTGAGTAGCATGATAGTATCTTGAGCAGTCTTACTCTGTGCCTCCTGGGATCTGAACCTCCAGTGTATCCACACTGTATATGCCACCAGCTCATTAGTTATTTTGTCACCTCATCCAGAATGACTTTCCTGGCATCACAGATCTTGTGTTCACATAACCCTTGATTTACTCAATACTGATCCCAAAGCACAAGAGCAGTAATGCTGGCAACTCAGATGTGTTTTGTTGTTGCTGCTGTTTGGTTTTGGTTTGGGTTTGGGTTTTTGGTACTGGGACCTCACACTTGCCAGCCATGTGCTGTGCCACTGAGCTGTGTCCCCAGCCCCAGATATGCTAAAGAGAAGCCATAAAGTGCTTCCTTTAAATGAAAAGGTAAAAGTACAGCAAGGTATTTTGAGAGACAGGCCACATGCATGTAACTTTTATTACAGTATATTGTTATGAATTTTTTGTTTTTAATTCTATTTTGTTAATTTCTTAGTTTGCCTAATTCACAAATTAAATTTTAACATAGATATGTATATAACAAAGTGCTTATAGCTACAAAATGTGAGAAGTTTCAGGCCTCCACTGAAGGATCTTGGACACATCCCCTGGGTGACGAGGGCTGCTGCATGCCAGGCAGAGGGAGCAGTGTTGCCCTGTAATTCACACCATGTGTTCCAGGTGACCAGGGCCTGGACCCCAGTGCTCCTCGGACTTTAATGGACACACAAGTCACTTGGAGCTTTGTAGAAACGAAGACCCTCATTCAGCAGGTCTCAAGAGAAAATGGCAAGAATGATGGAAAAAGTGTGTTCAGGGCAAGGGGGAGTATTCTGAAGGGAGTTAATGGCAAAGTGTCTTTTACTACAGTTAAGGCTTTTTGAATACTCCCTGTATTTTTCAATTTCACTTCATAATCCTGGGTGGCTTGGGTTCTAGGGAAGGCCTAACATTTTACTTTTGCCCTTTGTGTCTTCTGTATCCCACACTTCTACCACTTATTAGGTGACTGGTCACAGGGGAGGCACCACCCACAGTAACCATGATTCCCTCACAGCGCCTCAAAATGGCTAAACAAGGTGGACAGAGGCCCCAAAACGCTGATGCAATGCCAACAAAATGTGATGGTGACCCTTCGCCTTCTAACCAGCAGTGCTGGATGGTTCGGATGTGGTTTGTCCCCTTAGGGTCTGTGTGACAGAAGCTTGGTTCTCAGTGTAGCAGTTCTAGGGAGTGGGACCTCTGGAAGATGGTGCCTTCAAGGAAAGTCCTTGGGTCAAAGTTAACTGGAGGGTGGAGAGTACTGTCCTCAAAAGGGGTGCAGGCATTTCTCCTGGGACTCTAGTTAGCTCCTGAAAGACCACTATTATAGTGTCCTGAGCTTGGCCCCATCCAGTCTCTCCAGGTCTTTATGAAGACATGATTGCTCTTCTCACATTCACCCCCACCAGGTGATCTGCCATGAGTTGGTGCAGCCAAGGAGGACCCTCACCAGAGTATGGGCCATGCTGATCGGAACCTTCAGCAGACAAAGCTGTGGGCTAAACAAACCTCCTTTTGTAAGTAGCATGTGTGACCACTAATCCTGATATGTCAACTTGATTGGATTAAGAAATGCCTAACGGGCTGGGGATTTAGCTCAGCGGCATAAGCGCCTGCCTTGCAAGTGTGCGGTCGTGAGTTCAATCCCTGGTACTGATAAAAAAGAAAAAGAAATGCTTAACAGATTAGCAAAGCACATATTTGGGTTTGTCTTGGTGGATCACAGAAGTAGGATCTTGAGTACCTCGCATGGCCAGTTGCCCGTTTCTGCTTCCTAACTACCATGGATTAGGCTACTTTACCCCACCATGCCCTTCTGCCATGATGTTCCTGCCTGGGAGCCAGACGACTTCGGACTGAATCCTCTGAAACTGAGTCAGATTAAACCTCTCCTCCTTTAAGTTGTGCAGGGAATTGTGGAGCAAAGGAAAAGCCTACTAGCATAGCATGCTTTACCTATTTCATGATAGTAACAGAAAACTGACTGCATTTGATTTTTATTTAGAAGAATAAAACCTCATTAATTCAGGCTCTATTAATATGAACTTGGTGATAATTTGACAATTAATATTTACCTGTCAAATCACTTCTTCATAAATAGGAGAAAGTTTGATTATATACCTGTGATTATAAAGATAAGTGAAACATTTTAAAAGATTTCAAGAAAACTCACATTGCTTTAGAAACACCTATTTATATACGTAATTGTAATCATTCACTCTGCAAATGGTTTTGTAATTTGTTCATTCAACTTTGTTCAAAAATTCTAATACTGCTGGTCTAGTTCCAAGGCCAAAAAGAAACGTGAGTAGTAAAGACAGCAAATATTTATTGAGATCTAAAATATGTTTTTTATACAATGTGATATGAAGAATCAAAAACATTAGAACAACTTCAAAAATCACATAATTTGAGTTGACTGAAATGCATTATAGAAACGGTCCCACACCTCTGTGTAAAGTCAGAAGTCTTCAATTTCACATATAACTAATTCATTTGAAAAGTATTGAAAAGAAAATATGATTTACTTATTAGGAAAAGGTATATTTAACTTCATTTGGAGCATATCATCCAGATCTCCTTCCACTCCTGGGTGATCACTAAATATAGTTTAAATGTTGAGAATTGAGATGCAAAAAAAAAAGGAAATTTCAGACCAAGTCTGGTTTTCCCACAAAGGCATTTTTATGATATTCTATCATATTAACCTTCAGAACATTTTGTAAACAATCTTTGCAAAACAATTTAATGACTTGACAATGACGACTTACTTATTTATATATTCATGTGTACATGTTTGATTCAAATAAAGCGACCCGTTGAGTTTTGTTAAGTGAATTAACAAGACAATTAAAATGTGTTTAAGGTGGCGTGGTTCTGGTAACCACTGAGGAATTTTAACTTAATTAAGACACCTCATAAGGTGTAACAGCTGTATTGTCTTATCTGACACAGTGGAAACACTTCTCTTTCCTTCCAGTCCTATCACTTTTTATAGATGACTTTTCCTTTAACTATCACATATTCAATTAATTCGTGATGGCATCCAAACTGGTAAATCAAATGCTCCCATCTAAAAAAATAAAAAATAAAAAAAATTTAAAAATTAAAAAACAAACATTTTTTTAGAGCATAATAGTCAAAATCATTATAATGTCAATAAATTCTAATTTAAAATGTATTTTCTAAAAACTGATTTATACTAGATCATTGGTATTTGGGTCTTTCAAACAAAAGGTGAATAACTAACTGATCAACTGTAAATTAAATGTCACCTAATAATACTATTTAAGTACTTGATCTGAAAATGTCTGCCTGACTATGTGAGGCACAAATGGTAACATGAGCATTATTTCCAGTGGGGAAAGTGGATCGTGACCATGGGGAATAGTTACACAGCTGCTCTTCTCTGAGGGCTGTGACAGACTCTCAAGAGTCAAGGACCCATAGAATTAATAACTCTTAGATTAGAATGGAACACAAATTATCACACTGGAAGCCCAGTTGGCAACAGACTATGAGTAAAAATAAGAAAACAGGAACAGAAGGAGGACTTCAAGAGTCCACTTGTTTTAGAAGCCCCAGAAAGAACGCATCATGACCAAGGTGACAATCAGAACTGGGGAAACAAGCAGGTTAAAAGCCAAAAAGAAACACAAAAACACATGCCAGAGAGCATGAGCCGTCCAAAGTCCCAGTAAACACAGGAGGAATCTGGAAACTTATGACAGATGTAAGACAGAGAGACCTGAAAACACGGTCTATCTGAAGTTCAGGAGCAGGAGGCGGACTTTCTGTCTAGAAAGGGCTGAAGCCAGAGAGGGCTGGGTAGTGTCTCGATCTAAACTAGTAACTAGTGGAACTGGATTTAAACCTCATCTTCACACAACAGTGGGCAGAGAATAAAATAGCTCCGCCGGGAGCACACCCACCTGGATGCATTGACGATAATGAAATCCCCCTGTTTGCCAACTTCCAAGGATCCATGTGTGTGGGACTTTCCCAGCGCATAAGCTGCATTGATGGTGGCCGCCGCCAGGGCCTCAGGCATGGACATCCTCAGGTTCACACAGGCCAGGTGCATGACCATCGGCTGAGGCGGGAGAGAAGAGCATAGCAGGAAAGCAATGGAATGGCACTGGTTACACAGGACATTCCTCAACCCAGCACGACAAGTAGACAGCTAACTGCATAGATAGTCTCTGGAGGTAGCTCAGCTGGAGAGGTTGTGCATAGCCGGCCCAGAGCCCCGACTTAAGTCTTAACACTCCCCAATACATGTATAAGTGGAGCTTACTAAATTGCTACAAAAATATCTGGATTTATACATGAAGTTTCCTACACTTTGGAAAACTCTCCTGTGCTATAGAGACTGTGTATTTCTTATTATTTACAACATTTCAAGACCCTCACTGTGTAAGATGAAGCCTACCGCCACCCTAACTTACTGAAGCCTCTGACTTCCTGCTATGCTCCAGAGAAGGAAAGTGAGCTACTATAAAACGAAAAATCATCCAGGCTAAATCAGAAAATGATAATACAAATAGTAGCTTCTCTCTTTCAGCCTGGAGACACCCAGGTGAGGGAGAACAACCCGGCTATCCCACTGGCTACACCTTTTTCCTTGTTTCTTGAAGAGGATCTAAAAACACTGTCTTGTGAAACAAATAAGGAGATGTATGATTGGCAGATACTCTGCTCAGAAAAACATGGAGAACAATTACCATTGCAAAGCAGTGCGCATTGGGGTTGAAATCACTGCCCAGGGCAACTATTACCCCTTCCTCTAACATCTTCCTGGCCCGGGGCTGCTTCAGTCTAAAGAGAGGAAGAAAAGAGGTCGGTCTTTAGGATTGGATCATTTCAGAACAGATGTTTAGAAAGGAAGACAGCTCAAGACACCCCTTGATGGTTTAGAAGGAAAAACAGAAAGCTGAGTTAGACTTAGCTGGAATCCCAGAATTCTTGATTTATCACTGCTTTTGAAATTACTTGACTACTCCTTGCTTAATCTGTGATTATTTACCTTCATGATTTATATATATTTAGAGTTTTTTGCTGAAGAAGGAAAATATAACTTATAAATGATTTCCAACTCTAATAAATTGTTGTGACTCTCAAACCAAATAACTAACGAGCTTACTCTTCCCCTCCTTTTTCTTCTTTCTTTTTTTCCTCTTCTCCTTCCCCTCCTGGAGTCAAACGTTTTTCATAGTTCTTCTAAAATCTTGAAGGCTCAACAATGTAACACGTAACATGTTTGAGCTTCTTGGTGATAGTCATCTCCCTGGCATCCTTGGTGAAACATTCTTTGTGCTTTAGGATATAACTCAGGTCAGTGCCATGCATGGGCTGGGTGGAGGACAGCCAGATGCCAGCCCCTCCTGGCACATGGGCAGGGAGACGAGAAGAGCCAACTCTTAACCACCACCCCGTAAGCGACCATCTAATGCAGAGAAACCCAGGATGTGATGATACCTAGTAGGTAAAATACAACTTAATTCATGGAGTGTTTAGTGTTTCACTGACTTTGCAGGCCTAAAGCCAGCAGTCTAATAATCTACTAAGAGGATAACAATACCCAGTGTAGTATACAAGGGTCTCCTTCTGAAGGTGGTAGCCATTGTTAATTCCCTATTTTCTTGTTTTGAAATCCTGTATCATTTGTTTGGTTTGGTTGGGTTTTATTCAGTTTTTTTCTGGTTTGATTTTATTATATCTGATGGCTTGGACAGCTATTTCAAAGATAACTAGATATATTATGGTAGCCATTTTGGATTTACTATTATCTTGTTTTGAAATCCTGTAATGCATTCATTACTTTGTTTTTATTGGTTCTATTCTGTTCTGTTCTATTTGATTTTACTATGTCCGAAGGTATGAGCAGCCATTTTGAAGACAAGAGGCATTATGGGAACCATTGTTGATTTCCTATTGTCTTGTTTTGAAATCCTGTGCCACTCACACTGTCGTATTTTGAATGGCTTTATTGTTTTACTTTCCTTGTTTTATTCTCTTTAAAATAAAATTTTAGTGAGACACTGTCTCAAAAAGACTGAAAAATAAAAATAAATAAATAAATAAATAAGTAAAAATTTTTAAAAAGGCTATAACTCAAGTCGTTCCAAAGATAAACAAGGCCACATACCAGTTAAGTTGACGGTGACTGGTTGATTCCATACTAACTACTAATCAGGCAAAGAACACAACATAAACTGAACTCAACTTCAGTTTTTGCAGAGGCACCTGGAGGTTTTAAGGGGAAGTGAGGAAGTAGGAAAGGGAAATAAATCAGGGGCTCAAGCAGGCAGGGAAGAGGACATTTACAGTGCGATAGGCGGGAGTTAGGCAGAGAGCTTGGGCTTGACCTGGAGGCTCATCTGGAGGAGGGACGAATTTATTTCTCCAGGGCAGGAGGCAGGGGTATAAACTGGAGTAAGGAACCCTGCAGCTGGGAACAAGAGTGGAAGTTTTCTCCTTCAGTGTCTGCCTTTCAAAGTGGCAGCTGTTGGGTCCTTGAGAATATAGTTCTGGGCTGGAGATTTAATCTCAAAGGAGAAGAGAAAGGATGTATAATTGCTCCAAGAGGGTCTCAGGCCTATCTGCCCTCAACAGTTTGGGGCTTCTCACAGGAGCGGGGCTTTCTAGGGAGCAGGGCCATCTCAAGGATGTAGTTTGGGCCAGTAAAATTTTAAACAATAAAAAAAAATGTGTGTGTATGCAATCAGCCCAATATTCCTTTCTATTCCCTTCAAAACATTACTGAAAGTCTGGCCTTCTTGACGTTAGCACAATTCTTGTTCTAGGCTGGATAATTCTTTGTTGGGGCTGGGTGGTGCTCTTATGTTCTGAGGGATGTTTAACTGCCTCCTTGGTCTCTACCCACTAGATGTCAGTAGGGCCCTAATCCTGAGAACCGGAAATGTCCCCTATCAAGTACCCTTTTATGGATGAAAAACTCTGTTCAAGACCACAATGGCAGAATCACACCCTTTTCAAGACCACACACCCTAAAGCTCACAGCAAGCACCTAGACCCCAGAGAAAACAACCTACTACTTAAATGTTGGCCACCTGGGCAGCTGCCATGGAAGTGATTTGATAGAAAGGCTGAAAAGACCTCAGAGCTCCTACTCAGCAGAATTAAGGCAAGAGCACTTCTAAAAGATAGACACAGAGTGTTCCATTCACAGAAGGCCTACAGCAAAATCTCTGGGAAGAGTTTCACGAAATACACCTTGGATATTTCCTCAGTCCTCCCGCCCCCAGGATGTGTAGAAATCTGGCCCTCAATCATGGTAAACAGCTCACTTTAATTTTAGTAAACAGCTCACTTTAATTCTGAGTACTGTTAAATAGCCCTAAGATCTTATGCATTCTTCAAAAAAACAGTTTAAAACTTGCTTCACAATTTCCTAGTTATAAAAGTAATGTTGATTTTTTAAACTGGAAAATACCAAAATCTAGGAGAAAATAAAAAGAAAGCATGATATTTCTGGATAATTCCATCACTCCAGTTAAGTGTAAACCCTGTCCTATAGGAGCATCTGTCTGGAGTTGGCATCTGTAAGAGCCTGCATCTCAGGGACTCATTACGGTCGTGCAGCAATGTTTAGGCCTCTGGTGGCTGTGTCCTCCCAGCTTGCGCGGGCAACCTTTGGTTCAGGGGTGAGAAGCTCGCCTACCTCAGCATGTAGGCCGTGGTGGGCAGCAGCACAGCCGAGCACCCTGCCTTGGCCATCGCAGTGATGCCTGTGTCGCTCACCTCCTCCAGGTGGCTGACCGCCCGGGCTCCCAGCTCCGCACCAAGCTAAACAGGACAGAGAGGGGAGGTTAGAAAGCACCAGGGAACTGCTCTTCCTACAAAAAGGAAAGGCACTCTATTATTAAGATTTCTTGTCAGCTACCTCCTGTAAGCATAAATCTTCAAAACCAGAAAAGCCCTTTATCCATTTTTCCAAATACCCATTTGAAAGGAAGGTAGTTTGTTTTTCACTTCTTTTAAAACTATTTTTTTTTTTTTTTTTTTTTTTTTGAGACAGGGTCTCCCTATGCAGTTCAGGCTGGCCTTGGGCTCACTTTGTAGCCCAGGCTGGTCTTGAACTTGCAGCAATCTTCCTGCCTCAGCATTCCATGTGCTGGGATTTAAAACTAATCTCAAACATGAGTACTTTTGGACATTTTATGACACAGAAAACATTATGAATCTTACAGCTCAACGTGGAACTTTGAGTAACACTAGTGATAAAATCCATCCTACCATCATAAAAACACAATCAAGCCAGCTATTTTGGAATGCTTATCAGATAAGAAAATAAACTGTAAAGCAATCAGGGAAGAATAACAGACCAAAAATGTGGGGTCCTGTGAATGATTTGAGACTGTCACCTAAATCTTGATTTTCTTCCCGATGAAAAGTTGGGTGTATACCAAAAGGAAGTGACGCTACACGGAAGCACTGATTTAAAATGAACCACTTTTCAACTTAGTTTAATCACATGTTTTTCCCTAAAGAACAAGTTTTCACACACACGCACAAAGGGCCCCACGCTAAAAGTTGACATGTGAAGCATTCCAAGGACGGGAGGATGGACTGGCATGTGGGGTCCCACTGTGGCCCAGAGAGGCTGCAATGCTCCAGCCAAGGCAGAGGAGACTGGATCCTTCATTGACAGCTTGCTTAGGCCTGCACTTGAGATTGGGGTTCTGGAGAGTCTGATGGTCATGGGACAGACAATGCTCTGTGGGGAATCCTTTTCTGACCTTGGAATCACTTTTCCAAACTTAATTTATTATGAGTATTGACTTCTATTGATTTAATCTACCAGTCACTGTCTGGGACCAAAGGTATCTCTTTGACAACCCAGTTTGCATTCATTCAACATTCAACATAAAAAAGGCCACGTGGACCCCCAGGCCCTGCGCTGATCTCCAGGGTAGGAGATATGCAAGGAACCGGTACAATGATCCGCGTGTTTGCAATCCAGCAGAGGTCACAGAGGTGGGGTGAACCCTGTGGGACAAGCACAGGGAGAGCCCATAACTTACTCTTGGGGCGCTGGAGGAATCCTGAAGAAGTGGAAGCTAAGATAAGGCCCCGGGTCAATCCCGAGCCCCACAAAACACGAGGGAAGCCAGTGTGTGCTCAGATTAGAGAAACAGCAGCTCCTGGTGTCTGGTTCAGGGTAGAGGCTGGAGAAGCGGAAGCGGGTGAGAGGGAAGGAGGCAGGTGCGGAGGTAAGGGCTGATGCTGGTAAGCCGTGGACAGAGTCTGAGCTCTGTCCCAAAGCAATGCTAAGCCTTTAAGTGTTTTTAAGCACTGAAGGGAAAGGATACGCTGACGCACTGACGGACTAGGTTAGAGGAAGGAGTCAGAAGTGGGGGCAAGGCAGGTGACAAGGAGAACAGTTACTGCAAGAACCCAGGTGAGAGTTGATGGCGGTCTGGGGAGAGAGACATGGACCCAGCAGCCCTGAGGAGAGAGCTGGGAGCACCCGGTGATTGACTGAAATGCGGCAGGTGAGAAGCCGAGGGGTCAACATGATGATCAGGTTTGGACTGAAGCAACAGAGAGGTGACAATATTCCCCGGGGCAGGGAACACAGGCCAAGGGTTGGGCATGAGGTTAGGACACCAAGTTGGACACGTGTGGTTGACATGCACGGGAGTGCCTGTGTGTGGTCCACAGGCCATTGTGTATAAAGCTCTGGGTTCAGGGTCCTCACTCACAATGCACAGACTTGGTCTATTCACCGCTGAGTTCACATTACTACCTGGGACAGTCCTTGGAATACTACCGGAAACAGCGGATGCGTGAACAATTACTGAAAGGATGAATAAACGAATCTGAGCAGGAATACAGGTCTGAAAATCTCACCCGACCATGAACAGTGTGTGCCACCAGCATTGCCTGAAGGGGGCGATAAGGCCACCCTGATCGAGTTCGGAGTTTCCCACACTCATTCAGCTCCATCTTCCCACTGTTCAAACAAGGTTCCCTCGGTTCTGTCTTCTGAGGGGACTGCTCCTAACTGTGGCCAAGCGAGTTAAGTTTTCCACAGCACGACTGTGCAAGCGGTGTTGACAGAGGAAGAGCCACAGGCCAAGCGCACCTCGGCAGCCTTCATGGGGTGCAGCTCGTCGCCGTGGAAGTTAATCTGCAGCCCCATCTCCTTTCCGCCCTGGAGAATCCTCCTGGTGCAATCCAGATCAAAGACACCCTCCTCGCAGAACACATCGATGTTGTCAATGTGCATCTCCCCCCTTCTGCCAAGCTCCTCCAGCGTGGGGAGGTGGTTGTTGATGATGTCATCGGCAGCTTCCAGGGCGGTCTTTCCTCTGATAGAAAATATATATACTTTTTTTTTTTTAAGGAAAAAGGGCCATTAAGCTTTTGAAGAACCCAAGAAACAGCGTAGGTATGTGGTTTTAAGCCTCACCAACAAATAGAAAGAATCAAAGCTAAAAATGAGAACTCTTAACAGTTGGGTCATGCATACACAGCCGAAGCACAGACATGATTTCTGCATACAGCAACCTATGCATGGAGTCACAGATGGCTCAGCCACGCTAGCACATCTGTGTTACCTTCAGGAGGTCAGCAGGGGCACCTGACTGCTAAGCTAGCTCCCTATATTAAGTCTCCCTAGCAAGGATGCTTAGGAGACATCCTGAGTGCTTTCCTGCTAACACAGCCACTATCCCCTCACCTGGGGCCCAGAAATCCTTCTTCCTGTTCCTTCCTCTACAAGGCTGTTTGTCTAAGACTTTCTGTCTCAGCACCAGAGGACAGCAGAGGGGACAGCAGGAGGACCTGAAATACTGTCTAAAATTTTGGAGTCATTATACCTTAGAAAGGGCTGTGCCTTAAAAGTCAGATGGACACAGATCTGTATTTCTTGTTGGTTACACAATTTTGGGCACGTTATTTAGCCATGGAAGTACCACAGTCTTAGTGAGTGGGGATCAGGAAGTGATGTTCAATGGTGGACAGAGAAGACTGTAAAACTGAGCCCTCTGGTGCTCAACAGAACCATTTCATTCAGCAAAGAGAAGTCAACTATGAGGAGACAGGTAATGCTAGGACCTAAACTCAGGATCTCCCTGTGCTGGGCAAGTTATTTCTACTGCTCAGGACAATCATACAGAAAGGGTATTATTTGGTTCTATATTACAAAAAATTCATGTCCAAAAAAGTTTAAGTCTCAACCTCAAAACCACTCAGCTAAGTCATCTTCAAACCCAGGTTTTATCTCTACAAAGTGTAGGTCTTTTCCACAATGCCACACTGCCTTTCCTACCAAAGAAGAAAAAGAAAAAATTCCACAGACTGTAAGACATTTTATATTCTGCCTGAAAAAAATCTGTAGATAGGCTGTTTCAAAGGTCTCAATGCCATTTTAAGCTTTAACAATTTCAGAAATACAAATGCTAAAATTGAACAGCAAACACTGCTGGAAATATTAAACATGTATATTTTTTATATAATTAGTTTTGTGAATTTTGAATAGTTAATGTTAATTTTTCAGTCCTTCTGACTCAACATGGTAAGTGAACATTAACATTACAAATGTGGTTTTGTGTAACAGGGCTATTATAGATATAAATGTACTATATTCTTGAACATCATTATAAAGGTAGATATTATATGTTCTCACTAAAAAAATGATAAGTGAAGCATACATTAATAGGCACAGTTCGGGCTTTTCACATCTTCCAAACTGGCAGTGTATGATAAACTATACACAATTTTTTGTTTTTGTTTCTCCTTTTGGCACCAGGAATTGAACTCAGGACCTTGTGCTTGCTAGGCAGGCACTTACGCTGCTGAGCTAGTCCCCTATACACAGTTTTTGTCAAAGAAGTAAATTATATTTTAAAGTGCCTATGGCAAATTCAAAAGAAAATTAAATGAATAAATTTTAATAAGGTTTGAAAGTCTCCAGCATTTAGATATGTAAGTCATCAAAGCAGAATGAGCACTGAGGCCTTGCAGACTTGCCAGATATTTCTTAGATCTTTTAGTTCTGAAACCATGAGTCTCCCTGTCTAGAAATTCCAGGAACAAAAGGAGCTCAGCAGGTAAGGTACAGGCACAAAAGAGACAGGCCCTTTCCTCTCTCACACTGTTCCTCTGCTTTGCTTCCTGACTGCCACGAATAAGGATGTTTGCTCCCCTGTACCCTGCTGCCAAGATGGAGCAGCTGAGCATGGACTGAATCCTCCCAAACTTTGAGCCAAACTAAACCCGACCCAGACACTTGACTAATTCAAAGAGAAAGGTTTAAAAACATTACAATAAAAAAAAATGCTTGTTATTTAGTAAAAGATAAAGAAAACAAAACCCTTCCATCACTTAGAAGGTTTGATCTCTCTGTGTTACTGAAGTACTTTTTTATGGTAATTAAAAATCACAGGGAATTATTCAAATCAGTCATTTTAAAGGACCCCCATTTTTTTTCCAAAGAAACTTGAAACATCTCTTCTTTCACCAACAAAAGATCAACAAAAAGTGATGTCACTAACAAAGTTCCTTCCAGACACCACGTGTGTGGACCTCTGGCCGTGTGTATCAGAGCATCTTTCCAAAGGCAGCTTCCTCCTGCTCTCCTTGTAAGAAGAGCTAACGAGCTGCTGGGGCTCCAGCTCCTCAGCCCCCCTCTCCCGTTACCTGGGCACTGAGTGCGCCCCGCAGTAAGTGGCCGAGATGCCCACTGGCAGCTCCCGCCTTGCACGCTCGATCACGCGCAGCATCTTGAGCTCTTCCTTCAGGCTGAGGCCGTAGCCGCTCTTACACTCCACCAGCGTGGTGCCGGCCCTCAGCATGCACTGCAGCCGCTGCTGCAAGGAGCAGAACAGCTCCTCCTCGGAGGCCTGCCGGGTGCGCTCCACCGTGAAGTTGATGCCCCCTCCGGCCTGGTGGATGTCCATGTACGAGGCTCCTGCCAACTGGACACACAGCGCGCACAGGGCGTGTTACAGGCAGGGATCAAGACCCCGCCCTCGGGGGTGAGATCTAAAAATGACTGAGTGCAGCTGGCAGCTGTGGTTCCCGCCTGTGGTCCCAGCGCCCTGGGAGGTTTAGGCGGGTAGACCCCAAGTCTGAGTCCAGTCTGTGTGCAATTTAGCGGGCTTAGTGAGACCCCGGCCCAAAAATAAAAAAAAGAGTTGGGGCTGTAGCTCAGTGTGAAGGCGCTGGGTTCAGACCCATGACCTAGACACTGGGCTGTGGGGTCCTCAGCAGGAGATTCAGGAAGACACTGGAGAGGCAGAAATGGAGGGGTCGTGGGTGGGCAGTTGGGGTGTCAGGAGAGCAGCAATTGAAAGCCAGAACAGGAATATTTCAGTGTTTTAATAACGCAGTCCCTCCCGTTTCCTGGAGGCCCATCTCCACTCCAAGTGAACCAGCCAAGCTTGGCCTTCCCTGAACCCCTCACATGTTTGAGCAAGCAAGGGGCTTTCTCAGGGAACCCCACTGCAATTCAGATCCTCACTACAGAGTCCCAAGACAGTTTCCATGTCTCAGAATTTAGGCACCAGGTTTTGGAGCTGGTCCTTTGTCACCCAGGCAAACAGAGGCTCATCTTGGGGTCCCATGGGCTCCGGTCACTCTGGACAGCAGGTGGAGCCTGGGTCTCCAGGCCAGAGGTGTCACCTGCTGCCTCCCTTCCCGGGACTTGTGTCCATCAATGTAACAGCGGCACCAGACCATAAATCTGAGGTTACTTTTGGCTCTGAAACTCTTGCTTATTAATAACAGCAGTCTTTAAAACAGCTCTAATTTGTTGAGGAACATACATACTAGCTTTAAAAAAAAAGAAGGAATTTTCCTTTTTTTTTGTTACTAGGATGCACATATTTTATTTTAAAGCATGTGAGGCCAGGTGTGCAGGGGGGTCTACTGAAAATGTTCACTAGCCCTATGCCTCTTCTGAAGCTCTGGGGCAATTACAAGTTTTCTTTTCATTTGTGCTTTTATTCTCTGGCAAAGACTGCTAGCCTCCAAGCTCTCTAGGAAAAAGGACTCCACCATTGCGCTTGATCTGGATCTGCCATTGTTCGTCACGGTTACCTTCATCGCAAACTCGTGGACTCGTTCTCCAGCCCACACAGGATGGGTGTGTGCGTCCACCAGACCTGAAATCAATGAATCACGTCACTGTGAAGTTCCAGATCATGAGTAGTAAGCAGGCGGCCTGCGCTGCGCTGATCTTGAGAAAGCGTGGTGGCTGTGCGACTTGGCATAGGGAGGACTGCGAGATTTTGGTCTGTGAGGGTCCCTCTGCATGGGTGATCTAGAAGGTTCCAGGGGAGGAGAGTAACTCAACAGAATGACAGTGTGCCTCAGAGCTACGCAGGTCCTTTGATCAGTAAACCCACAACCACCAAACAAGTTTTCAAACCAAGTTGTTAAAACCATTGAGCAAAACTAAGGACTACACCAGCTAGGAATCATACGACAACCACTACTTTCAAGAAAAAGAGGAATCTATCCTCAAGAAAGAAGTTATTTTAATTAAACGGAAACTACGAATCAATCATCAGAAACTTTTGTTCATTCAGATACAGTTCAATAAAGTGTGCCTTCAAGCCAGGCATGATGGCACACACCTGTAATCCCAGCATTCAGGAGGCTGAGGCAGGCAGATCGTTGCAAGTTTGAGGCCAGCCTGGACTACAGAGTGAACCCAAGGTCAGCCTGAACTGTATAACAAGACCCTGTCTCAAAAATACAAAAAATAAATAAAGTGCGCCTTCACAAGCATTTAGAATATTTTAAATCGCTCATTAATGGTTCTGACTGAATAAATCAAAAGTCCCCATTCAGATTTTTATCATAGTCTCTTTCTTACAATATTTTATCCAGACTCTGTTTCTTCATTTGTTTTCTGGTTTTTGTCCTCCAAAACCAGAATGTAGACTTGACAGGTATAAACATTTTTAAAATATAAAAATTGCATATAAATTATATTAAAATGTATGTATAATTTTATATAAAGTCCTATGTTTGTATAGAATTCAAAAGTTGTGAGATTTATTTCAGATAATTACCTGAAGTTATTCTAGATAAATAATGTAAGAGAGGATGGTTGAAAAACTGCTTTTATCTTCAATTACTTGTGATGTAGTGAAGTCTCTAAGTGGTCTCTGTGCAAATTTAGAGCATTTCTGGGATTAGATAGAGAAGCTCCTCTTTATGCCTCCCCTATGCAATGGATTAAGAAATTCACTTCTCTATTCCAAACGCTCTGTAGCCTGACCACAATTCAGTCGGTTTCTTTTCACCACGAGTGGGAAAAAATGCAGGGAATGAATGGATTCAACAATCAACTTTCCTTTTACCTTCTGGGCACACTTGGGCAAGACATTTCACCTCTAGTTTTCAGTTTTCTATTTCATAACTTGTCGGCAATGATACCGACCTTACAGGGTAGCTATTAGGGTTCAACATGAAATCATGTTTGTAAGCCAGCCAGACATTCCACAGTAGAAACCCAACACCTGGCAGTACTGTAGACCCTCTCTGGGATAACTGTTCTTTACACAGGTGACCGTTAAAACCACTTTCAAAGCTTTCTGAAACAGAGGTATGTACCTGGTAGGATACATTTTCCAGAGCAGTCGATTCTTTCTTCAAAAGTTTCTCCAGAAAATTGTTTTTGGATAGCATCAGCAGAGCCAATCGCTTTTATAAACCCATCACTGAAGAAAAATCAAGAAACAGTTACTAAATTTGGGGCAAATCTTGTGAGAATTCTGATTAATGATTTTAAATATGTTTTCAGATGCCTTGGTGTGATCAACGTTGATCCCGTTCTCCTCCTGAAGCTGGGTCCTTGACAAAGTGAATCCAGCTAAACTGAAGACAAAAAGTCAAACCACATACAGCAGAAATCACTAGTGGTGTGCTAAGATCAATGGTTCCATTTCCTAATGTTCTAGATCTAAGTCTCAGCTGGACACTTAACCTCCCAGAATAAAGACGTTTCCCAGCATCTCATCAGCCAGGTATGGCCATGATGAAGTTCTAGCGAACACGGGTATTTTTATTCCTTATTCTCCCTGGCCAGGATGTGAGCCCCTTAACTAGAGGAGAAGCAGCCATCTTGGATCCTGGAGTGACTGTGTGAAAGTCAGCTATGTACAACAGAGCCAGGAGGAGCCTGGATCCTAACAACTCCATGGAGAGCAGCATTCAACTAGCCCTGCATCTGCCTCTGAGCTTTTACACAAGAAATAGACTTCTACCTTATTTCAACCATTGTTCGTTAGGGTCTTTCACTCACTGCAAATCAGTGTTTCCAAAATGGAGATTTGGGGCTATATTCCTGAGAGGAAGGGAGTGTCGTGAGAAGCAGCTGAGGGTGAAGGATTCCGTGGTTTGGGGAACCCAACAGAAGAGCAGAGGCACAGAAACTGGATAAAAAGGGAGACATCAGGAAAGAGAAGAAATGTTAATGGTTGTGGGGATTAGGTGAATGATAAATTTAGGGATAGAAGAAGAAATTAAATTTTGAAATTTAGTTCTCACTAACAGCATTCATCAGGCCCAGTTCAATAATCCGCCCATAATGCGATGCATCTGGTGTTGAAAAGGACCAGTGGGTCAGAGACTGACCCCTGAATAGGAAAACCCAAGGGGAAGGCTCTCTCTCTCAGGGCCATTTTTCTCCTTTTTTATCAGAACCACGTCCCTTTTGGCATTAAGCAGTATTAACCAGGAGCCACGAGGCAAATGGTCTGAGAATACGTTTGTAAAGAGTTCATGACTGACACTGTTTTAGGAAGGGTTTGTTTGTGCTTTAACTGCAATCTGGGTGTGAGGATTTGAAGGGCATTAATCATGTGATTATCTCCCTTCTAAGAACAAATTGATCTCTCATTCATTAGTGGATTCTTACATAATCATGTCTGAACAAAGCCTTAGGCCAACGACAGTTACTGAAGGAAACTAGAAATAATCCTCCCCAAATTATTTCACGAACCACTTAAAATTACAGAGATATGTATTTGTGCAATGGTGGATTTTTCACTATTTGTTAATAAGCAGGAAAAAACAGGGCACAACACAATCTACATTTGGTTCTTTTTAAAATGTCTGTCTACCCAATTCTATTTGCTTAGGAAAACATCAGAAGGAAGCGGCCTCCGCCATTGCCAGCATGTCATGGAGTTTGAGTGATTCATTCTTTGCGGCTGTCGTTCATGTGTATTTTCTCTTTTCTATAATAAACATAAATTACAGGGAGACTTTTTAAAGGAGGACAAACAGGGATGTACTATTGTTGTTTGACTTTGTTATGAGAAGAAAAATTCTAAAGAACCTTCTAGAAGCAGTAAAGGCAATCAGCACTGATTGCCTTTACTGCTTCTAGAAGGTTCTTTAGAATTCTTCAACCTCACTGAACAGCAGTGAGGATCATTTAGGGAGAACAACACTTCTGACAGCGGCTCTCAAGGTGACCTGAGAAAGCTGAGAATTCACACACGGACCACTGCGGTCACTAACATCTAAAAACTGCTGCTCTTTTTTTATAGATGGATGAATCTGACACCCCGCCATTGGTTAGGTGGTCCTTAGCCTTCTGCCAAGCCCCACCGGCGCACTTAACTACTGTGTCCTAACCGTCTCTTCCTGCATCCTGTCTCGCAGAGATTCAGCTCTTTCAGGGCAGGACCCAGTCGTAGTCCTATTTCCGTCCCCAAACCCAAGCACAGTCCATGACTGATGCATGAATGAAAGGGTCCTGCCTTTTTTTGAGGTTCACTTTCGACCTGACTCTTTCACTGATCTCAGAGAGACAAAACAGCTTTCGCGTCAACATCTTCCATCTAGCCTGTCTCCTCTGAAGTGCTAAAACACAGTCCCTGTGAATACATCTGTATTTTCATTCCTATTTTGTCCATTTCTCATCTTGGCCTTAGCCTTTGGAATGGGCACTTTAAAGGAGGGAGGATTGCCAGGCATGGTGGTGCATGCCTGTAATCCAGGCACTGGGGAGGCTGAGGCAGGAGGATCACTATGAGTTCATGGGTTCGAGGCCAGCCTGAACTGCATAAGGAGACCCTGTCCTAAAAAACTAAAAAAGGGAAGGAGGCACCAGTTTGTGCTTCTCTTCTACCATTTAGTGACAGACTCAGAAGCTTCCCCAAGATTACTTACAACTTCCACACACAGATATGAAGGTAATATAAGAATAAGTTACCTTCAAAGCCCAAGTGACTGAACACAGTGGTGGAATTCAGACCCCATGGCAGATAACCACCGAGATTTTTCAGAAGGGAAAGTTTTTGAAATCCTCAAGGCATTTTCTTTTCCAGGAGTCATTTTCTGGAGCCTATGAGAAATTAACTAGCACTTGATCGGGCTGAGGTTCATGCTAATCAGAGCACATTTTCAGAGCCTAGTTCCATTTCTGGAACTTTCTTCCAGCCCTCAGCATCATCGCTGTGCACACACCCCTTTCCTCTCAGCTTTTCTCTTCCTTGTCTACCGAAACAGGAGCAGGATCCAGCTGCCTTTGAACACACAGGTTCTCCGTAAGAAAAATGACGTAACTGCCTACTCCTGCCACCCCTAAAACACTGTTTCCTTGGAAAGGTCATATAATAAAGGCAGAAAACACATTCAAAGCAACTCGAATCACTGGATAACTATCTCAATTTCATTCTTTACCACGTGTACAAAATGATGATAGTGAAATAAAAAACAACCCCATCCCAAATTCAACTAACTGTTTGTGAGCAGCAATGTTCTGAATATTTCATAAATATACTGTGAAATAGTAAAAGGAACAAAATCTATGAACCGTGTGGCAGAGGCAACCAAGCAAACATCACTTCCGATCACAAGCAAACTCCTGCCTTTTTTTCTCCCTCTTTTCAGTTGTTTTCATGCGAATCTAAAAATGGAACACAAGTCATGGAATCCAAGCTGCATGCCTGTAGGATTACTGATTTCTGTGGATCACATTCTCTAACGTAGATATTTTCTCAACTTGCTAAGCAAGTGTGCTATTCTGACCGATTTTAATACATTTTTGACAACGGCAGAAAACAGTGTCATTCCTATATTAACTAAAAACAAACAAACCCAGAGTCCCTAAAAGCTGGGCTTTTACACAATGTCAAGCAGCTGGAGATAAGCGAGTCTGTTTGTGACCTTTGATGCCATTGCGGTGCCCTGTGGCTCTGGGGTACAAATTCACACCCAGTGCCCATTCCTACCCCAGGCTGCTATCCCAGTTTTTGGCTGTTGTTTTTTCCACGCCTGACATGACGCTGAAAAGCTAACAGATAATACCGGAAAATAACACCTCCTTCACCGAGGCCAAATCCTGACTTTCACCTCCCCAAGCTACCATCTAACTGTTTTCCAGTTCTCAGACCTCAGCCTGTGTATCACAGTACACAAGAGGAGTTTGTTAAAAATTCAGTTCTCTGAACCCCTTCCCCGGAGTGGTTGAGTAAAAGATCTTCAGTCAGGAAATGGAATCAGATATTGATTTTAAAAAGAGAAACAGCCTCCAGGCACGGTGGCACACGCCTGTAATCCCAGCCCTCTGGAGGCTGAGGAAGGAAGAGTCCCATGAGTTGAAGGCCAGCCTACGCTACATGGTGAGTTCAAGGCCAGCCTAAACTACACAGTGAGACCCTGACTCAAGGTGGGGTGGGGATGAGAGAGGCGAGGGGAGGGGAGGGGAGGGGAGGGGAGGAGAGGGAGAGGAGGGGAGGGGAGGGGAGATAAAAAAGAGAAATAGCCACCCCCATCACATTTTAGGAAACACTGGAGGAGACCCCAGTCCCTTCTAATGATTAGACAATGGCAGTTAACCAGGGGAAATTGCATCCAGAAGCGTCTAAATGGGATACTCAGCCTAAAACACCCAGATCAGTGCCCCCCAATCAGTCCAGGAACCGGTGCGCAAAGGCAGGCTCGCCGCTGTGCGCGCAGGCTGCTGGAAGCGTTCAGCCGGGTCCCCGCGAGCACGAGCTGCAGACCGGCCCTTCGGCGCCCCACTTACGCGCCCACCACGAGGCTGGCGTCCTGGAGCACCGCGAGCTCGCGCGCCGCGTCCCCGGCCAGGAAGCGCTCTCCGCGCGCGCTCACCAGCACCGCCTGCCGCGCGTTCTCCAGCAGGAGGCGGTGGCCGCTCGCCATGGCGCCGGTGCAGTCTCTAGGGTGTTCGGTCCCCGTGCTCCGCGAGCCTGGAAGGCGGGCGCTCGTGGCCTCCGCCCTGTGACCCCGCGGGTGTGTCCTTTGTACCTGTACCGGGGGAGAAAGGCAAAGGGCGCGCGATCACCCGGAGAGGTGATCGGAGCAGAAGGTCGCCGAGGCCAGGGCGCCCGAGGGATCGGCTGGGGTGGGGTTGGGGGGACCGCTGCACAGGTGACCCGCGGAGCCGGGGTGGGGACAGAGCGGGAAAATGTGTCATTTATAGACAACGGAGAACTACTCGGCCGGAAAGAAGGATAGACTTGAGTCATTTGTAGGGAAATAAATGCACCTTGAGACCGCAGTGTTAAGTAACTCAGACGCACAGGCTTAAATACTGCGTGGTCTTTCTTTTTGAAAACCAAAGTATAAATAAGAGGAAAAGAAAAAGACAGTAGGAAACAGAGACAGAGCTTCCTAGGGCAGGAAGGGACGGAGGGCTGTAGGAAGGGGAGGAGAAATAAAGGCGTAACTGCGCCCTCTCCCCACGAGCAGTGTAACTCTACTAAGGGTACACCCTACGAGTGTAACCCGGTCTAACAAAAATAAGAGCACTGTAAACCTGGGGGAGAAAGGAGCTCTGCCCCGGGGTGCTGCTGGGGCCCCCAGAGCGGGTTAGCAGGGTTGGGTGGGCACCGTGCCCTGGGCAGACCCGGGATGAGGACCCCGCCCTGGGGCAGGGGGAGGGGCGGCGCTGGGGTCCGCGCGCCCCGAACCGGGTGCGGGTCCCGCGCACACTTCCGTTGGCCTGATCGATCATCCGCTGTAGGATGCGCTCCCATCCCGTCGCCAGGATGAAGGGGACGAGGGCCGGGGCCGGATAGAGCACACAAGGCACCGTCGGAGCCAGCGCACGCTTCCTCCCCAGAGCCTGCGTAAGGACAGGTTGGACCTGGGCCCCCGGGATCCGAACTCGCGGAGGTGAAGCGGGCGGGACCCGCAGGGGAGCCGGAGGCGCGGGTGGGCGGGCGGGACAGAGGGGGCTCCTCCTCCCCTGCCCCGCAGACCCCCTGAGAGGCTGGGTTTTGGAGTCATTCATTCGCCTCGCCTGGTGTTTTTTAAAATCAGAAGAAGCTCAGTGTTGTGGTTCAACCTACAAAGCCAGCGGCAGCGCTCAGCTCTGCCATAAAAAAGAAGCCGCAAAGTGAAATACAGTAAATGACACCCAGGAGCCTGAACAGCTCAGGGTCTGTCTTCTGTGAAAATCCAAATTATAAATAAAAAGCAAAATAAAGCCCGATGCTAGCAGAAAGTGGGGGCACATCTTCCTCACATGGGGAGGGGGACTAAGGAGGGAGGGAAAGATGATTTTAAAAAGGAATTAAGATGTGTTAGCCGTGTACGAACCCCACACGAGGAACTGTGTGCTGCAAACGGAACTGGAAAAAAAAAAAGAAACGGATAAGGACAGAAAAGTGGACATTAGCAAAACGCAAAATAGAAAAGGTAGTTAATTTCGGTGTCATTTTAAAATTAGGAACAGATAGCAAACACGCCTTTAGAGGAACGCGTTTAAAGAATATTCTTTGGCATCGTGCTGCACCCTATAAAGCTGAGCTAAGGAGAAGGGGAGAAAACAGGAAAGAGTTAAATGCAAAGACACCAAGCAGAAAAAAATAACCAAAGGATTACTCGGGGCTCAGCTGCACAATCACAGACGTGTGTGTGTGTGTGTGTGTGTGTGTGTGTGTGTGTGTGTGAGTTCTTGAAAGGATATGTATGTCTATATGTGCATATATATCAAAAGTAGAGCCAGGGATTTAGCTCAGTGGCATAAGCGTCTGCCTGGCAAGTGCCAGGCCCTGAGTTCGGTTGCTGGTACCAAAAAAAAAAAAAAAAAAAAAAAAAAAAGAAAAGAAAAGAAAAAATAAAAGTTGAAATGGTGAGCAATAGAAACAAAATCACAACTTTATAGAGAAATATTAAGGTTTTCTAAAATTTCTGTTAAAGACTTATATTTTGCAATTATAGGCACATCTGCAGATTTATGCAAGTACTGTGTAAGTAAAGGATGGGTTAAAAATTACGGATAGATGGAAGGCTTCAGAATTCAATTCGCTTTTCATGTTCCTGCTTATGAGCTGTCGATCTCATGTAATTCACTTAGCATTTCTCTGAGCCGGTTTCCTTACCCTTATCACAGACATAATTGTTTCTACTTTACAGTTTGTTTGGCCCCTAAAGTAAGTCACTTAGCCCAGTGCCTGTTCTAAATGAGGACAGTCATAGGCAGTAGTAGTAGTTTATTTTAACCTTATGTTTTTCTGCTTAAGATTAAGGGTTGTATTTGAGCCAGCTGTACTAGTCTCTCTCCTGACTGACGTCAGAGTATATACCGTGTACTGTACTTCCAGATTACAGGTGCTTGGCAAGTCTAAAGCAATGATTTTCTTTTTACTCTATGGTCATTTATGTTTGTGAGTGTTTTTGATCCATGGTCCTACTCTCTGACATGCATTTGCAAAAAAGAGGATTGCAGAAACAGGAAGGATCAGACATATTTCTCTCCTCATTGGTTGCTTTTGATAGTAACTGAAAGTTTAGGGCAATACACTTTCCCTTAGCGATAACCAGCATCTTGGCTAGGCACAGTTGGTGCACACCTATATTCTTAACACTCTGGGAGGCTGAGGCAGAAAGATCACAAGTTTAAGCCCAGCCTGGGTAGGTTAATGACTTAGCAACAACTGTTTTAAAATTGAAAAATAAATGAATAAGGTGGGGGGCTGGGTTCAATTCCTAGTACTGGGACAAGGGGGAAAAAAAGTATCTCTTAATACATCTTAGGTTACAAAGGAATCTTTATATCACATGACTGTCGTTTGCAAACTCTCTCTGTTCTTCCTGTTGATCTCCAAGTTCGTGTTTTCAGTTTGCAAAAGGGGGAGTCAACAGGGAAGTCCACCTGAAACTTGACCCCAGCAGGGTTGTAGAGGTCAAGAGGAAAGGATTCTCACCTTGTGCTTTGCCGCTGAACTAATGAGAGGCGGCCTTTGAGCCCGCAAAGGACCTAGCAGCTCCTGACTTTCAGGTAAACAAAAAACTGCTGGCTCTGGAATCTGTGCACCTCACAGGGACACAGCTCCCTGTCTCTCCTCCCAGCACTGTCCAAGGGGTGCGAGGAACAGGTGGAGAAGGAGGAAAAGGCTTTGGGTCAGAGGGAACCTGATCAGGTCCTTACATGGATGCAGAGATGGTTCCTGTGCCACACCGAGCGAATCTAGAAATCTGTCTCTCGGGGTTGTAGAAAGGGTATGAAAACCAAACACAAACTCCTTCTAAGCATATGTGGTAGACAGTGTCGTTGGTCATTTTTTGTTTGTTTCTTTGGTTTGCTTGAGACAGGCTCTCACTATGTAGTTCAGTCTGGCCTTGAACTCATGGGGATCTCTGTTCCTCAGCCTCCTGAGTGCAGGATTACAGCTGTGTGCCACCATGCTTGGCTGCTGTTGGTGATTTGATTTGGTGTCACTCTTGAGCTTTAGGATTATATGTTATAAAACTTCAGTTTTAGCTGGGAGTGGTGGTACAGCCTGTAATCCCAGCATTCTGGAGGGCTGAGGCTGGAGGCTCTGTGAGAACAATGGATTTTAGTCTTGTCTTTTTGGAGGATCTGCCTCCCATACTTTAGAACAGTACCTGACACACAGTAGGTACTCAATAAATATTTTTGAACAGTAACTGAGCTTGCTTACTCATCTGTAAATGCAGACCAAATTCAAAATCAGGCTTCTTCAACTCCAAAGTCTGTGTTCTTAATTACTTACTCTTACGCTTCTGGAACATTTAGGTCTTAAACATGGCTCTTTGAAATTATTGAGGAATAAACTTTAAACAGCCAACCTAAAATACAATGCAACATTTCTTTGCTCCTGTCATGGTGCACTTTTCTTTTTAAACCCCTGAGTGCTTTTCCCCTCCAAATGCATGTATTTTTAAACTCTTCTCGTAAAAGTTATACAAGCTCTTTGAGGAATCTAAGTGATATTCCCAAAATATAGAAATCAGATTAAGAATTAATGTAGCAAGGGAGGTACTTGCCTGAGGCAAAAAAAATTTTTTTTTGATGGAGAAGCAAAAAACTCAGGAATCAAAATAACCAATAATTTTAATTCAGTATTTCCAGAAAATGAAAAGTGATGCAATAAGTCCAGGATGAACAAAATGTGAACATTTTAAATAAAGATAAGATCTATGGTAGTGCATGTCTGCAATCTGCTTAGAAGCCTGAGGCAGAAGGACTACAGGTTTAAAACCAGCTTGGGGGTAAACATCAACTAGTGATTTCTTACTGTTTATTCTTTCTTTGAAAGTATGTATTTTTCCTACCCATTTTCTGTTTGGTTTAGTCTTTAAATAAAATTTTTAAAAAGAGCAAAGGGAGGGAAAGGTGGAAACTACTGTCAACTTCTTACTTTGTTGTCTTTTTTTTTTTTTTTTTTTTTGGTCTTTTTCCTTTTTATCGGTACCAGGGATCGAACTCACGACCGCCTGCTTGCAAGGCAGGCGCTTATGCTGCTGAGCTAAATCTCCAGCCCCTTATTGTCTTATCTTGAGCTCTTGCATTGTTTACATAATTTTATTAGGTTTGGCTTTGTTCTGTCTTTTGTTAGATTTTATGTTTTCAGATGGTAAGAGCAGCTATTTTGAATATAATGGGAAATATTATGGTAATCATGGTTTCCTATTATATTGTTTTGAAGTCTTATAATGCCTTCATTCATTGGTCTGATTTTATCTTGTTTTGTTTGATTTTATTATGTGAGATGGTATGAACGCTACTTTGAAGAAAACAAGACATTATAGTAGCTATTGCTGATTTACTATCATCTTGTTTTGAAGTCCCACCGTGCTTTTGTTCTTCTGTTTTGATTGGTTCTATCCTGTTGTGTTTTATTTGATTTTATTATGTGTGATGTTATAAAGGCAAATTTTTTGAGGAAAATGAGGTCTTATAACAACCTTGTTCATTTCCTGTTATTTGGTTTTGAGTCCTGTAATGCTTTCATTCTTTTGAATGTTTTTTACTATATTGTTATGTTTGATATGATTGTGTGTAAAGGTATGCTCAACTATTTCAAAGGAAAGAGACATTATGTTAGCTACTGTTGATGTCCAGTTGTTTCGTTGTGAAGTGCTGTGTTGTTTGCATTTTCCTGTTCTGATTTGCTTTGTTTCATTCTGTTTTCTTTTGTTCTCTTTAATAAAAAAAAAAAAAAAAAACCCAGCTTGAGCTACCCAGTGAGACCGTGTCCTAAAAAGGAAAGGTGGGAGGAGATGAGAGGAAGGAAAGAAGGAAGGAAGGAGAGGGAGAGTAAAAAGAAAAAGGGCTGGAGGTGTAATTTAGAAGTGGAGCATGTTTGGTGTAAGGCTCTGGGCCAAATTCCCAGTGCTGGGGGGCTTTGTGGGCCAGAATCAGGGTGAAGCAGCCAAGGCCCTGACTCTGAGGGTCACACAAGTGCAATCAATTCCTTTCTACATTCAAAATTTTGATATTTATCTGACAAAAGTCAGTGCCATTTGAAATTTTGTTTTGTCAGTTAGTCTTCTGTCACTATGACAAAATACCTGAGAGAGTCAAGTAAAAGAGAGGTCTGTTTTGGCTGCCGGTTTTGGACCCAGTGCAGGGTCCGCTGGCTCCATGCTAGTAGCCTGGGTTGATAACACCACGGTGGGCGTGAGTAGTGGAGCAAAACTGCTCTGCTCCTGGCTGGGACGCAAAAGATGAGGAAGCAGAAGAGACGGGGTCCCCTAATCTCCCTACAGGGAATCCTCAGTGACCTAAAATCCTCCCACGGGGTCCTGGCTTGTAAGGGTCCCCCACTTCTCACAGCGCCACCTTGAGGACCAAGTCTAAACTACAGCGTCATGGTACATCTTCCCTGCATTGGTGTGGAATTTAAAAATTAGTTCATTTGCCTGTTATTTACCTTCATAAGTAAGTTGTTGTTTTGGCAGTTGCTTACATTTTACAGCCAAAGTGAGTATCTCAATCACCTAACCCTAACCCCAAACCTGAGCAGAACAAAAGGAAGGTTGTACCAAATCAGAAGTGACCTCTAGTAATGACTGGTGAGCAGCGTTGTAGACAACGCTTGGTTCTTTGCATGCATTTTTTACACACTGTTTCTACTCTCAAAATAGTTGGTTCTCAAAATAGTCGCTTTTTAAAAATATACTATAGCTAAATAGTGACAACATTGTTTTATAGGCCATGTGGCAATCTATCTTATGGTGCTACCATAGTTATTTAATCAACTCCCTGTTTATTAAATGATACTGAAAAACATTATTTCCTGCATGTCTGATTTTTTTGAGATAAATTCCTAGAACTGGGGTTGCTGGGTCAGAGAGTTTGTGCGTGTACTGTTTGCAAAGCCAGAAAAGCTTTGCAATCAGCTTCTTTATACGATGCTCACAGAATTTTTTAAGACGTGCTTCCTTTTATTTGGACAGGACCAAGAGACAAGATGTCATCACAGTTTTTGAAGGCATCAGTGAATTTTGAAGGTAAGAAGTTAATGCTTGAGCTCTTGCTTCGTGCCCAGTACTGTTAGCCTCCAAGGGGATTCAGATAGCAAAGGAGAACAGTACCCCACAAGTACAGGTGCGAGGACTTTACAGACTGCCTGCAGAGGAGATTCTGCTCTGTTTTTTAATTTAAGTAAGCTTCAAATCAGCAGTGCACAAAGTTGTCCTACTTAGCTACATTGCTGCTGTGGCTCATGACAGTGAATTATTTGTCGTCATGAAGAACATGAACAGCTGAACTTCAGCAAAGTCTGCCTTCTCCTCTGTACCACGCTCCCCTCCTTACCCTCCTCATTCTTTATAAACGTGCGTGAAATTGGAATTTATTCGTATACAAGAAATAACTTTGCTTTTACTTACAAATTTGATAAAAATTTAACTGGATGACCCCAAGTGTGTCCCAAGTGACAGTGCTTAATAAACTTTGGAGGCCAATTTGAGTCTCTCTGTGTTTAGAATTAACATGTTCCTCTGCAACTAAGAGAAAATGCGTAGCAATAGAGCCTTAAACACATTAGGAGTATTATTTTTTGAGGTACGGAGAGGGAAGGAAGGAACTGAAGAAGAAAGGAAAGGAAACAAGGATGGAGGGAGGGAAGGAAAGGGAGAAAGAGGGAGAGAGAGGAGAAACGGTGCCCTAGGGACTGTGCTGGCCGTCCTTCCTGATGTCCCCAGAGCCCAGCCACCTCCCCCACCTCTGCTCCTACCGCCTGGCTCAGCCACCAGCAGCTCTCACCTGAAGTACTCTGGATGCAACCCTGACTGCCTCACTCTGAGTCAGTTCTCATCAACCTGCACAGAATTAAGTGGGTGGATCACATCATTCCCCTCTTCAGGGTCCCCCAGGGTCCCCCACTGGGTCTGGACCCTAGACCGTCTGCCTCTCTGCCCCAGCCCAGCTCATTCACTCCACTCCAGACACAGAACCCTCCTTTCTCTCTCCTGCACGCACACCAGGCCCAGACCTGCCCCAGGGCCTTTACACTGACTATTAGCACAGCCAGGACTTACTCCTCCCCAGATACCCACCTGGTTATCCTCCAAACACCCTGAATGGAGTCCATACCACCACTGCCTCAAAAATCACTTACCCTTACTGCTTATTTCCCCCCAGAATTTTGTTAGCTTGTAACATGTTGTAAAATCACCTACTATATATTTTTATTGGCTATTACCAATACACACATGCACATACACACGCACCTCACCTCAATGTGAGGTCCCCAAGAACAGGCGTCTTTGTTTGCACACAGGGCATCATCAGTGCCTGAAACAGTGCCTGGCACATAGCAGACTCTTTCTAGATGTTTCTTGACCAAGTGGATGAAAGAATTAGGACCAGACAAAGAGTGTCAGTACGGGTCAAAGCTGAAGAAAGAAGTGGGGCTGAGTGAGTGTGACAGACTAAAATCCCCAAGCATGTCTAACCCCAGCACCTGTGAAAAGATTATCTTTCATGTCGGTGGACTTTGCCAAGGTTATTAAGCAAAAACTCTGGAGATGGGAAGGCTGCCCTGGCCTATCTGAGGATCCAGTGGACCTGGTGGTGTCTCTAAGAGAGAGGAGAAAGGGCCTGGGCAGAGGAGGGGCTGTGATAATGGAAGCAGAGGCGGGGGGGATGCACTTGGAGGCTGGAGCAGGGGCCACGAGTCAAGGGATACGGGCAGCCTCTGAAGGCTGGGGAAGAGTCCCTGTGTGGCCTCCAGAGGGGAGACAACCCTGACAACATCTTGATTTGATAAGTCTTGTTCCAGACTTCTGAGCCCCACAGGGTAAGACACTAAATAATTTTAAGCCACTTGGGTTTAGGTGATTGCTTATAGCAGCCTCAGGAAACTGATAGACTGAGGCAGGGAAGAGAAGGACTCTACCCAAGGCGGGGGATTAGTATGGCAAGGACCCACAAAGCAGCCCGGAGATGAGTGTAATGGGATTACCATAGGCAGCGTTCGGGGAATAGAGTCTCACTTGGGGAACTCAGAAGAACCTAATCCAAAATAGGGTGCTGGGGGGAGGCTGGCCCGGGGTCAGCTGATTGAAGAGCAACAGAAGGAGGCTCTGGAGAGGCAGGAGGCTGTGGCGGAATCTGGTGCACGCTGGGGTCTGGGGCGGTGGGATAGGTTGAGTGTGGCCCTGAGATGTGTCCATCCAGAGCCGGAAACATGAACTTCTTCAGAAAGGGGTATTTTCAGAAGTGATTAGGTGAGGACCCTGAGATGACCGCACCTTGAATTCAGGATATGCCTCAAACCGAGCAACTGGCATCCTTGTAAGAGAACAGAGAGGAGGTCTGAGGCTCAGATGCACAAAGGTGGAGGCAGAGGAATTGCTGGCGGTCACCGGAAGCAGGAAGAAAGTCATGGACTAGATTCTCCCTCAGGGCCTCTACACACAGCACAGCAACACCTGGACTTTGGATTCGGAGCCTCCAGAACTGTGCGGGAATGAATTCTGGTGTCTTAAGCTACCTGCTTGTGTAATGGTGTCCCAGGCCCATGTGACCAGGAAACTAATTTAGGGAGAGCTGGGGGCACAGCTCAGCAGCACAACGCTGCCTGGCAAACGCGAGGTCATGAGTTTGATTCCCGGGACCGAAAAAATAAAAAAAAAATAATAATATAGGAAGAAGGATTAGCTGGGGCTAGTGCTCATAGTGAGCTAATAATTCTGGAAATTTGGTGCTGGGTTGTGCTGCGGCCCCACAAATGATCATCCACCATGTTCTAGCGCCTGGAACCTGTGAGCCCGACTTTACTTGAAAAAACAAGTGTCTTTGTAGATAAAAATCAAGATAAAGATCTTAGGATGAGTTCACCCTGGACTTAGGGTTTCCCAAACTCAGGTATTTTGTTCAAGTAACAGAAAAAAAGGAAGATGCTAGGTTTTGTGGTCACTCTGCAGCCACAGGAAACTGATACTCTTGGTGCGTGGAAGTTCAGCCCTCTCCCATTTCTCTGTAAGTCAAATGAACTTGGATTTGGACTTCAAGGGAGAAAAATATCATCCTGTCAATTCCGGGGCACTCAAATTTGGTCGGTGGAGATTTTAACTCAGGAATTACAGACTGGTAAACACCTGGGTGGGATGTAGACTCGGTTTGCAGGGTTTCTCTTTGCTGAGCGAGACTCGGTTGGGACAGAAGTGTCCAGCCTGCTGGTGACTCATGTGTGGAGGACATGCATGGCCTGTGCTGGGATGTCTGGGGTCTGTGTCTGGCCTAGAGTGGTGAGAGAGGGCACAGGTCCACGGACTCTGGCCCTCTCACTGTTTTAGGCATTGTTCTCCTGAAAAGCAGAACCAAGCGGAATGAAGTTTATCATGAGAAATGGGCTCGCGTGGTTCTGAAGACTGAGTCTCACTGCAAGCCACAGTCCAGCAGAGCTGGTTGTGTAATTCAGTTCAAATCAAAGGCCCCAGAACCAGGGGAGCCCACACTGTCAGTGCCAGTGTGGGCGCAAGAGATGAGATGGGGTGTCCCCGCTCAGGGAGCTGGAAAAGAAAGGGACAAGGCCTTCCTTTCTTGGCCTTTTCTTCTCCTCCAGCCCTTGTGAATCGGACACTCTCCTGGCCTGGAGAGGAAAGTTGACTTTCCCAAGTCCACCGTTTCAAATGCTCACCACCTCCGGAAATGCCCTCACACACACACATCCAGCAACTGTGTTTAGCCCAGGCACCCTCTGGCCCAGCCAAGTTACCCCACAAAGTTAAGCATCAGAGCCGTCCAGGCCCAAGTGCCTGTGGGTCCTCAACCTCTGTCGCCCCCTGCTGTTAGCCAGGCTCCCCTGCAGTCCTGCTGTCCTGGAGCCCTGCGGGTTGGACTCGCCCTCTACTGCTGCTGTTCCATTTATCAGAAGGCCTAGGTGCCTGAGCCTCACAGGGCTTCAAGGTAAACATATGTCCTTGTGCTCCGGCCAGATACTATGCCACCCAGCAGAGGGCTCCCTACCTCCTTCCGTTAGTCCTCCATCAGCTGGACAGCTGCACACCACGCAATCTTCAACCCAATGGGTTTCACTGTCCTACTGAACTATAGAATCACTCACCAAGGCCATCATATCCTCCTATCCGAACCCGAGTATGCTTTATTGTCTTGTTACTTTTACTGTGAAACTTTTTCTCTCGTAAACATTTAGCCTAGCAAAATAGAATCTCTAGGATTTCTATAATCCCAGCCACCTCCATCTCCCCAGCTGAATCCCTGGGCAAATGGCAACTTATTGGCAGCCTTTGACCTTCAGTCCACTAATTCTTTGCTCTGGCCCCCTCTTACTGCCACCTGACTCAGGGGGCTCTCAAAATATCCCAGTGCTTTGCAATACTGGAGATTGAACTCAGAGCCTTTAGACTGAGCTGCATCTCCAGCTCCTTTTTTAAAATTTTTTTTTTTCTTTGAGACAAGGTCTTGCTAAATTGCTCAGATGCCCTAACTGGGCACAAACTTGTAATCCTCCTACCTCAGCCTCTAAGAGTGCTGGGATTACAGGCACGTGCCAGCATGCACAGCTAAAATATTCCAGTGCTGACGGTGGCTTGGTCACTTAAACCAGAATCTCTGAAAGCAGAGCCGGGGTAATTCTAGTGATCCTGAGCCAGAACTAGAGTTTCTTCACTGGCCCCCTCCTGCTCAGAGGGCTTGGAGCCTTTTTGTGAGGTGCAGGAAAATGAGAATGTGAGGTCAGGGTGGGGAAATGTGTCCTTGGGCATCTTTCCCAGGACTCCTGGTCTTAACTATTGGTCTTTAAAGGTTTCTTTCCCCACAACCACATCCTCGAGCATTGGAAAGCAAGAAATAAATTAAGAAAAGAGAAGGAAAGACTTTTTAGCATTTCAGATTTAATAAATAAAGATCCAAAAATCTATGCAGAAACACAACTCATTTGTCACTCTTATTAATAATTAGTCTTTTTTATTAACCATACAAACCCATGGTTTTTAGGTGCATTCATAGGTGTGAGCTTCCATCACCTCCTCTGGTTTTAGAACATTTTCACCACTGCTTGAGAAAGAAACCCTGCACCCTCATCTACCTGTGCCCCTCCAGCCCTGAGCACTACACTTGTTTCATTGTCATCTGAGCTATTATGAATAATACTAAACATTCTTGGACATATTTTCAGGTAGACATAGGTATGTTTTCTTTCCTTGGAGTACACACCTTGTGGTAGATTTACCGAGGTCTATGGCAACCCTATGTTCAACTTTTTAAGGAACCACCAGATTGTGCCTCAAAGTGGCTCCACCATGTTATGCCCCCCCCCCAGTCTTATCAGAGGGTCTAGTTTCTCCATGTCCTCACCAGCACTTGTTAATATTGACTTTCTTTTTAAGACTCTCTGGTTTGAACTGAGGCATTCCACAAGGGCAGTGGCTGTGTGCCCTGCAGCAGAAGTGGAGGTGTAAAGACACTGCTCAGTACATTTGTAGTGAAGAGAGGAGGCAGTGTCTCCATGTCTCAAAATATGATCTCATTATTCTCAAAGAAGCCTCTTTATTTTACCAGCTCATTCACCCATGAAGCACTAAACACTGGGTTCCCCGGGAAAGACAATCGTGGTGGCTCTGGCCCAACAGATCCAAGACCTGCATCTCCATTTCCAGTTGGGGAGACAAAGGCTGTCTGCATCCTCCCTTCTCAGTGGCCCTGTTTACACTTCTCTGGCTGCTGAGAACCTTATCACTCTGGTCAACTGAAGAAAAACAAGTCTTTCTTTCTTGCAGATAGTGTAAAGGATGACTCAACCAAAAAGAACAAGCCTTATAAGATCTTTTTCCGAGATCTCTTTCTTTACAAAGAAAATGAGTTGGAAGCCAAGAAAAAGGTAAGGCTCCATGAAAGGAATTAGAACAATTAATGTTATAATTATGTCCTCCTATTCATGGTTCTCACAAGCTTCTATGGAGTATGTGGTAAAAGGTGTTTGCCCACACTGTTCTGGAAACAGTGTGAAGGCAAAGCCAGGTCACAGCCTCCTCTAGCACACAGCAGGGAACTGCAAAGATCACCACCCAATGGGGAAGACATAGAAACCTTTAACAACCCATGTAACAATTACCAAGTACCCTATGCCATTGATTCCAAAAGCCACATTTTTTTCATTCTAAAATTGAATCTAGCTTACATAGATATAGTGTCTTATGTTGGTAGCCATGCATAAAGTAGCAACATATTACAATAAGTGGCATCCCAGAGTTGATGGACTATAGTAACAGCAGCCTGCAAAGGAAACACAGAGAAAGCACACTTACCTTTGCTAGTGAGACGAGAGAAGTGGTGGTGGTAATGATGGCGGTGGTGTGCAGAGGCTTCACTGAGATCACAGGAGCTCAGCCTCCAAGAGCAGTTCAGTTTGCTAAGCGGAGAGGGCCAAGACCACGTCTATGTATGTTCTGGGGAAGAAGCAGGCAGGGAAACAGGGATAAAAGTGGAATTATTTAGAATTATTTTGTAAAACTAAGTCAGTACTGAGACCAGCGCTCCTGCAGGTCTTGCTGGTTTGTCTCACTACTTACATGGTCAGAGCCTACATGACCTGGTTCGCATTTCAGGAAATTAACTTCCTTTCTTCCCAGAGACACAGGTTGATTATACAACCTTCTTCACGCTAGTTAGAATGAAGAAAATATCTAGAAATGCTACTGCATGATGACTTTTTGCACATGTTGTGTAGCTTTGTTGAATTTAACCCAGAATTAAATTGAGAAAATGCAAGTGAAATCAGAACCACACGTGGTACACACCCACACCGCACTGTGGAGGTTCAGTTCCTCTCAAATTTTCCGTCTTCAGAGCAAACCCTTAGACTCTCCAAATTTTACCTATCTTTTGGGAATGACAAAGTTGTGAAAATAAAGCCATCAGGACATTCTCCAGTTTGTGAGGTGCAGTTTAGTAAAGCTTAATTTTTTTTACATCATCAAGACAATGAAAACCAAACACATTCCCTTAAAGATAAGAGGTTAGATTACTTGTTTAATGTTAATAGCATTGTTGCAAACGGTATTTTTCTATATGATCACTCTTCTAATACAACATTCCACTTGGGACCTTAAAATAATTCTTTGGAACGTTTCCACTTGTGCAGGAAAAACTTATGAACCGCAGCATGAAAGTGCACCAGAAGACTACTTTTTCATCCCGAATGAAGAGTCGCTCACACCTAAGCAAAATAGCTTTCCAGCCTGACACAGAGGGTGTCTCATTGGAAAATCTGGGGCTGGATCCAATGCTTATTCTGAAATTAACAGAAAGTAAGTCAAAATTGCTCTTTGTTGAAGGACATTGGTTGGGATATTTACCATTGATTTTGTTTTGGGTCCTTTTCTGAAAAACAGAAAGTATCCATCCCACCATGGTGGAGGAAGTCTTTGCACATAGAGGTTGAGAGTGGGAGAAAGTCTGTTTTACATAAGAAAACATCCTTTTCCCAAAAGACTGTTACTCATTTTAGAGACTCTCAAGACTTCAATCATTATCAAATAATACAGTGTTAAAGTGGGGTAAGGGTAACGGCTCGGGCCCTTCATGCTTTAGATGTAGAAAGTTTCTCCAGATGGAGAAGCCTTTACTGTTCATAGAACTCACATATCCAGGATTTTAATGATTCTAGAAGGCAACATAATAAAATACTACAAGATGGCAGTTACTGCCCTGGGGGAGTGGGCACCCTGATTATCAAACACGCCCTGAGCATTTCCTAGATCAAGACATGCATATAAATAAGGCAGCAAGTAATCTGATGCTAATGATGTTAAAGAGACTGATACAAGGCTGATAGTCATAAAATCTTTCCCCAAATGGATCTTTTTCCAATTTTAAAGGAAGAAGCAATAGCCAGACCCATCTCAAGTATACAGGATTTGCTATGATAATTTAAACTGTTTCCTCCTCTCTGGTTCCCAAAGCCGGGAGGAAAAGAAAGTCAAGTTACATACCAGTAACCCCAGCACTCGGGAAGCTGAGGCAGGAGGATCACAAGTTCAAGGCCAACCTGGGCTGTATAGCAAGACCCTGTCTCAAAATAAAAGGAAAAAAATCTTCAGAGAACAAGTATCCACTTAGAATAAAAAATTGGAATTCAATAATTAGTGTAGCAAAGCATGCCATCTAAAGAGATTTCGAAGATCTTAGAGACGTGTAAAGTTACCAAAAAAAAAAAAAAAAAAAAATAGACCGTAACAAGTGATGTCAAAGACTAGGGTATATCCAGGCTCCACCCTGAGTCTCACAAGTCACCTGTGCAGAATGATAAACCCACAGTCACCAAGAACATTTAAGGTGGTACCTGAAACATTTAAGGAAGAGTTCTACACAAAGAAGCTGACTTCAAACATCCTTGTGATTCCAACAGTTCCGAGATCACCAGGAAAAACAATTGGCAGATAACTGACATTTCCTTTGTCTTAAGAGTAATGTCTGCAAGACAAACTATGGAAAAGGCAATGGTGAAATGGTTTGGCATTGTCCAGGGCCAATGGGACTCTAGTTGCCATGGATACCAGGCAGTTTAGAAATTCTCACATAAAGACCTCTCCCTCAGACTGTGTTTCCGATTTCTAGGATGGGAACCCCTGCTCCTCAATCTTGCATTCTTAGCCAGCATTGTGATAAAAAATAAACCTACACGAGAGTAAAAGAAGCCAGGGCCCCACTGTGGGAGCTGAAGTTGTTTTAGTTTTTCTGTATGCAGTGGCAAACTTCTAGGTCATCATCAGAGAAAGTACTCAGGCGACTGTTGTGACAAATCAGTTCATCTGCAGCACAGAAGCGTCCTCTCCGCCTCTGCACAACTGCAGCCCTGCATCAGTTTGCACTGGGAGTCACCACCTCTGAACAGACTGTCCCAGCCACTGTTGTCACAGACCTGGCTCTCTCAGCTGCTCTTTTCATCCCTAGGACATGGTGGGGGGCTGTGATGTCGAGGAACACTGCTGCTTTGGAGAAAGCTTCATTATATGAGTGTGGGTAGAAATATCCACCAGAGAGCTAGCATAGCCCAAATGGGAAACATGCTATGGGAGTCTTACTAGGATAAAAAGATAGAATCTCATCTGTGTCACCCGCCAGTACTGTATCAAAGTAGCCTGAACTAAAGTTCAATCATGTGATAGTGCTCAGTTGTGTGGGAGTGAAATTTATTTTCCATTGGGCTGGACCATCACAAGTGACCAAATGAAAGCTAAAGTGAGTGCTTTCCACCTACTCTTCAAGATGTTTGAGTAAATTGCACCTGTATCTAATCAAGTAAATATGAGCTCCTAGATTAGTTCTGTAAGCAAGAGATGCTCAGAGCCCAGGATGTATCTCAGGCAGACTGAGGTTGGAAAGAAATCAGAAATTTCAGGTGTGTGACTTCTAATTTCTACTATCCCTGTGTCTTCTGAACTTGTTCTGGGTGGGCTGGAGGCCTGAGATTGCATTTTGCTCCTTTCTCTTGGCATTTTCCTGTGTTCCTCCGAATCAGCCCATTGCTGCATTCCAGGTGCTTCCTGCACTGGGTGTGGTCCTCTGGTGTAGTGGATTGGGCTCGGCACTGGGGTTCCTCTGATCCTGGGTTCCTGGAGTGGTGGAGAGGCACAGGGGAGCGGGGCCATGGTTGCTTGTCCAGCCCACGCTGGGCTCAACAGATCTCTCCAGGCTGCTGGCCTGTATTCTCCGGGTGTGGCTTCTTTTCTGGGCATGCTGGGCTTGGGCTCCTGGCACACAGCTTCTGGGTATGGTTTCTTCCTACTAACTCCTCTGGTTCACAGGTTTGGTTCAGCTCTGATATTTCTTTGTTGATTTTCTGTCTAGTTGATCTGTCTCTCTGTGACCCTGGGGTATTGAGGTCTCCCCTTACAACTGTGTATTGCTCATTTGATTTTCCATGTCTACCAATAACTCTTATATAGCCAGGTGCTCCTGCATTAGGTGCATATATGTTTATGATTGCTATGGCCTTTGTGCTGTGTCTGGTTTTCTCATTGACCCCCATCAATCTTGTGTTATTCTTCTTTGCTTTGCTTGCAGCTGTTGGATTGATCTCTCATGGTCTCTTGTTTTTGAGATATCTTTCTTTTCATGATCACTAGCTGAAACTCTGAATTCAATATCTGAAATTCTATCTTGTCCTTCATTCAATCTGTTACATACACTTTTAATGGAGGTTTTAATCCCCTGGACCTCTGCTTGGATCTGTTCCATGGATTCCATTTCTCTCCTACGTTGGGCATTTTTTGTTTCCATCTTTTCCTAAGATCATCTATTCTTTTATTTGTGTCTTTATTATCTTTGATTTTAAGCATCATTTCCTTTTATACCTGGGAGATCATTAGATCATTTTTTCTGTAGCCTTTTCCACTTGTTTTTTTCAAAAAGTGAGAATGTTACAGTTATGTTTTAAAACTGTTTTGTCAGGTAGCCTTATGTACTAAAGTACTTATGCTCCAAATGATCCAAGTGTTTTTATTTTCTTTAAAATATTCTAATAAGAGAGTGATCAATGTGAGGTAGCAAGAGATAAGACTGGGAAAACGTTGTTAATGTCAGAGTCGGTGATACATACATGGGGCTCATTAGATGCCTCTGCTTTCATGAATGTAGGTGATTTCTATCACACACAATTTCCAAGAAGTATGAGGAGGATGCCTATGTGCTGGGTGTTGATGACTTTAATATGCATTTTATTTAATCCTCACCAAAAAGCTGTTAGATATTTCTGCCTCATCTTTACATCTGATGAAAGTGGTTCAGTGAGGTTGAATCACCTAAAATGTTAAGTGGATTCAGAATTCAAATCGCTAGTCTGTCTCCAAACTTCGTCCTTGGTTACCTCCCAATTAATGCTGGTTAATAACTCTAGTAATCATTGCTGCTGTCATTACTGACCTTAAATAATTAAATGATTATTCATTCTAATTTTATCTTTTAAGCAATATAGCTAATAACTATTAAGAAGTTGCTGAGTTTTGCAGACTATTGCCTCATTTCTCCCAACCCCATTATGAAATTGAGTAACACAGCTGCTTAGGCCTAATTATGCTCTGGTTATGAGCCTCTCCTAAATTTCAGTGGTTTACAACCTCGGGGGTTTGAATTCTCCCTCACTTTCCAAGTTTTGTGCTTTTCCCTGGATTTGTCAATGAAGGAACATTGCTTTTCTGAAATCCAGCTAGGATTATAGCAAACGAAAATAGAAATCAGTGGTGATTCTAAATTTCCCCTTGGAGGCAACATAGACCAAGTCCACACCTGACATCAACCAAACCAATCACCAGACATCAACCAGGGAGGCAGACAACCTTCTCACAGACAGGTGAAGCAGATGGTTTGGGACATTAATATAATCTACCAACTAGCAGCCTCGTTGGACAAATAAGGAAACTGAGGCATGGAGAAGCAAAGTACATTACTCATCATTCCTGACTAGTAAGAAGTAGAGCCTGAATGTGGCCCAGAAAGATTTAGGGCCCTAGTTCACTGGTCATTCAGGAAAAAATATTTTTTATTTAGATTGACATTGCTATTGAAAGACTTTGTTCCATACCACATTTTGTTGATTCTTCATGATGCAAACATTGAAGTCCAGAATAAATATAATTTTCCAAAATGAAGAAGAAACCATGAGAGGACGTTGTTAGTTTTCCTGTTTAGTTTTCTGCACAGTAAAACTAGTTGCCTTATTTTCTTATTCTGTTGTAACTTTAGTCTGTGGTTGCTCCAAAACCCTGTGTCTGAGGACTTCAGTTTGATGTCTAGATCAGCCAAGCACTGAGATTCAAAAGTTCAGTCTCAGTTTGTGCAGGTCAGGCTGAGGAGACGGATGCCACTTGTCATCCACATGACCTTGGAGAATTCTGACATCTCTAAACTTCTGGAAGCAGACAAAGGGGATAGTAATAGTTACCTCACTTGGGTTGTCATTAAGATTAAATGATATATTTAAAACATTTAATAAAGTGCCTGGAATATGGATAGATACAAAATAAATGATAATTACTATTGCTAACTTAACTTACAAGTGCTTAAGAAAAACCTTATTGTAAGGTACAGTTTTTTTAAACCCAGTTACATACATACCTATATGTATATGTGTGTGTGTGTGTATACATATAAGTTTTAACCCATAACTTTTATGACATCTTTGAAGGATAATGAACTGAACCTAAATCTCTTGAAATGTTCCTTGCAGCTGCAGACACAAAAAAGACTCTCCATGAATTTATTAATGACCAGAGAGACAGGTTTCTACTGGAGGTAAACATAATTCTTTTTTTTTTTTTTTGTCTTTTTCCTTTTTATCAGTACTGGGGATTGAACTCACAACTGCCTGCTTGCAAGGCAGGTGCTTATGCCGCTGAGCTAAATCCTGAGCCCCTCATAATTCATTTCTTCTATTACCCAACAGAAAACTTTTTGTATAGTATCGATAATAATAACATTGTTTGTTCTATGTCCACAATATATTGCTGAACAGATTGCTTCACTCTTTTTCATTTACTCAAAAAATATTTGTTGGATGCTTATCCCATGCCAAGCAGTGAACAAAACAAAGATCTCACCCATGGAGAGTTCACGTTCTAGCATTCTATCAGGAAAGTTGTTCTAGAAGATGTCTGTTCCCACTCTCTTGATTTTCCCAATTCTTTCTCCCATAATCACGGAAGCACTTCAGAGGCCCGATTTAATTTAGAAACTTCAGCTGAATATGATGGAAACCTAAGTGCTCTGGAGACTCTGAGAATTTCGCCTCTGACTACCTGCTCTTGCCAGAAGAAAGAAGCAGGTCCCTGTTGGGGTCATTTATAAAATTAACAAAGACTTTTATCTTATGCTTTAGTTTCTTTTCTCCCTGCTGAGACAAAATACCCAACACTTAAAAAAGGAAAGGTTCATTTAGCTCACAGTTGTAGAGGTTTTCATTTGCAGTTGGCTGGCCCTGAGGCAGGTGGGCAGGGCAGAGGAGAAACAGCTCATGGCAAAGCAGGGCAAGCAGAAGGCAGCAAGCAGCAAGCCTCGCACTACCACAGTGCTTTCTGTCCCTCACATTCTACCCACCCTTAATCCTAGCATCATGCCACGAAGTAATCCCAACGTCACCTGCTAGATCCAGCCACCTCTGAAAAGCTCCACCTGTGACCACATGAAGCTTTGGGGGCCATCTAGCCACAAGCCATAACATCTTACCATCACAAAACTTCAACCAGAAATCAGGCCTGAAAACAATTATTTCATATATTGTGACATGTGTTCATTTACCATAATAAACATTTAAAAATAGGGAAACAATTGCACAAGGAATTGATTGGATCTCTTTGAGATCCTTCCTAACACCCTCCCCCTTACTCTGCAATGGCCTCCATACTATTCGGGGAGATACCACTCATCCTCTGGCTCTTCCTTCTTGGGGAAACCTTCCCCCTCAGAGGTCCCCAAGGTTAGCTTCCTACCTCTACATTGATGGAATTTCACTGGCTATTCTACATACAATGGCAACCATCTGCTTTGCCCGGGTACTCCATTTTCCTTGTGTGGACTCTTTCCCTCCTAGAATGGACATTCTACAAAAGCAGTTATGTTTATTTTGTTCATTGCTCTGTTCACACATAGTCCTGGCACATGATAAGCACTCAATAAATACATGACAAGTAAAGTAATGGATGAAATATTTTTATTATGATCTCTGAAACTCTTAGTATTAGTTGCAATTTCCTAAAGCTATCCCACTTCTGTATTTTAAATTCAAGTATATTATAACACATATGACTTTGTTTCTTTGTAATTTCTTTTTCCATGTGTGGTATTCAGAATCCAAGTGGATTCTTATGTCTGTACTGAAAGAAATAGATAGACATCAAATAGATATCTATGTCAAATAAATAGACCATGTAAACAGGCCTCTTTGGGTCTGGTTAAACAGCTCAGAGGAACACATCACTGGCCTGCCAGGGTTAAAACTGCATCCTCCCATGGTCTTTCTTGTTGTGGGAGACACTGATAGAATTTGTGGCAGCGCACAGCCCAGTTTCCCAAGGAACTGAAAGGTGATAACAGCCCTGCTCAGAGATTTATAGATAATTTTGACTTGTGGGGCACAGTCATTTTGGGGATTACCCAAGTCTCTTCATAAAAGTAAATGAGAGGGCTGGGCATGGTGGTGCACTCCTATAATCTCAGCACATAGGAGGTTGAGGCAGGAGAATTGTTTGCAAGTTCGAGACCAGCCTGGGCTACAAAGTGACCTCAAGGCCAGGCTGAACTGCGTAGCAAGACCTTGTCTCAAAAGAGGGGGAAAAAAAGTAAATGAAAGAAATTATCTCCCTTCTAACCATCTTTCAAAGCAATGTGAAATAAAAAGCCCTAAGACTTAGCTAAGTATTGCTTTTAATACAAATAATTGCCTATTGTGAAATTCATTTCCCCTTTATTATGTTGAAATGTACTTGAACTGCCTGCTAGTGTTATTGATACATCTTTATTTTCAATATTTCTAGTACACTCTCTTAACCAAAAGAAATACAATTAAAAAACTTGAAAAACACATCACTTTAAAGGAAAAGCAGCTCAAAAAAGCCGAACAAAAGCTCCAAGATGACACACTAGCCTTTGAAGAGTTCCTTCGAGAAAATGACCAGCGATCTGCAGATGCTATGAAAATGTTAGTGTCTTCACATCGGCCAAATCCGCCACCCCCACGCGCAACACAAAACACCACCAACTGACAAGCCTTTGCTCCTTTTTCAGTGCAGCCCAAGAAACTATCAACAAACTCCAAATGACAAACGAGCTAAAGAAGGCCAGCATTGAGGTACAGGCAATGAAGAGGTGAGAGGAGCCACCACCGTTTCAGGACCAGGTTTCCACAGCCGTGTGGGAACCTATGGGGAAGAATCCTTGCTGATGATCCCACGAGAGTGAGCAGATTTTAAATAAGTAGCAAAGGATCATCTCTGCCTGGGTGTTACTTCATGGTGGCTGTCAGGAAAGGTTCTGTAACTTGTAGAAGAAGATGTAGAAGCAAAGGAATCAGCTGAAAGAAAGTAAACTGATGTTAGGTGTAAACATCTAATTCTCCAAGCGCCCTCTCTTATTCCTTTTAAGACACATTTCCCTCCACATTTTAACCTCACTGAAACTGGGATTTGTTTTACCACTGCATTACAGTTACAATTGGTAGTATATGATGTGTATGCTTAGTAAAATTAAGTACTGCTTTTAAAATATAAGATCTATAGTGAGAAGAATCACAGGACAGGAGCTGGAATTAACATTATTATATCAATGGTCACTTTTTTCCAAACCTGTTTCTTTCTATGGTTAAGGGAACTGACTTGAATTAATTTTAAGTATCTAAAAAGCTTCTGTCAATATCATTGGCCAATAATTTCATGATCCAGAACATACTATTGTCTTGGCATCGGGCTAAGACTAAGCTATTCTTGATAATGTAATGTTCATGTCTCCTCTGAAATCACATCCTTGACTTCCTACACTCTACGGAGGAAGAAGGACCATAGCTTGTCTAAAATGCAGCAAATGAACTGGATGGTAGTTTATCTGAAACCCAATGCAGTAACAAAATGTGTATTTCAAACACATTCTGGCTACAGCAGCCTCTTCTATTTTAGGAACTTAAAGTTGAAAGCGCTCCAGGAGGGAGAATTAGTACTCCATGATATAAGCAGAAGCTTCTGTCTACTTAAAGAATATTTGCAAAACCAGAATAACAGCCTTCGTGTTTCTATAAAGTGCTGTACATATGCCCGTTGGCCCCACAGGGGACATTCTCCGAGCACCCTGGCCTAACAATGTGTTTATTACCCATTAATGTTCCATTATTGTAGAGAGGCTCAAAAGAGCATGGGACACACATTGTGACAGAGCCAGGGAGGCCAACCGTTTCCCGCCTTATGGGAAGAGGACCCAAGGAAGCCCTCCACTGCAGGCTAGCTGGGGATCAGGCTGGGGACCTGTTTACAGAGGGAAAGGCACCTTCTCTTCTTAAGCCCTTCTATGGAAGCCATCCAATCCCAGTCCATTTTCACTCTGTGTTCTTTGTGACACATCTGGGAGGATTTCTATCAAAAACTAAAGCAGTATGGTAATAACTGAGGGGCTCCCACTATCTTCTGACCCCTAAAACCTGGATCGCCCTCTCACTGACCCTGTGCTATCACTCTCAAAAACAGGGCTGAGGGAAGACAGATCCAATAGAGACCAGAAGCTGAGTGTATGGATAGGCTGTCTTCACAATATGGAAGATCCTGAAAAATCAGCCCCTTTCCGTGGGCTTTCCTTAAAGATTCCTTCTGGAATCATTTTGTAACGTGGCAATGGTAAAGCAATGTCAAGATGGGGGAAGGCTCTAGGTATTTTCGGTGAGAGCTTGGGCGTCACCGCTGGGCTTGAGTGCTGGCTTGATACTCCCAACCCATACCCTTAACTGCTGTGCTGACAATGAAATCAGCCTGGTACTGCATCCTTCAAATTGCTCTGTGTATGAAAGGTCTTCATGGGGCTGGGGATAGCTCAGCAGCATAAGCGCCTGCTCTGCAAGCACATGGTTGTGAGTTCGATCTCTGGTACCAATAAAAAAAAAAAGGCCCTCACAAAGTGTTAGTATGGTTCCTTCACTTATCTAGGTACCATCTTTTGCCACCTTCTAATTGCTCCTTCATTCTAAAACTTAAATAGCATACCGTTTTCCACAAAAATCAAAACACAGGGTAAAACTATCACCAGCCTTTTTAAAGTGTGCATATGACTCTTTATTCAGATAAACATTCCACAGACTACTTTCTTCTCATCTTAGGGAAGCCTATATTTTTACGAACATACTTATAATTTTTGATAAGTATATTATCATTTAAATATATCATAAAAAGAACATTGTATAATTTTTTTTTAATCTGTATGCTTTCACACAGGTGTACCTAACCATATCTTTGTTTCTTTTGAACAGTGAAATAGCAAACACAGAATTCCTTCTTCAGGAATACATGAAATACGGATATTTCCTACTGAAACTGTCTCCAAAACATTGGCAAATCCAGCAAGCGCTAAAAAGATCACACATACCAAAAATTCAATCCATTATTCCAAAACTATTAACAAGTAAGTTACAGTCCTTAATTTCAATTAAATAAGAATCTCCGATTCTAAAATATTCTACTTCAATGACTTTTATTTAAAGTCAAAAATTTAAAAAACCAAACCAGAATACAGATTCTTATTACTCTTATTATTATCTATTACTAATTTCAAACTCAAGTTAATTTCAGAAATAAAACCATAAATATACACATGGAAAAAAGAGAAAATATATTATTTGCAGATAACATGACAATCTAGAAATTCCCCCTTAAAAATTTCAAAACCTATTTGACTTAGTAATGTTCTATAAAGTAAATGGGCACAAAGTCAATTATACTTTACATATTACAAATTAGCATATTAATTTATCTTATGTTTGCCTATGTATTTATATATTAACACAAACAAAGGAACTTTAAAATTTGGAAACTATACAAGGAAACTAAATCTAAGAAAGCAACAGTAACTTTAATACTATGACATGGAGGCCTTTAAATAGAAAAATATGTTATGTTTTGAAAAAGACATAAGGAAAATGATACACAACTTTGTCAGAGAGTGGGTTATCAGAGTGGGGAGAACTTTACATAATGATTCTAAGGGTCATCTGTAAGATGAATCAGGAAGGTCATAGATGGATGTTATCTAATCCTTTAAAATATTATATAACATATTGTCCCAGAGTCCCAATAATTGCAACAGTATGGTAGTGGCATTCCGAGGTCAGTTTAATGAATCAGAGATCGATTCCATCATATAAAGGAACTGAATGCATGATTAAAATGAAGCCACAGATCCAAATAAAAGACTGGTACTTCCAGGAACATTGGGGTAACTAGGAACAGACTTACCTTACTTCCTGGGAAAAAAATCTGGAAAACTGAAGGGACGTGAGATGCACGAATATGTGGACACTATTTTGAGCATCCACTGCAATGCAAGGAGCCCCGTGAAGGCCGGGGAGCATTCCAGGGGATGGGGGTCCTCAGTAAAGAACTGAGTATGCACACCATGGACACTGGTGAACTGCAAAGCTGGGTACATTTGTTGGCACAGAGCTGGTTGATAAACATTTCCCAGCCCACCGCAGAGTGTGAATGAGGTCATGTTTGTGAGGTGTTGGGGAAGAAAGAGATCTAACAGGAAAATGGAGACAGATTTGCATTTAACAGCTCAAGATTTAGACCTCCCAGATTTGTTCTCTAGGCAGGAGATGCAGAGAGCCCAGGAAGCATCTCGGGCAGGCTGAGGTTGAAAATGGGAACCTCCCAGTACCCACGATCTGTTCTCTTCCATTCTGCCCACACCCGAGGCGGCCGTTACCAGGGACAGACTGCATTTACTGGTTACAAGATCTCCATCTTTAATTTCCATCCTTGGAAGTTTGGACAACACCTCTGATCCTCAGAAGTCTCCCCACCCCTCACCCCCATCCTTCTTTTTCTCTCACCTCCTGTTTCTAGAATTACCATTAATTTCAAATAAAACAGACAGCAGCCTGGCAAGTTCTGAGAAGACACTACCTTCAGATGACTCTATAAGAAAGAGGATCCCAGGTAAGGGTGGAGATGTGTGGCTTCCCTGCCCGATAGAAGGTGTGGGCCTCAGAGTAGAGCCCCTGCAAGCTCAGCTAGGACAGGAGGGAGGGTCACCACAGCACCCATAATCCCACACACCAAAGTTCGGGTTTCCTCCTGATGTTATCACAAGTTATGCTGAATGGACAGGGGCCGTGCCCTGCTGACCATACCACTACATGCTCCAAGGTCCTTCCTAGCTGGCCCCTCTTTCTTCTGGCTCAGGCTTGTCTTCCGGTAATGACATCCCCTTCCCAGGGTTTAGGAAATCAGGCCTGTTGCAAGTGACTGCCACTGGTCAGTGACCCGGGGAAGTCACTCTTGGGAAGAAGCCAGGCAGCTCTTCCCAAGTGAACTGCCCACAGTGGGCTGGGCCCTCTCTAGTGGACATTAGTTCCCAGAGGCCTTTTCCCTCTGGTACTGCCCCACCCTGTAGTCATCTGCGCTTGTCACCCTCAGTGCAGGCTGACTCTTGGTGACTTCTCCTCCTTATCCAGCAGGTGTCTGTGGTGGTTGGGTTAAGCCCAACAGCAAAATTTCTCTGCACAGAAATGGCCCCAGTGTGAGTTGTAGGCTGAGCGTTCACTCCACTGATGGAAAAACAAAGTGAATTCTTTTGGTCTGTGAAGCCAGTTTGCACCAAAAGGTGTTGTACCAAAGAACAGTGACTCATTTCTAATTATGTGTGGTTTCTCTTGCCTCTCCCCTTCCCCATGGCACGGATTTTACCTGGACATTTGGAACAGGAAAGCTACGCAAGAAGCCCACTCTCAACCCAGACGCTGGGAAATCACCCTCATCCAAGTACGGTCTCTGCTTCCCTTTCCCAGAAACTGTCAATGGCTTTTAGAAAATAACTTCTACCCTTCCCTCCACATAGAGACCGGATAGCCACACCTGTTGTGAAAGGCTCCGCAGTCGGGGACCCCGTTTTCACCTACTCCAGAGGCGACTGAGCCCTGTCTCCTGTGTGCATTCTTTGATAAGAATCTGCAGCTGGACAATGCATCTTGGGTTTTTGCCCCTCAGAATCCGCAGCCTGTGGTTTATTAAGCTCCACACTAGCTCATGTGCAGTTTCGCCATGTTCTTCAAAATTGCTGTGATACCACATGAAGTATTTATTTTTGCTTCTTCCGTTCTCACTGGTCCTTAAACCCAGTTGCCCCAAGGAATCCTTAAGAAAATATGTGAGTGCCCAGGCCAGGTACCTTATCCCAGAGGAAGGGGTCTGAGCCTGCTTCCCCGTGTCCATGACAGTCACTATAGACCAAGAGACACTTTGCTGTGAATTCTAGGAATTTTGGGATTGTTCCATGTCTGTGGCACTTCACCTTCATTTTTAAAAATTTTTGATTTTTTGAGACAGTGTCTTGCTATGTAGTTCAGGCTGGCCTTGAAGTCACCATAGCCCAGGCTGGCCTTGAGTGCGAGGCAGTCCTCCTGATTCAGCTTCCCAGGTGCTGGAATACAGGCATGTGCCACTCATCCATGCCCTGCTTAACCATCACTGTTTTTATTTTGAAATAATTCACATACAATTATAGGAAATAATACAGACAGGTCTCATGCGCCTCTGACCCAGTTTCCTTCAATGCTGGCATCTTGCATAACTAGGACGATGTCACAACATGGACGTTGGTGTGGACACAAGCAAATAAGAGATCACCACCCCTGGGTTCTTCCTCTCACCTTTACATAGCCACACCCACTTCCTCCTCCCTGGCAGCCACTTACCGAGATAAAATCATGTCCTGTACAGCCTTCGGGGTTTTTGGCCAAGCATAATTCTCTGGAAATGCATCCAAGTTGCTGGTTCCTCGGCACCAGGTTCCTTCCCGTAACTCAGCAGGAGGCTCTGACGTGGGTTCTAGGCTTTGACTTAACTATTTGTCCACTGGAGGACATTCACATTGATTCTAGCTCAGGGCCACAGTGAATCGTGTTGCTGGACGTTTATTTGCTTAACTTTTTGCGTGAACAGAGTTTTCATTTCTCTACGATAAACATCAGAAAGCACGGCTCACTTGGCAGTGGGTGGGTGGGTAGTTTTTGGAAGAAACTGTCAAATTGCTTCCCGGATGGCCTGTGCCATTGGGCACGCCCACCAGCAGTGCCTGAGCAGTCCAGCTGCTCCACACCCTCACCAGCCCCTGATGACTTTGCCGTCTTTTAATTTTAACTGTTCTGACAGCGTTCAGTGGCAGTGCGCTTGGGATTGGCATTTCCCAGCACCCGGGGTACTGAACACTTACGCGTTTGTGTTCACCCGGACGGCTCCTGGTGAAATACCTGTCGTTCATGTGTTTTGCTCATTTATTCCCCGATGAGCAGTTGGAGGCTAAACAGGCTGCCGCAAAGACCTGTGCTGCAGTCAGGCTCCAGAGACAGTTTAGAAATGAAAGCCACTCTGTTGTGATGGTTGAAGAATTATTCACTTGGGGCTGGAGGTTTAGCTCAGCGGCATAAGTGCCTGCCTTGCAAGCAGGCAGTCGTGAGTTCGATCCCCGGTACCGATAAAAAGGAAAAAGACAAAAAAAAAAAAAAAAAGAATTGTTCACTTTTCTTTGTTTCTTTTCTCTAACAGCCGGCCGGGAAGTGTCAGTTCGGAAGACAGCCTGGAGTTCTTCCTAGATGAAGACATCGACTATGAACTGGTAACCAGACTGTATTTCTTGATTTAAATACTGTGTTTGTTGAAAAGTACAGTTGTTCACGTCTACTCACAAGATTAAAATTTTCTATGCCAAACATTCCACAGGTTTTCTGAAAGGAACAGGATTTTAGTGCTGCTCTCTAATTGGTTCGATTAATTTCAGACAATCTCTGAAAAAATAAACGTCTATAAGAAGATAGTCATTTGGGAGAAATATCCAAGCTATAATCTTCCTATAAAAATAGCCCTTTATAGTGACTGGTCATTTTATTGATGTATTGTATTGTATAACTGTATTGTATTGTATAACATGTATTGTATAACTGAACTTTATGAGAAATAGACTTCCAACAAATGCCATGCTCTTACTGTAAAGCTGATTTTGTGTTTACCTCAACCAAAACACAACTGCAGAAACTTAAAGGAAAAATATCCAGTCATTCCTCTAACTCACTTTACGTAACATTAAATTCACCACCTTACCCATCTTAAGGGTACAGAAGTGTTACCTACATGGTATTTGTTTTGCAGTAAGGTCTCGGGAACTTTTAACCTTGCAAACTGGAACTGTGTGAATCCAATGCCTGTTTTTCTTCTGCCCGCCCCAAGCAACTGTCATTTTCTGTGTCTAAGTGATTGGCTGCTTTAGAATCTCACATGAGTGGAATCACGTGGTATTTGTGTCTCTGTGGTTGGTCTATTTCACTTAGCATTATGATCTCAGAGCTCATTCCTATTGTAGCATAAGATGGGATTCTCTTTTTTTATTTATTTTTACTTTTTAGGATTTCCCTTTTTAAAGGCTGAATTACGTGCCGATGTGTACATTTCACATTCTGTTTATCCACACCTGTATCCGAGGACATTCAGGTGCTCCTACCACTTGGAGATTGTAAATAATGATGAACACAGATATGCAAATAAAAACCGTTTATTTAAAGTAATAGATACTTAGTCTTCAGAATTTGAGAAATGCAAAATGGTTTTGGGTGAAGGAGTGACCCTCACTTAGCTCAGTCTTTCTCCTGTTCCTTCCCCTGCCTGTCACGCTCACCATTCCCTGCCCTTGTTTCCTGGCCTGCTGTGTCCCCCCTTGTCCCTCTTTCCCTACCCCTCCCCTCTTCCTTGCTCTCATCCCCAGCTCTCTCCCCCAGCGAAACGGGAGGCTCCCTTACAGTCTGCCCATCTCCCTCATCAGCAGCTGGCCGTGCACTGAAAGCTTGGTCCCCACCTTACGGTGTCCCCGGGAGATGGCAGAACCTTTCAGAGGTGTGGCTGAGGGCAGAAAGGTCTCTAGCGGTGTCCTTAAGAAGATGTTGGGGCCAGGCGTCTTCATCTGTCTTGGCTTCCTTCAGCACATGCTGGCTCCGTGATGGCCAGTGCACCCACAGGCCCCAAGCCGCAGGCCCAAGCGACCGCTGCACCAAAACTTCTGAAGCCTCTTGCCAAAGTAAACCTTTCCCCTCGAAAAGCTGATTTTCTCAGGTGTTTTGTCACAGTGTTGGAAACAACAGTATTATTTATGTGAGTCACATGCGCATATTTGGAAGTGAATTCTGTTCTTCATTATTGATTCATTAGCTGCCAGAGATCTATTTCAAGGAACCAGAAGAGTTACTTCAGGTCCTCACGAATCTGGAAGAGCAGAATCTGACTTTGGTCCAGTATTCCCAAGATGTAGATGAAAATCTTGAAGAGGTAAACAAAAGAGAAAAAATCATACAGGACAAAATGTAAGTAATGGAAACAAGTAGATTTGTTCTTTTAAGCACTATCTGATTGGGGCTGAGGATTTAGCTCAGCAGCGTAAGTGCCTGCCTTGCAAGTGTGTGGTCGTGAGTTTGGTCCCTGGTACCTATTTAAAAAAAAGAAAAGCAATATCTGATCAAAGACTGGGTCCAACCCACTCACGAGGGCTCTTCCTCATGGTCTCTATGGATTTAGGCTGGAATTTTTATAACTATACTTCACACTATGAGTGTAAAAAGTTCAAGGTGTATTTCCACAGAACAGACTGACTTTAGTTCAGTTCTAACCCTGTGAAGGTCGAGTCCCAGAGATAAGTAAGGGGACCAGCAACATGAAAAAGTGAGGTAAAGGGATTGAAAGGATCAAGGTTGATATATACATGGTATTTTTATATAATGGAGTACTACTCAGCTATAAAGAAAATTGCATCAAGACTTTTATAAATGAATGGACATGACCTGAGACCATACCCATAAGTGAAATAAAGCAAGCTCACATGTGTAAATACCATGTTGTCTCCTAGTGTAAGAAACTGAAAAAGGATATACAATCCAAAATCTACAATAAAACCGCGTAAGGGTAAGAAACTGCTCAAAGAGGAAAAGTAGTTGGGATAAAGGAAAGGAGGAAAGAAAAAAGGGAAAAGGAAAAGACACAAATTCATACACACATATATATACACATATGATAGCTAAAATTAGTATACTACTAATTGTGTTAGGTATTGAAAAAGAACAGTTAACATTCATATGATTAGATCAATTTTACATGTCTATATCTGTTATTCTAAGCAACCTTTTTGAAGGTAACAATATGCCGTATTACAACCATCATCAAATTCCTAGCATCTTGTTTTGTAAACCTATACTGTTATTGTCTTGGGGTTGTTGTTGTTTGTCTCTTTTGCTTTTTGTTTTTCTTTCCTATGTCTTCTTTTTTCTTTCAAATAAATTTTTTAAAAATTTAAACATTTTTTAAAAAGATTGGTATATGCATATACCAGTTCCCCAAAATGAGAATCACTAGTTCATATTACAAATAAGAACTAATAAAAAATATTTTCCTGGAGGTGGAGATTTAGCTCAGCGGCATAAGCGCCTGCCTTGCAAGCAGGCAGTCGTGAGTTCGATCCCCGGTACCGATAAAAAGGAAAAAGACAAAAAAAATTTTCCTTAGCAGTAACAATAAAAGATAGTTTAGAAGGCTAAAAAGAATTGAAAGGCTACCCTTGACTTTTGTGTAGTCTGGTTTCACTTGGCTATCATTTCCACAATCAAATCAGTGCTTTGAATGCTAATAAATTTGTTTTTCTTGGCTGTGACTCTCAGCAAAATTATTTCCTGGGGTTTAACAGCATGATTTTGTGATGAATATATTAATATATTAGGGCTGTTACAGGGGGTTTAGGAATGAAGTGGTCATGGTGACTTCTTTCCTGTTCTAAAATTCTAAAATTTTGAATTATTTTGAAAAATTCAAGCTGTAGAGAAGATATCCCTATACCTCCATTTATAAAAATGTGTAGAATCTTGTTGGAAGTTTTTTGGGTCAGAAGATGGAAACCCTTTTAAACAACAGATCACACTACATTAAACTTTGCAATGAATAAATTTGAGAGCTAGGAATGTAGCTCAGTGGTGGAACGCTTGCCTATCGTACATGGAATTCTGGGGGTGGTCCCTGGCACTGGGGGCAAAAGAAGACCGAACGGGTTTGTTCAGAAAGAACCCCAGAGTCATAACGCATCACCACTACTGTATCCTTTGGACAGTGTGTCTTTCTCAGCTTTACAGAGTGTGGGGCCGCGGCTTTAGCTCATAACCGATGGGCCGCTGGTGGGCAGGCAGGCAGGGAAAGGAAATCGATGTCAGGCTGTCTCTCTGAGACACCATCAGGGTCTTTGCAGGGGAGTCGGGGACCTCTGTTTCCTGCCCTCACTCCACAGATACTCTGCTAGTCAGCCAGATTTGAGCGCACTCACCTAACAGGTCACATTACAACTGGGGCTCTTGACACTTCAGCTCCGCTGCTTTCTTGGGGAACCTGCAGGCGCCACAAATGCAGCGCAGGGGAAAACACCTTCCAGTGGGAGCAGCCCCTGGGCATTTCTCTTCCTCACCACAACTTGAAAAGCTGCGTCCTTCAGCAACGTCTTCAAACACGCTCCTCTTGGCTCGCTAGACCAGGGTGTTGATCCATTTTCCAGATAGCGCCGAAGCTCCTGGCTGGTGGTTATTTCACTAAACCACGTGTTACAGGCAAGGGGGTCTCTTTCTTCTTTTGCAATAGAAACAGCAATATAGAATCCCTGCTGGAGCACAAGGAAATTCTGAAGGCGAACTGCCTGCGAGAAGAGGAAAAGGCAGCGGAATTGGAACTGCGCTCCCGGCTCTTCAGTTTTGGACAATTTAATTCCGATGCTCAGGTAATCATTCCTTGCTCATGGTAACTTTATTCTGGCCTGTGATAACAACAACCTGCCTTCCTTTTGCACTAAGCATTTGAATGAGGAAGGGAGAGCAAACCACAAGTCTCCCTTGGATGATAGAGGGGGAAAACCAGCTTGCAGTTGTCTTGCTAGTATACAGCAGGCAGCTTAGTGATAAGAGCCATTTAGATTGGCACACTGAAGTGTTGCTGTCATGGTCACAGACTATGGGATTGAGGTTTCCCCTGCACACACATTTCTTCAGTCCCTGCCTAGACATAGTGGAGTAGTTCGCTGTCTGTGCTCATTTGGGGGGTAGGTCAGAGACTGAGTAACAAACACAGGAAGCAGTGAATCAACTGAATGGGACACTGGGCAAAAACTGAGCTGAAACAGATTTTAGCTTCCTGAGACTCGGATAGACTCTTTATCACAGCAGCTGAGACACACACTTGTTTGGTGGTTTGTTTGCTTGCTTGTTTGGTTGGTTAGTTGGTTGGTTGGTTAGCTGGTTGGTTGTTTGGTTGGTTTTTCATGACAGTGGCTCACTACGTAGCCCTGGCTGGCCTGGAACTCAGCAATCCTGCCTCAGCCCCTCTCTCAGTGCTGGGATTACAGATGTGCACCACCGCAACTACCCAGTACACTTACTAATATTAAGAAGTCTCTCCTTCCTGGTTGTGGTCCCACAACCTCAAGGATTGTGGGGCTAAATAGAAAGGCAGGATGTGGAAAATGGGAAGAAAATGTGTTCTCTCCTTAGAATTTTCCACCTTTCATTATTCTGTGCTTGAAAATCTCAAAATATAAAAGCCATAATCCTTCAAGTAAATAAGCACAGTTGCACTTAATTTTTAAAGCTTTCTTCTACCTTTTCTGTGTTATAAGTGAGGCATCTTATTTTGATATTAATACATTAGCATAGTTACTTTGGAGCTGTAACCATACAATGATTATTTGTTCAAGACTGCCACCCTCTTGACTGTACTTAATTCTCTAAAACCTGTTCCTTAATTCAGTGTTTTATTATTAACATACAAATGTAAACCCAACTATAGTGCAAAGTTGAAAGTCCTATTTGCTCCTCTTAAGGAGTTTGCTCAAATGAACAGTCGTGTACTCCCCGCACTTACACATCAGTGCCCATCCCAGAAAACCTTCCCGCTTTCCATTCTGGGCCATCCCCAAAAAGGGACCACTGCCCTGCCTCCTCTCCCCATCGGCTAACTTCCCTGACTTTGAACTTCACGGAAGAGGAATCACGTAATGTGTCTGCCTTCTTTCCCTCACTGTTACATCTGAGAGACCCTTCCATGCTGTTTTGTGTAGCAGCTGTAAATTGGAATACAATTATCCTGCTGTTCAACTTGCGCAATATGTTCGCCTCTGGTTGTTCCTTTCTGACCCAAAGCTGATGGAGTTGTGTGCAGCCAGCACACAGCAGAAAGCGACACGGGTTAGAATGACAGGAGCATCCCCGGGGCAGGAAAGAGAATGCGCTGAGGTCTAAGCGGCTCATTAGACACTGCTCTGGTCGCATCGCCTCCCACTCACTGCTGGGGGCACCTGAAGCTCTGCCCCGGGGTTTGCCTTCCCTTACCTGCCTGCGCCCTGGAAGACTGACACTTGTCCACCTCGCTGGGCAGCGCCTCCTTGCAGGTGCCCTGGTCTGGGCCTGCCATCTGGTGGCGGCTCCAGGGCTCAGGCTCACCCTTCCCTTCTGTCATCAGTCAGCCTCTGCCTGGGGCGGTCTTTGCCCTTTGGCAGTGTGGGCCAGATCCCCAGTCTCTTTCATACGTGCTGTTTTCCTTAATTTCCTTATCTTCTTGATGCCCTTCTTAGGAAGTAACTTTTTTTATGACTATGTTAGTTAATTTTCTGCACTGACAAGACAAAATACCTGACATTCACAAGTTAAAGGAGGAAATGTGTATTTCAGTTCATAGTTTGTGGAGGTTTCAGTCTGTGGTCAGCTGGGGTGGCCTGGCAGGCAGGAGGCAGCAAGCAGCAGTGAGCCTCCCTTTCTCTTTTATACAGCCAGGCTACAAGCCTTGGGGTGGTACCACCCCTACCCAGGGTGGGAGTTCAATCTTCAGCAACGCCATCAGCCACAACCAGACCTATGCTCATTCCAGTCAGTGGACTAACTTAGTACCACACAGCTTTAATCCCAGCATCACACTCCTCTATCTAGCCAGCTCTGAAAAGCCCCACCCAAGTGCATGATGCTTTGGGGGGACATCTATATACAAACCATCCTAGTGTCTTTCCCCCTCCTGTGTGATGAAAGAATTTTTTTTTATAAAAAGGAATTTAAAAAAATATCCTGTCCTCTCCAAAGCTGTGATTTCTAGGAATCTGTTTCAAAAATTTCCATCACCACTAATCATTCTCATGTTAAAATAACTTTTTTCTCAAAGCCAGTGCTCAATACGAGAATCACTGTATATTTTTCTGTTTTAATGATTTACATGACAGGAAGACTTTTTTCATATGTGGTAGAGGATATTTCAGCCTGCTGAGTTACTTTTATTCTTTTTTTTTTCCTTTTATGTTCTTCTGCGTGTCCTTTCCCAAGATTTCTAAATGTGTTGTTATAGAAACAAGAAACACAATGTGTCATTTTAGGGACGGAATGAAAGGGGCTTTCTGGCAAATGGAACTTTGCTTCTTTTGTATTAGCTTGTATTTCTCCACATTTTCTAAAGGAACTGTATTTGTAATAGAAATGGGAAAGAGCAAACGTAGAGGGTGAAAAGATGTGACAGGGGGTAAACAGCACTGCACAAGCTTATTAAACTAGGAGGCAGGGACACAGCCTCTCTTGGGATCAGATGCTGGCCAGAAATAAGTCCTGAAGGTCCCCAGAGAGAGCTTGTGACTCCCCTGCAGGAGCCAGGCTGCCTTGAGTGTCACAGGGTTTGTCCTTGATGATTCTCGCCTTCCCAAGCAGACTCGGGGATTGGGACAGGATCCCACTTGAAAAATGATTTACTGAGGTCCTGTTAGTGATGAATTCTGGGCACACAGGGGAGAAAGAGGGTGACGATTTTCTTAGGATTCTGAAATACATTTACTTATCTGCTCAAGAGGCTCCCCACGTTACAACAGCACAGACTCAAAATAGAGGGATCAGCAAAGTTTGGCTTCTGTTTAGATAAGAATAGAGCAAGGACTTCCCAGTGGGGACCTGACCAGTCACCTATGAAGGCTCTGGGAGGCCAGCCTGGGAATCCATTTGCTTGTGAACATTTTTCTTTGAAAGGATGCAATCATTTATGCAGCAAGCATTTATTAAGTGTGCAGTTACGGTAAGCAAGTGGTCCCTGTCATCAGGCATGTGTACAAGGAACTGCCACTGAATGACTTAGGTTCACAATTCAAATGGTAATGCAAAAAATGGGGCTCACATATTGTGTCACTAGGTGTGTGAAAGGATTTCAAGTGCCTTTACCTGAGTATTAGGAAATCTGATACATAAAAATGTTCAAGCAAAAAGATATCCTCCATTCTTATACTCTTTATAGCTACTCTTATGCAAGGAGTTACTCTAAATTACGCTATAAATACCCTTAATGTAATTATGATATGAATGCCTCTCACCGGTCTATACTTACTAAATCTTTTAAGAGGAGCTGCAGTGCAGCATAGTGTAGAGCACAGGCTTAGTATGCAGTGAGGCGCCGGGTTTAATCCCCAGCAGGAAAAAGACATATTCAATAAAATCCATTATAACATAGCAAAGTGAAATTTCACACTTATTTGAGCCACTTGGTGATGCAACATGATGTTTTCCGTTTTTTTGCTCTCAAACTCAGGAAAAACTGATAGACTCGCTTAGTAAAAAAATCAACCAAGTCTACAAAGTGTGCATCGGCGACGCTGAGGTCGGCAGCCTGAACCCGGTCCAAAAGCTGGTCAAAGTGGAGTCTCGCATGGTGGAGCTGAGTGACCTCATCGACTCCATTCCCAAGGAAAATGTGGAAGCAATCGAGAGGATGAAGCAGAAGGACCGGCGGCAAAAGTACGGTCCCCGTCTTGGGAAAGAAGTAGAGGGGACGCCTTAGTGAGAGGCTGCCACTGCTGGGATTTCGCCTTAGCAAACCCCTCGTTCAGCCAGGACTGACGGCCACCCAGGGTCTCTTCCAGTCTTTTTATCTGTAAAGTGTCTCATGGGGTTGTTACATGGGGTTTACGTAATCCGTAGAGAAGCTTTTCTTAGTTGAAGATTACACATTCATCGTGGGGAGCAGGGACACGTATGTAACTCAGCTGGTATGCTTTGTTTTAACCCCTTCCCGCCCACCTCCCTTTTTCTCCATGGCTGGCACCTGGGAAATACTATTTCTCCTGTACATAAAAAAAAATGTCCAGATATATTCTGGTGATCCTGCTAGCATCCTACTGAGACACTCATCTAATTCCAATAATTTTCATTACTGAAAGGCCTGTTGTTGATTTCCCCCATGGTTTGGAGGTACCTAAGTTTGCACTTGAACTGCTCAGGAAATGTTCTTTTTGTCCGCCAGTGTGTAATGTCACACTTATGATGTAACTAAGTAGTATTTTAAATGCACAGGGTGACCCCTGTGTGTCAAGTCTTACGGTGCAACGATTTTCATACATTTTTCCCCTCATAATCCTAAAATGGGTGAGACAAATAAGATTTATTAGTCGTAAGAGAATCATTTGAATGTATTAGTTGGAAAGTACACTTTTGTGCTAATACACCGGGCTCGACACTTCTGACTTGCCTGGGATCCTGCAAGCAGTTTATACTGACAGGAAAAGGCTTGAAGGGAACAGGAGGGCAGCTGCACTTCAACTGAAGTGGCCACTGTACATGTAAGCGAGTGACAAGAAGGGTTGGTCTTTTAGACCAAGACCTGGGTGGGTTTTTTTCTTTCCAAGTGGTAAAATGAAATTCCTTCCCATTTCAAAACAGGATTTGGATTTACCCGAGTATTCTAAGGCCATTATTAGGAGAAGTCTTATGTTTACAGTTCATTAATGATGTACATCTTTGCTTTCTGTGAATTGTAGAAAAAAATTACATGAAAATGTTCCTTTCCTCCTCCGATAGGCTGCGTGAAGAGAAACTAAAAGAAAAACAAAGATGCCAAGAAGAAAGGCTGAAAGCTGCTCTGGAAAGGGCAGTCGCACGACCAAAGAAAAAGGTCTGTGTTTGGCTACTAGATCCCGCCACACCAGTACGAGTGCTTTGGTGACACAAAAACAAACACCCTGTTCTTCCAACGTGTCTAGGCTGAAGCTGCCTGTGAACCAGGCTTTCCGGCCCATGGCTTCAAACGGTCTCACTCCGGCTCCTTGTTATTTTTGGAGTGACTTAAATTACTAGGTTTACAATTCACCACTAGACCCACTTACTACTAAGAGCAATCTCTTTCCTCTCCTCTAGCTTTAATCCTAGGATCCTGAAGCCATTTTTAATCACTTTTTGGAACAGGCAATACAGGCATATGGCTCACAGTTCAAAGACACAAGAGGATTCACTGAAATAAGCCTTCCTCAGTTCCCCGCCTTGGAGGCAACAACCCTTATATTTTCCGCATCAGTAGAGAAATAATCTATATAAGAGAATTCTACCAAAAAACACCTAGAATAATCAAATTCAGCAATGTAGCAGGATACAAAATCAATGCACAAGAAAATCAATAGTGTACTTTGTATGGTGTATAGTATTTTTACTACATTATTGATTTTTGTACATTGAATTTGTATCCTGCTACACTGCTGAGTTATTCCAGAAATCTTGTGGTGGAATGGCACAGTGGTCAATAAAACTAAGAATTGCCTAAAAAAAAAAAAGTCAATCATGTTCCCGTATAGCAATAATGAACTTACTGAGAAATTAGGGAACAAGTACCATTCAGAATAGTACCAAGAAAAAGTAAACACTTAGGAATTAACCTAACTCAGGAACTAAAAGCCCTCTATCGTAAAAAATACAGTACTCTGAAAAAAGAGTTCAAAGAAGACATCAGAAAATGGAAAGATATTCCCTGTTCCCGGATAGGGAGAAGGGCCAGGGATATAATTCAGCGGCACAGCACCTGCCTCGCAGGGACAAGGTCCTGAGTTCAATTCCCGGTACAAAAAAAAAAAGCCTGGACAGGCAGAACAACATTATCAAAATCGTCACACTTCCAAAACCAATAAACAGACTTAATGCAATCACAGTCAAAATCCAACAGCATTACTCTTAGGACTGGAGAAAACAATGCTAAAATTCACACAAAACCAAGAAACTCAGAATAGCAAAAGCAATCCAGGGGCAACAATAGAAAAGCAAGAGGCATCACAATCCCAGATTTGAAGTCTTATTTCAAAGCTATAGTGATTTAAAAAAAAAAAAAAAAGAACAGCTGGCATTAACACAAAAACAGACATGTGAATCGATGGAAGACAAGCCAGGAAGCAGAAACCACCTCAAACACATTAACTATTTGATCTTTGACAAAAAAAAAAGTGAAAAAACGCACTAGAGGAAAAAGTGTCTCTCCAAATGGTGCTGGGGAAACTTGCTATCCACACATCTCTCACCATTACTAAACTAAAATCAAAAAAGAGAAAAGATCTAAACGTTAAAACAGTAACAATTTGCAGTAAGACAAATCAGGTGAAACCCGAGGCTGAAGCCATAGGCAAGAACTTTCTGCACTGACCCCCTGTGGCACAAGAAATGGTACCAAGAATCAAAAAATAGATCATAGCAAATTAAAAAGCTTCTGCATAGCAAAGGAAATAATCACAGAGTGGAGAGACAGTGGGAAAAATTTTGCTAGCTACCCCTCAGAGAACTATTATCTACCATACATAAATACTCACAAAATTAGTTCCCCCAAATAAGAAACCCAATCAAAACACAAGCAACTGAAATAACACTTCTCACAAGTACAAATGGCTAATGAATAATATGTCCAACATCCCTGGCCATTAGAGAAATGAGAATTAAAGCAAAACTGAGAGTCCATCTTACCCAGGAAAGAATGGCTATCATCAAAAAAATCAAGTAACAACAAATGCTGGCAAGTCTTGGTTAAAAAATAAATAAAGGAGCCTTTCTAGGTATCTTCCCAAGAGACATCATACATATTCCAGTGACTCATGCATACCCATGTTTATAGCAGCACAAGTCGTCACAGCTAAATCTTGGAAGCAAGCCTGTATGTGCATCAACAGATAACAGATAAAGAAAGTGTGGAATTGGGGTTGGGGATTTAGCTCAGCGGCATAAGTGCCTGCCTTGCAAGTGTGTGGTCGTGAGTTTGATTCCTGTACCGATAAAAAAGACAAAGACCAAAAAAAGGAAGTGTGGAATTTATACCCCATGGAGTCCTACTGTGCCATAAGATAAACCTGAGCCCTCTGTAGGAAAAAGGATGCATCTTGAGACCATAACGTGTAGAGAAATAAGACACACAAGCTCAAGTATCACATGGTTTCTCTTAGATGAGAAGCCCAAAATCTAAAGACCAGAGTAAAAGGCAGGTAATGGGAAGTAGAGAGACACATCTGTCTCAGGGAAAAGGGGGCCTAGAGATGGAGAGGGAAGAATCGGGAGGAACGGGGATGAAATTAAGATGTTATGCTCAGGTAGCAGCTCCCAAGAAAGGTAGCAATTATTTACTGGAAACATACTAATAACAAAATTTTACTAACGTAATACAAAATTTTACTATGTATTATGTACAAGCTCGGACAGTAGATAAGGAATTCCAGGGTTCCAGACCCACCAGGACATTTCTGTCGAGATGGGCAAGTGATACTTACTAGATCCTGGGAGACCAGGAATGTCAAGCATTCTGCAGTGCAGGACAGTGTCACACGAGCACCAATCTACCAAGAATGTCAACGGTGTCCCTTCTGGGCACAGTGGCAGGACATCAAGTCTCAAGGTCAATAGTATAGTTAGCTTCCTCACCGATACATTTAATTTACATAAATCCACTTATAAAAGCAAATAAAAACAAGAGGATCCCCAGTGATTATTGAGTATCAGAGCATGTAGATGTGACCCTGGGGTTCCCCTAAATCTCTGCTGGTGGGAAACCTCCAAGAATCAGTAGTAACACTGATGGTGAAGATAATAGTTTTCTGAGGTTTTTGTTCACTAAGATTTCTAAAGACCAAGTAATAAAGGAATCTCTCAATCATGGAGGAAAAGTTGGCCATGGCAAATACAGAGAAATGACATACTGGCCTCCAGGATGACGCTTTTCTAGGCTGGACAAGTTGGAACCTTACACTACTTGCTGGCTTTACCGCATCTCTCTACTCCTTAAAACCCATCGCCTGACTTCTGCTCTTAAGGGCGCTCAATTTGTTACTTAACTTGGCCTAAAATGTTGGATGTCCACTAGGTTATGAGTCCTATTGCAACTGTAAATAACTGCTTAGCACTTTAAGCCGTATTAGTCCCCGTAAAATTCAAGTTACTATTGGCATTTCATAGACTTTAAAGAAAACGGCTCGTTTTTTCGTTTCAGGTGGGAAGACGGCTCATCTACCGTTCAAAACCACCATCTGCTAATAGACAAAAAATACCTCAGATCACTGATACAGCAGCAAAATCACAGGAGGAAGAGGTATTTTTTTTTAGTTGAATGGGAAAGATACTTTACTACCGGAATGTTTTTACAGCTTCTGGCTCTCTGTTGGCAACATTCTGCCCCATGTGGGACCCTACACAGTTCAAGACTGGTCCTTAACGAGAGTTACTTTCTTTTGTTGAAGCTTCCTGTTACTCATAATTATTCCACATAGCTAAACATTTATAATTTGAGTTGTCTCAGTTGGGGTACATACTCAAAATTACTTTACTGATGTAACTTATATGGGGAATGATCATTTAAGTGCAATAATAGTCTTTCCCTGACAACATGAGGATTTAAATGATGTATTAGTATCTCCAACGGTCTGTAAGGAGGTTGAGAGCACTAATCACTCATGGAACATGTCTTCCAACAACTCTAAAATAGCTGAAGGAATTTGAGGGGTTTAAACTTAAGTGAATTCTACTACGTTATGGTCTCAGAACATCCCCAGGAGACTGACTTTTATTTCACATTAAGTTCTATTCAAAAGTTTGTTTCCTTATGTGAACAATCTTATGTGTTAAGTCTAAATGTCACTTCAGGATTTCTCTGTGCCCTATCTCTATAATTACTTTAATTTTCAGATGTAATTTTAGCTGCAACATGTCCATAATTTAGTTTAACTGATATAGAATATGCAACCTACTAAACAAAGTAGTATTAAGAAAACGTTTGTTAAAAGTGGTTTAAAACCATTTTCAAAGGTCTCAGTTAATACACAATGATATGAAAATGGTTGAAATTCATCTTTATAAAAATCTGTAAAGTACATATTTATCTATTATAGAAAAAAGTATTGTTTCCAGAAGAAAACCAACTTAATAAAATTGGTATTTTTAAAGGATTAGTTCTGTGATTTACTTTTTGTTCAACTGCTGTGTTTAGCATGTACGTATCTGCATATGAGAGTTAACAAGTCAAGCTGAAAAACAACACATCTTTATTGTCTAGAAATATATATATAAAAAAAACACAAAAGATGCTATTCTCTCATTTCCCCGTCCTCTTCTTCTTCTTCAACACCTCTGATATAAAGGACATTATTACACCTGGAAGCAGAAAAATAGTCCATTTTGTTATTTCAACAAGAAAAAAGTGCACAATCTGAATTACTACTGCTAATTTTTTTCATTATAACACTTTAAAAGCTAAATTTATATCATTTGTTCTCTTTTAAAAAGTTTTATCTAGATTTGTTAAAAAAATACATTGGCACTAATTTTTTACCATGTGATTATCATAACATTCTTTATGACTTTCCAAAGGGAGTGATTACTAGAATCTGAGACTTGCTAGTGCTAAAAATGAGAATAAAAAACGGCTAAGCTCTGGTAACGAGGCTCACGCAAAAAAAAAAACACAGCTGAGAACCAGAAAGTAGAATATTAATACTAGAAGAATCTTTAGGATGCATAACTCCGAAGTATTTAAATTTCACCTTTGAAGAATTTTACAATTTCAAAGATTTCTGCAGTTTATTTAGAGTATTATGTGAGATTAATAGCGATTAAAAAAAAGTGCTTCCAGCTGAGGACAGTATTTCTACTGCTCACCACTAACCTTAAACACGCTACTGCTACTTCTTACCTTATTAAAACTTCACCCAGATGTCCAGACAATGCCCCGTCTATGTATTCTTCTGTATTTGCAAGCTTTAAAAAGGAAGAAATGCATTAGCATTATCGCAAAGGAGTAAAACAGGGCAACACACGTATTACTGGTAAGAGAACTTAATTAACTGAGACCTTCGTACGCCAATGCTTCAAATTTATCAGTAACTAATCATTAGAAGATTAGCTTTCTATGACTGTTAAAGCTTTCTGGTTTTAGGTATTCTGTAAACCTAACACAACTGTAGACTTTATATATAATAAAGCCTGTTTTAAATGTTGTTAAAGCTCACAGTGTAATATTTCTATCATACACCACAGCAGCATGTTAAGAAAGCAGCCTTCATCTTGTAAATTATAATTAATAAATTTTCTAACATTCAGTTTTAAAGAACCATAAAATTTTTCTCAGGGTAAAACACTGTAAGTCATATTGACGCACCCAAATTGATGTATAGAAGTTATAACTAAACTGTGTAAGTGAACAACCAAAATCACTGAGGAGGAATTATTTTTAAAAGCAAGTTCTTAAAGAGTTAAGAGTAACTGGAGGAGTTATTTTTGGGACCTCTGTTATTTTTCATTTTAAATTAAATGTTCAGCTTTTCTTCTATATACAGGACATAAAATTTACTTCACAGTATTTAAAATCATCATGAGTGCTACTTGAGGCTCAAAAACAGCAGGAAAAACAGAAGAGAGAGGAGGTTTCCTTCACTAGTGGCAGGGGACAAGGGAGAGAAAGCTCCAAGGAGATGAGACTCTTGCAGGACACTTCGTGAGCCAGCCCACCACTGTTGGTATTCCCTCGCCTGCAGTACACAAAGCACTTACAAACAAGAATTTCGTCTTACAGGTGATCACTGAGATGATTCATCTTTGGGTAACAGAAACACTGTTTATCATGTTCTCCAACACTTAATTGGTTTCTAAATTACTCAAAATGCTCCAAGGCTTATATGTCATATTCAAAGCCTGACCCACTGCTTACAAGGCTTTCAGTGATGGCCATGCCAACCCAGCTTCCTGTCGTCGTCCCCAATTCACTCTGCATTGTCTGGCTGCTCCTGAAACCCCGAGCCTGGCCCTGCCACAAGGGCCTCGCGCCTGCTGTTGGCCCACACAGGATGCTCCTTCCCGGAGCCTCCTGAGCTACTACTTCGTTCTGGATTTAAATTGACTTCCGTAGTGCCATGGTTAATATCGAGATGTCCCCTCAAAACTGCGTAACTCAACGGTGGGTCTTTGAGGAGGTGCCTGGATCACCGGGAAGCGACATCACTGGGTTGTAGGTGGGGTGATGTTGGGAGGCAGAGCTTAGTAGGAAGAGGTAGGTCACTGTGGGCGTGGCCTGGAGGGGTGTAGATATATACACACACCCCACACCACCCCCTCAAGCCCTGCTTGTCACTGCCATGCCACCAACTCTTTCTCCTCTGCCTGCCTTGGAGCCAGCCAACTATGGACCTGAAACGTCTACAACCTGTGAGTCAAAATAAACCCCTTCTCTTTTAACTTGCGAGTGTCAGGTATCTTGTCCCAGTAATGAGAAAGTAACTCAGACACTCAGAGGCAATCCCATCTACTGGTGCATGCTGTCCTCCTTCTCCACTTTCTGCTTCTTCACAGGATCTATAATACCCCATATTACACCATCCTGTTACTATCTCTAGGTCACTTACAATACCTAACACCATGTAAATGCTATATAAAGTTAATACTGTATTGTTTGCTGATCAATGGCAAGAAAAAACATAGACGTTCAGTACAGATGCACTCCCCCCCCAGACATTCCTCATGTAATGACCAAATCAAGCTATTGAGACGAGGTCACTAAATGAGGAAGTGTATACAATATGCACATTACAATATTCAGTACAAGAAATGGCCAGAAACTCCAGCTTTTTTTCTTTTTTCTTTTTATCGAACTCATGACCATGTGCTTGCAAGGCAGGCGCTTATGCCTGCTGAGCTAAATCCCCAGCCCCAAATTCCAGCTTTCATGACTCTGCTTTTATTTGCATAACTCTTACACGCAGTACTGTAATGTATAACAGAACATAAAACTACAGTACTGTATGGAACAGTACAATCAGCCAAAATTACAGTACTGTATAAACAAAGTGTATTATACCTAAAAAGGAGACTGCAGTTCTATCAACAAGATGTACAGAACGGTCCAAAAAAAAAACCCATGAATTGTAAATCTGAGTGGTGGGTTATAAATGCAAACAGCTGTTCAACAGGTTACTAAGTGAGGAATATCTGTATTTTCAGTCTGTAGCTAGTTAAATGTACCAATGTGGAACCCACACAGATGGAACCCAGCTACACACAGCTGACTGTTTGTACCAATCTGCTCATATGGACTGAAAATATACAAGATACAACAGTGGTTATCAGGTGCTGCATGGGGAGAAGGGAAGGGGTAATTATTTCTTAATGGATAGAGTTTTAGATGTGAAAAAAGTTTTGGAAATGAGTAATAGTGATGGCTGTATGACAATGTTAATGTACTTATTGCAATTGAATATACATCTGAAAATGGTTAATGTGGGAAACTGTAAATGTAAGTTTTATGGGAAAAAACCTAAAACATTTACAGAAACTAGTTTAATAAATACGCAGTTAATCCATTAATTTTTTTGGTTGATATGTCTTCTCTATTAAGAAATGCTCATTTGTTGTGCCTTTAACATTTATTAAAACATTTAAGAATTTTCTTTAAAAAGATATTTTAGAAATAAGTACCACGAGGTTCAGTTTTCTCTAGGACAGTATTGTGTTTCCCTCATCGCATTACATATTACATGTCATGGTGCCTCTTTAACCACTAAGAATAAAATGTGTGGCTCAATTCTGATTTAACTCCATGTCTTAACCTCGAATATCACACCCGTGACATCATCTGTGGCCTTGACTTAACTCCTAAATTTTGCTTTATCTTCATCAGTTTAATTGTATACATTCTTAGTTACGCTAAGCCTTTAACACGTTAAGTTACAGCATAACAAGTAGAAATCTATAATTTAATTCTCTAGCTCACCTGCATGTTCATGTAGCCATCTACGGAGACCAGGTAGCCCTTGTACTCCATTCCCCACTTCAGCTTCACCATCACGGGCTTTCCTGTTAATCCGTTGAGGAAGGGTTTGGGATTGAGGGGTAAACTCTGTGAAGAACAATAAAACGATTCAATTGGTATCCACCACTCTCTTCTACCAATTACAAACTGGTAATTTATTGTATCCAAGAGCAGATGTGGCTCAGTGGTTGCTTAGTATTTACCAGAGCCTGGGTTCAATCCCCAGGGTACACAGACACACTAATGTGAGTGTGAGTGTGCGGTGGTGTATAAAATCTATAAAACACACACACAATGTCCAAATGAAACACTGCTTACATCACTCACAGTTCCAAGCTCTAAAGAAACACAAGTCAAGGCATTTTTCAAAGGGGGGGGGGGCATCCCTGTCCTTTGGGGACAATACTGCACATTGCTGTGTAGTATGGTGAGAAATGCTATGCCCATGGGCAGGGAGAAAAGAAATGGAAGGGTGCCTGAAGTAAAAGATACCTCTGTCTTAAAGGGTGAGGTTACATGCACAGAGAAAAAGCTATTCCAGGCTAGGGAAGCTACCTATGTCAAAGGAGGGATGAAGTCAAACAGCACGACAATCTTAAGGGGCACAGAAACATGCTGTAGTATCACAGTCCCCAGTACAAGGCTATGGGAGGAGGTATGTCACACTGTACAGTCTTTCACTTCAATGCTGGAAGCCAGGACTAGGTTTTACTTGACTTTTTATCACTTGCAGTATCTCTTTAACGCACACTAAACACGACTACCAATTGCACTTGGAACAGACAAACTTTCCCATACGGCCTAAGAGGTCCTGCCCTTGTCTCAGAACCACAATGTGTGCAAGCAGCTGTGTACCTTGCTGTCAGTGTCTCCAACTGATCAAGCTCCCTTGGCGACCGCATAGCCTCTGTTCCTGTAGCCAGGGCCGGTTACACTACCACTCCAGCTTTTCTTGTTACTTAGATTTTTGGTTAAATCCCCACGTTTTAGGGAGGCCGACCCTGACGAGTCCTTTAATGTGTCCACGCGCCCTGTCACAGAATCCTGACTTGCTTCCTTCTTATCGCTTACCATTACCGGCCCTCTATA